GAGGAACTCGTTCCGTACATCATGTGCTTGATGGAGAACCCCACCAATCCAAAGGAGTGTTTCGACCTCGGCCAGGATATGGCAGTCGACCAATCTACAGTTACAGCAATCTTAATGATGCTCTCCATTGCTGGTCTTCAAGTTTTCTTCTTGCTTGGTCGCTGGAGTATGGTAGTGGGATGGCGGGACTTGATCAGAAGCAAGTTTAGTAAGAACCGCGAATTCGTATCCTTGGACGCCAGACATCCTACGGAGGACATACGTCAATTTGAGCTCAAGAACTTTGACGAGCCGCAATCACCCCCAAATGCATACAACACTCCAGGACTTGCCAGCTACGCCATGGGCAATGCTCGATCCGACACTCCCGAGCATTTCCATAAGGAATTTCAGCGCGACTACAAGAGTCCGACGCTGAGCTTTTCGACTCCTCGACCCCAATCTCGGGCGGCTACCCATGTCGACTGGGACCCTAGGTCATCAATGGCAAGAGGAGGACTTGGGCTGCACCCTCCAGACTACGACTCCAAAATCTGAGCTTGAATACAAGATATTTTCTTCGCTACACTTTATCACGTCCATGCTAGTGTTGACCCTAGGATCACCATGCTGCAGGCATGGTTTCAACCGTCTGATTTATCCGCCGGTTCACGCGAGCCAAATAGAGTTTCCAAATTCTACGGATTACGTTCGCGGAGCTAGCACACTTGGCCATGCATCAGCATGAAGCTATGGGCTACGACAGAGGACCTGCGACCGTTTCGTGCATCGACGATACAAATCAGCTCTGACTCAGCGATCTACATTATTTCGAGCGATGCCAGATCTTGGTCTGCGCAATTGACTTCGATATCAGACGACAAGCTTGAGCACGTCGATTGGGCTTACCACGCATCTGGGGTTTTAAGGTCTTCACGTAGTCTCTGTCGCCAATCCATCATTGGAATCGACTGAGGGTTCAGATCTTCTTGCTTTCCTCCCTCTCACTTACTATCATCCACCAAAGACCATGTAAGCGCATGCACAGATGATGGTCTGTAAACTGGACAGCAAAGGTTTCATCATTCGGGTCAAACGTTGTAGCCCCTTTCTCTGGTTCTTTTCTCACTCTTCACATACCACTCCGTGGGATCGGAATCGGTCCAATTGACCATTCCCTGTATTATCACCGCAGGCAATTGACACTCGCCTTCGTACGGAGTCGACTTTCCGCACATGCTGGGGTCGGCATCGCATTAAGCTACACTGTCGTAAACTTCCACAATCCTCTTTCACGCAAGCTGTAGGCCCAGTCGTCTTGATAGTAGCTCCACTATAACACTTCACATTTGGAGCAAGTATAGAGAAGATCTATAGCAGAATATACAAAATGAAAGTATTGACAGGTATCATCAAACCTTACTCCCACTCGCTTACGTGCACCCGTCAACTTCCGTATCGATCGTCTGAACGTCCGATGCCGTTCTGTGGTCGCTCCTGAACGGGCTGGGACTTGGCATCTACCGGCAATATGGGTAAATTCGAAGCGTTCAATATGTCGATCTTGGTAGGGCCAAGAGGACTTCGCCGAGCAAAAAAGAAACAGCCCAGAAAAACGTGGCAGTAGGAAGCATGATCTAGGGTCCCTGGGTTGAGGCCATCAGCGACATTGCGAATTTGGCTAGTTCTCCCATCCGAGGACAGACGCACGCGAGATGCTGCGAACTTTCTTCACGGCACAGCGAATCAACGTTATGCCGTGCTGACGCCCCATTCTTCACCTTGCCATTGGGTCACTATACCATTTTCGGTGGACTTGCTAACACCTCCGCACTCCGTGCCTCTCCGCCCAGGAGTATCGACGCGACCAGAACTCATCAATGCAATGCGGTGTTCACCTCCAAAGTTCTGTTTCCACCTCCGCTGCTGCAGGAGCAAGAACTTAGGTCACATACATCACATGCATGGAGAGATCTGCACTACTCCTTCCCCAAGCATATTCTCCTCAACAAACGGCCCCAGTTTCCAGAACATCGTTCACCGGGAAGACACGCGACTGATATGACGGAGGAACCTTATCAAAAGAGCAGGTCCTCCTTCCACGTGTGGGTACACGGACGTATCTTGACAACGGCCCCTTGTTTTTAACGGTATAGCGACACGTCTCTTTGGGCGCACGCATGAATCCGTGCTCGGCACGAGCTGCAGGAACAGGTATTTGGGCCGCAAAGTGGTAAGCCTGACGCGACATGGGTGGTGAGTGGCCCGCGCAACGTGAGCAGGATTTATCCAACGGCTCGGCTCAGCCGCTCAGGCAGGCCGCGAGAGCAACCGAAATTGGGGGCTGATGTGTCCCTGGGGCAGAGATGGGCGAGCTGGACGCGATATCGAAGGTAGTTACTGCGGCACGTATTAGCTTGTCAGACATCATAGTTTCGGCACTTATAGCCTTACATACTGGGTATCGACGGTCCGATAGAAGTGTAGGCGACGCGGGATGTGGGAGTGGCTTCGAAACTGAACAATGAAGGCCCACACGAGGCATGAAAGACGACTCATTTTCATATTGCATGCGATGGATGCACGCAGGGCTTCTGACAGACTCTGCGACGATTTCCCGTTTCCCCGTACGCTCAGATAAAGAGAAATAGACTCCTTGAAGGCAGGATCATTTCTCACCTATATTACCCGGTGACTCAGCATCTCCCTTTGTGCGGCTTGGTATGGTAGTCGAACATTGACGCACAAAGAGGTATGAATGTTTTAATTTCTCAGTCGCCCTCGTGCGTACTGCGCACGATAATAGTCAAAAGTATACGCGCAAAGTACGACGCTTACACTACAGAGCCGAAGCCTTTTCGGTATCGCCATGTTTCCACTGTTGCAAGTTCACGTCTGTGTTGTGACCTCCTTGTAGCAACGTTGTGAATAGTAGTAATGATTCCTCACGTGTCTGTATGTCGTGAAGAGCATAGTGCGATGCTGGTTAGTGCAATACTACTTGCAGATGCGCCGGCTTCCACGACCAGCCTTTGATATAACACAACACGTTCTGGACATCTTTCATTTCTGGACCACGACCATCGCCCCTCGAATCGCAAAAGAATCTGTACGCATCAGCATAGGACAAACCTCGTTTAAGATAAAAAACAAAAACGAGAAATGCTCTCCCTCCAGTCGCAATTCTCTCAACGGCCATGTTTACTTCCATAGCCAGACCCGACCTTGTGAGCATTCAAATCTAACTTTTACCCATAATGATTATCTTCGAAATGGAGAACATGGAAATGGTGCGTCCGAGTCTTCGATGGCGACATATTGCACTATCTGCACGCACGTAACGGGCTTTGAAATCCGAGCAACGTCATGACTGAGAGGGTCAAGTCAGATGGTAGGGCACGCTATACCCCACCATGGCGGATGCTTACGAACTTCTTCTCCACCTCCAACGTTCTCAGTAGATAACAAAGTGTTCCTGTCCACTCCTTCGATATTCGCCTTCACGTACGCTATTACTCCGCCTATCGCACTCTAGTCCTTGCTATACAGCCGTTCTCTCCAGCAGGAGGGTCTACAATCTCGTCCCAGCCCATAACAAGTATCCGTCCTATAAGCTAGCATGGTCGCGATGGGAGGTGGTCCTGATATTCCGTCCCGGCATGCGGAGAAAGAGAAGGAGCTCGTGCTATGCGCGCTGCCGTGGCCTCAAGAGATATGTGAGCATGGCATGAAAGAGCTGAGGGAGGCCTTCGACGACGTGGAAGTAAAGTACTTTCATGCTAAATGGGAGGGCGGAAAGTCGGAGGTGGATGTACCTGAAGGTAAGCGACATGATATTGGTATCTATGCACATTTGCGAAATGGTGGTTACATCCGCGATGATGCCGGGCCCAAGGCTGCGGATTCGTGCGTTACCAATCGGTCAGCATCCGCATTCGTCTGTGGTTCATCAAATCGAATATTCCCCGCATTAACGCCTGTTGTAAGGCCTGGCTAATGTCATCACAGATCTCATCAAGCGCGCAACTTATGTGGCAACACTCTCCTGGCTCCCGGAATCAGTATCGTCTATCCCAAACACTAAGCTCATTCAGTTCTTTTCTGCAGGCACCAACCACGTTTCTAATCATCCCATCTACACGGACTCCAAGATTCCGCTATGTTCCGCAAATGGTGTTCATGGCCCGCAAATCGCCGAATGGGTTATCATGATGAATCTGGTACACAGCCATAGCTACACCAAGCTTTACGATAACCAGAAGAAGAAGGTTTGGGACCAGAAGGTGGGAATGAGTGTTAGTGACCGGGTAGGGAAGAGGGTGGGTGTGTTGGGTTATGGAAGTATCGGTCGACAAGTTGCTCATGTAGCAAAGGCAATGGGCATGGACGTCATAGCCTACACTGCTTCACCACGCACGACTCCAGAGTCCAAGCACGACAACGGCTATATCGTTCCTGGTACTGGCGACCCTGACGGCGGTATTCCCAGCGCGTGGTACAGCGGAACCAGTAAAGAAGACGTGCACGAATTCTTGAAGCAGGAGATTGACCTGTTGGTCGTTTCTGTGCCGCTGACGAAAGCCACAACCCATCTCCTATCTACCGAGGAATTCGACCTCCTACACAAGTCCAATCCAAAGGGCACCTACGTCGCGAACATTGCGCGCGGGCCGATCATCGACTCGAAGGCTCTCGTTACGGCGTTGAAGAAGGAACTCATCAGTGGCGCAGCCCTCGATGTTACTGATCCTGAACCTCTGCCTGAAGATGATCCGCTATGGGATGCGCCAAATGTTCTCATTACACCGCACTGCAGCGGAGCGTCAGACGCTTATGCCGACAGAGCGTTCCAGGTGCTTATCGAGAACATCAAGCAAGATCGAAGCAACGGCAAGCTGATCAACGAGGTGAACCGCAAGAGGGGGTATTGAGTCAGCAACATGTCTGGGACCATAGCTTTGCAAGACGTCCAACTGATTTCGATAGATGAATATAGGGTATCTTAGACGCCCTGGGTAGACTCCGAGTAATAGATCATATGCCTAATCCTACAATATATCCTGCTTTTGTCACAAATTAGAGATTCTGCGCACGTCTCCGAAGTCCATGTATCACCGCCTGAGTATGCTTGACATCAAGCCGCCAGCCAAGTTCCTTGCAAGACCCGAACCGTACATGGCGTTCGAGGCGAAGCCAGTCGCTTGGCTGAACTTATCGCAACGAGAGAAGGCGAGTGTATTCGTGATGGTAAGCACGAGTGCGATGACTGGATGAAACGCGTTAGCACAAGAATCATTTGTCTGCCCTGGGCGATACGTACCGACAAGCGTCAACCAAATAAACTCAAAGCTCACTAAAGCCACAATCGCAAGCAATACCCACAACACGGGCTGCGCATACAGCGCCAACCAGAAGAACCTCTTATCCGTCGCATTGATCTGGCGTCCGGTTTCCGGGTCTAGACTCTCAAATACCCAGCGGCCGTCCCCAGTATTGGCATCGACTTCGTTCCACCATCGTAGTCCGACCAAGCGGCGGCCCGCAATGTTCTTGAGGTAGTAGAAGTCGACTGCGAGAAGGAGGATGGTGATGATGAAGATGAGGACGAAGTTGGAGGTGAGCAGGCGGAGGCCAAGGATATAGACTAGTAGGGAGGCTGTGTGGGTGTGTTAGTCTTGAATGAGTTTCACGGATGTGGTGCCTGGATAGATGGACTGGGAAGCATACAGATGCGGAAGAACAGGAAAGTAAGTAGTGTGATGGGATGACTACTGAGTCTCCAGCTCAGCGAGCCAGGCTCTGGCGCTTGTTGTGCGTTCTCCATATTCCTTATGCCGTGGGGGTGGGAGTGGTGTGCTATTGGGAAACAGCCCGAGACGTGTTGAAGATCAGCTTCACGTGGCTTTCTCAGGGACGCGTCGGCGATCGGCGTTTCGGGGGGAGCTTTGGTGGAGCTGCGACTTCCCCGCACGTCATAGGCTAGCTGAAGTGACCGAGGTGCGTAACGGCTATATGGCTTTCTATCATTGAGGCCTTTGATTTTGGTACTCTGCTAGTTGCAACAATTATCCGGAGACTGGTGCTCTGGTCAAACCACAGACAACATGGCAGCACCAATCATACGGAGGGCGTGCATGTACGGTAAACCATCACCATTCCAGTCCATGTCTATTCTTAAGACAATACAAGACACCATACTAACATTCCCACCCCAGTGCCGTCCTCATCGAAGAAGATGCTCGAGAAGTCCTTTGCCATGCACGCCGATAACGTGACCTACGACCTCGAAGACAGCGTTGCACCACACATGAAATCCGAAGCACGCTCTAATCTTCGCGATATCCTCAACAAACCACGACCCAGTGGCATAAAAGAAATGTGCGTGCGGATAAACAGCGTAGACACCGGTCTAGCGCTGGATGACCTGACACAAGTGCTCAAAGGCGAGTATCTCGATGCTATCATGCTGCCCAAGTGCGAAAGCGCTGCAGATCTACATTTCGTCACAGATGTGATACGGCATCTTTCACCTGAGCGACACCCAAGCTCAGGCAAACAAGGGAAGAGGGAACCGGTGCGTATAATAGCGTTGATAGAAAGCGCAAAAGCGATACAGAACCTAAGTTCAATCTGCGCCGCTTCGCCTTACATCTCTGGGCTCGTCTTCGCAGCAGAGGACTTTGCAAAGGATATGAGTCTTACGCGCACGCCTTCGCTCATGGAGTTCCTCTACGCGAGGAGTGCCATCGCCACAGCAGCTCGAGCTGCTGAGCTCCCCAGCACCATTGACTTGGTGTGTACCAGCTACAAGGGCGAGCAAGGGCTCAAGACACTAGAGGAAGAATGTCTGAACGGCAAAGGTTTGGGTTTCAACGGCAAGCAGTGCATACATCCGAGTCAAGTCGCGGTATGCCATAAAGCGTTTAGCCCTGGAGAGAAGGAGCTTGAGTGGGCGACAAGGATAGTCATAGCAGATGAAAAGGCGAGTAGAGCTGGACGAGGGGCCTGGACATTGGATGGCAAGATGATTGATGCACCAGTTGTGAAGAAGGCGCATGCGGTATTGAAGCATGCCGAGGTGTGTGAAATGGACGTCAGTGCTGTCAAGGAGACATGGAAGGGACAGGAGCCCGAGTAGTTGCCAATTCATACTGGTATCTTCGTATTGTTCTCCTACATGTTGGCCACAAGCTAACTGTGTGACTACGTTCTACACAGTAATCATCACACTGGCATTCTTGTACCAGCTCAGCAACGGATTATCGCCGTTTTTCGTAGTCGTCTCCGCGATATCTGCTCTGCCAGCCATGAAGTCTTCGTGTAAGTATGTTCGTGCGAAGCGCCCGGTTATTGTTGTGTACATGGGTTCCATGACATCGAAGTCAGTGGGAAAGAGTATGTCGAAATAGCCTTGGTGCACCTGAGACGCGTTAGTAGCTCCATTACAATGGACCAATTCTTGAGCTTACAAGAGGTGTCGAAACAGGAATCATCTGTCTCTTATATCTCGTTTGCACAACTGGCGCATTGATACCCTCTACCGTATCGCCCAGTTTGTGGAAGTCGCTGCTGATCAACTTGTGATTTGGAAACTTCTCGTATAACATGTAGAAGAATTGCATCAGCCGCGTGGGTATGTACTCTGGCATGCTCATATTGGAGCGGAACGGTACTAGGCTCCTCAGATTGTTCATGAGCCTCGAGCCTTGTAACGGATGTGGATAATTGGTACAGGCAGCATGTCTGCGTTCGAGGAATTGGGTAACGAGGGGGTCTATAGTGCGGGAGTAGTATTCAAAAAGCTCTCCACGAGGATCGACGATGACATGGGATTGATATGGAAGGCCCGTTTCGAAGTCGTACTTTAAAGCATCGTGTGCAAAATTGTCGAAAACTTCCAAGGCGAGGAAGTAGCACGGCGATGAGACGTAAGTGTTCCAGTCGAAGACACTCCGATTGATGATTTCCACTTTGTCAGAGTGCCCACGCGCATATGCTGAGTGTCCTAGACCCTTCTGTTGGAGGTCGGCTAGTTGACTAGAAATTTCAATAATCTTGAATTTTGTTCGCTCGTACACGTCCGGATGCACGTCTCTTATGAAGTCAAGGATGTTCAACATCATTGTACCGTTACCCGCGCCCATCTCGTATATGTTCAGGTCATGGTATGGGTAGAAGTTGTACTTGTAGTCTTCTACGAGATAGCGCGCAATTGCTTCTCCGTAGTAGGGTGAGAAGAGTTCGGTCGGCGTGTGCCAGAGTTGGCGGAGATCGTTTGGTTCTTGATAGTCAAGGTCGTCTTCGAAAGCGGTATAGCGGTGTCGTAGTTGCTGAAAGAACTCGTGCTCAGAGCCCATAGAATTGAAGTCGAACGGTTCGCCGGGGGAGAAGATGACGACTTGCTTGGAGAAATAGCCGTAATTGGGGTTATACAAGCTGTCTATACACCCGTTAGCTTGGCATTACCATGTATGAGGAGCCTTTGACCTTCTATAAAGTCACGCAGCAACATCTTGACTCTGCGCGGTCTTTCTCTCCTACTCCTCAGCATGTCCGCTGTAACCATTGGGTATCTTTCAAACTCCTCGGCTCTCTCTTGGGGAAACGCATTCTTTCTCGGTGTCCATCGGCTCTCCCGCTTCGTTTCTCCCTCACCCAACCGCGTGGCCTTGCCTCGTGTTTGGTGGTGTGGTATGCGGGCGCCTGCGAGCGCTGGTCGAGCTCCGCGGGCAAGACATTGCGACGCTCTATGCGAGAAGAGCTGGCGGAAAAGCTGCGTAGCGAGTGGCGAGTCCATTGCCGCCGGAGACGATCGTCACGAATGCGTCGCGACGGCGGTAGAGTTTTGGTACCCAGGTCGTCTCCGCGCGAATGCACGTGGTGAGCTTTGCGGGCAGCCGCGCCAAGACGGGGATATCATAGAACTCCGACTGGCTCAACTTTCCAAATGCACACCTCGAATTTTGGTTCCTTATAATGTCTGATCGCTCCAGATATTATATTCTAGGGGCTTTCCTGCTGGGAATCGCCCTCACTACTGCATACAATAAGAAGAGGCCGATAGAAGAATTCGATGACGAAAGTAAAGACCAACTTTTGGCACGCCAGCAAAAGTGGTTGTCGCAGCTCGCAAAGATCAACGACCTAGAAACATTGAAGAAAACTTTACTGGAGTTTAGCGGAGACGAAGCCGCAGATGACGTTAAAGAAGGTATCGAAGGATGCATAGGCAACACACCTCTCATCAAAATTAAATCACTTTCTGAGTTCACCGGTTGCGATATCTTCGCAAAAGCTGAGGTACAAAGCGCATACAAGATATGTTCGAGAAAAGCGCTGACGCGGAGTGACAGTTCCTCAATGGAGCTGGCAACAGCCCGAAAGACAGAGTTGCTCTCAGCATCATCGAAATGGTACGAGGAAAACACAGTGCAAGAGATTGTAGCGTTAGCTATTGTTGCTGACCTCTACATCAGGCCGAAGAGAAGGGACTTCTCATCCCACATTCTGGTGACACTATCTACGAAGGCACCGTAGGCAGTACTGGCATATCACTAGCCGCAATCTGCAGAGCACGCGGCTACAAAGCACACATGTGAGTTGTCATCTGACGCATAATAATCCTGAAATGCTCGCTGACAAGCGGAAGCTGCATGCCAAACGACATGGCAATCGAAAAGTCAGATCTTCTCCTAAAGCTTGGTGCAGAGGTAGAAAGAGTGCGACCAGCGCCTATTGTGGATCAGAAGCAATTCGTCAACCTCGCACGAGCGCGAGCAGAGGAGCATACTGCTAGTTCTGACAAGCCTGGCAGAGGATTGTTCGCTGATCAATTCGAAACAGAAGCCAACTGGCGCGCACACTTCACTGGCACTGGACCGGAGATTTATGAGCAAACCGCCCGTCATGTGGATGCTTTTGTTAGCGGTGCTGGTACTGGAGGGACTATCTCTGGGGTTGCCTTGTTTCTAAAGTCCAAGCTACCCAACCTCAAGGTCGTCTTAGCAGATCCTCCTGGTAGTGGCTTGTACAACCGTGTCAAGTATGGCGTTATGTTCGATCCCAAGGAGAGAGAAGGAACCCGGCGGCGACACCAGGTGGATACCATCGTTGAAGGGATCGGTATCAACAGAGTGACACATAACTTTGATGTTGGCCGGGAGCTAATCGACGACGCTATCAGAGTGAATGACGATCAAGCGGTTTCCATGGCGCGCTGGTTGGTCGAAAATGACGGCATATTTGTTGGAAGCTCTAGTGCTGTGAACTGTAAGTTGTGATCCGTTCAATAGCAGACAGCGCTGACACAGTGAAGGCGTCGCTGCCACGAAACTTGCAAAGACACTTGGTCCTGGGCATCGCATCGTCACTATTCTATGCGACAGGTAAGACAATAGCCCAAAACGTCGAGAATGTACTAACTTATTCACAGTGGCGCAAGACATTTGAGCAAGTTCTGGAAAAGTACCGAGCCTATCGGTGGCGCCGAGAACGACGTGTCTCTCCAAGCCATTCTCGATGCTTGAGATATATTCTCATTATCGCTTGCTAACTGCGATGCTTTATGCTTCCCAAGACTTTGATCTACATAACTAACACCGCCGACAAGTTCTGGACACGAAAAGTTCTTGCAGATTCACCGTTGATTGTACCTGAAACAGATCTGTACAGCGGTGTTCAGATCATGAAAGATTGGCCAACGCACCACAAAGTCAGCCAACACGCCACCACTTTGTCAACAAGGATGATCAAGCCTCGCCAACCTCACAGACTACCGCCGTTAATACTATGGAATGCTCGACATTGTACAGCAACAACCTTCCATCATTCTTTCGAAGATAATGGACACGTGACAGATGAAAGACAAAGGGTCTACTCTTCACGAGATACTGGGAGTCAGGACAGTAGGTCTTAGGTGGCGGTGTCTTGACAAAGAGCAAAGCTCCAACAATACCCGTTCTCTTTTGACACCCGCCCTACTCGTTTGTGTCGCTTTTATATACTACGGCGGCCCCGCAACCCTGCTCGCTGCACACTCCCGGCTGTTTCATAACAAATACCATCCACCCTTTCCCGCAGCAAACCTCACCAGTCAGCAAGCATTCTTAACCAACCAAGATATTCTATACCAAACAGACATATGCCTAGCCAACGTATGAGTGTCACAAACGGGATCAATAAAGCAAATAGGACAAATTTGAGCATTTTACAAAGGCGGGCAGCGAGGAAGATGCGACTATCGGGTCGCAATCCGGCTCTTGTCCACAAGATTTCTGAAATGCGCCTCACCATCGCTCCTATAGTACACGTCGAGACAGGGAAGCCAGCACCTGATTTTCCATCCACGATGCTTCACCTGTTCCTCTTAACAGAAGCCCAACTTGATGCGCTAGCGAGTTACTACTCTCAAACACATACCACCGACCTTACACATCAATATCCACAGACAATGAACTGGCAACAACCTTTCTTGGATACTAGCGAGACGTTGCCGGAAAACTGCAAACTAGCCGAGCTGGAGCGATTAAAGATCAAGATGAGGATGTTTGCAAGGTTTATTGGTATGAGGGGTGCAGATACGCCGCGCTGGGAATATGATCGTCAGATCGAGATATTAAGGAACAAGATACAAAGGAATATTTTGGAGGAAGAAACGACGCTGAAAAAGTTTTATTGGGGACCCATAAGTAGGCCTTGACAGTCCTCAGGTATGCTGGGTAGCGGTTACCAGAGCTGGAGGGGAAATTTGGGGAAAGAGGAAGGTCGCAGCATTCTTTTGGAACGTCAAATTGGTGATTTGTACGTAGTCGCAATACATTTTGTTAATATTCAATCATCGTGAATTACATTAAGGCGGCTGGTAGGTGTTAAGGAACGTATGAGTGGCTCATCCTTGCAGTACCACGGAATGACCGATGGATTGATTGTGGCTCGACGCGCTATTTGCGACCTCTTAGGGTATTTGAGCGGACACCACTGGGGGGACTTACAGCGCTGCATTGCTGCTTCAGTACCATGGGACGGGGGTAGATGACATCCAAGGTCGACCATTACGCACTGGTAAGCCTGAAGGAGGAAATGAACATGTAAGATGGACGCACCGCTACATCTTCTTTAATCGCACAACTAACATACTACCTTCAGACAATTCAAGAGTATTCTCAACAACCAACCCTTCGAAACAAACTCTCATCATGAAGTTCAATATCAGTACCCTTTCCGCTGCGATTTTCGCTGTTCTGGCATTTGCCTCACACGCATCAGCAGCAAACGCCTTCAGGGACACAGAAGAGAACGTTTACGAGAACACACACCCATGGCCAAATGTCAAATCATCGCAGGCTTTGGGCGCCAAACTCTCAAGGGATGAACCCAAACCTTTATCTCCAGCCCTTCAACTTTATGGCAAGGTAAGTTCCTATTGTCACCGTGTCAGAACGATCCTGACGACAGATAGTGTATCGAGTATTGCTACGAGACGGCCCGCTATACGGTGCTTCGAGAAGGAACCTGGTCAGGGGAGAAATGCCCGGTAGCGTGCCAGGAGGAACCGAACGTGAGTTTACTACAACAAAAATTTGATATATACTCTTGTGCTATGTTTCATGTGCTGATAGTTGAAAAGTATCTCGAACGTTCCACCGAAGCATGGCAGACGCTCTTCGCATTGGAGGCGCAGGACTGCGAGAGGGCGGCATCAAACTTCGTGGCGGTCCATCCTCGTGGTGCGGTGTCTCTACCAAATCACCTGAAGAACCTAGGGTGTGCTTAGGGATAGTGCCTTCATTTGTGTCATCTGCTGGCACTTCACAAGAACTTACGCGCACGTATGGCATGAATCCAAAAGAAATTCGGAATCTCTAGATTGTTAAATAGCATTGTAATTCAAACCGAAGATCTTCACAGTCGTTTAAATAACCATCCTATCAATGTACAAGTCAGTGAATGTCTTTGGATTACAAGTCGACATGAACGAGGTGTAATTGCAACGCTGAATGACGAAGAGCTGGAACCGAGCTGATGAACCGTACTAGATGATGAGCTATACCCCTTCTGTCCAAGCACCACCGACGGGAGATCGACATGGCACCGCCAAAGCTTCGCTCGCGCATACGCCCATCGCTTACCAGCACGTTGCCAATACTGTGCCTTCCTCTGTTGCGATGCGCCCAGACCTCCGGTTCCTCTCTTACTATCAGTAACGTCCAACAAGATGCCACCACGCGCACGTCCTCGCCATCGACCCTTGACTGTTGCTACCGTCTGCGGAACCGCTTCGCTCATCCTACCCACCGTCACACTCATCCGCCTTTATGTCGTCTCGCAGCTGCCCATATACTCCATCCTCTACGCCGGAACGATTAGCGGCATCACCTTCCTCTTCTATGGCTACGACAAGATGCAGGCGCGTAATCTGGAGTGGAGGGTGAAAGAGGTGACGTTGCATACACTGGCGGCGGTAGGGGGATGGCCGGGTGGGCTGGTGGGTATGCACTACTTCCAGCATAAGACACGCAAGGTGAGGTTTCAGGTTGTGTTCTGGGGGATCGTCCTGTGCTGGGAGGGTGTCGCCTGGTTGGTATGGAGCGGTGGGATACAGGTGGGATGATGAGTCAAATGGAACAAGTCTTTCGACAGAATACGGAAAAGATTTATTAAAGGTTGGAGATGATTACACAAGAGTCGTGACGGTCATGAGGTTGTAGCCCACGTCTGCCGAAGGGGTAACAAGGAAAAGGCTGCAGTCAAGAAGCCACAAAGGTACCACCAAACGCCTACCGAGGGGATGTCCAATATCGCCTTTCCGTTATCGTATCGCTATTCTGCTTTCTTCTGGACCGTCTCCTTGGACGTGCCTACCAAAGCTTGAAAACACTCAAGCAAGGCATTCAGATAAGCCTGTATAGCCTCCTAGTAGAACCGTTCGGAAACCTTCTTCGAGACATCCTTTGCCGAACCCCAGACCTGGGACGCTGTCCGGACTAGACAAAGAAGAGACATTAGCGACCGGTAAGCGGAGACGTGAGTCTGTCAGCGGTTTCACCAGCTTGTTCGCCGATGGGGTTCTGCATAGCGCCACCCGCGAGGTTGCTGATGCCCTGCTTGAGATTCTTGACGTCTTCTTGGTCGGAGGTGGGGAGCTTGTTGATTTGGTCTGGAGGATGTCAGTGTTTGCCCAGGTAGTGATTGTGCATTGCAAATATGGTAAGACTCACCCTTGGCCATGTAGGACATCTTGTTCTCGCCCATGGTTTGGAGAGCCTGTTTCTCCATCTTGCGCTTCATCTCTGGGGAGATACCGAAGAAGTAGAAGTAGCCAGCAGCCAAGGCTATCAAGCCGGCGAGGACGGTGAAGATGCCGATCGCCATAGCAAGGATGGTGAGAAAGTCGGTATGCGTGAAGTAGTCTGTATTGGAATTGGTGGTGCAGTACTGCTATACAGGGGATTTGGCAGATTGAACAAGTGATGTGCGTGGTTTGGTGGGCGTTGTCGATCAAGGCCCAGATTATGTACGCGGAAGGGGCATGACGTAGGAATCGCACATGCAAACCTGCCAGCCTTGCGCCTGCGGGACCAGACGAACGGTTCTCTTCTTTCTTGGCACCTTCTGGGCCCTACCTCTGTGGCGCATGCGTTCTGCGAACATTGGGAAGCTCGCGCCTTCTGAGGTGCACAGAGACTACCGTTTTCATACGCGCTGCACGCAACCGTCTAGCGGCTGCTGCTCAGGTAGTGTCGGCGTAATATACTAGAATGCTAGCTGGAATACGAGAGGTACGGACTCGTTCGTACTATAAGAGGCATCTAATGTCCATATCCTTGAAGTTTATCATTAAGAAGCTGCGAGCAGATAAACGTCCATGCTTTGCGAGTCAAGATGACAGGCGCCACACCCCGTTGACGCTGACCCTGCTGGACGCGTGTATGCTGTAACAGAGTGTGTATGCCATGCCCGCCCACTCGTCTTCGCAGTTTGTGGTAGCCTCGCATATGTCGTTCATCGAGCGCGACAAACACGGCTGTGAAGAAAGCGTTGAGGGGGCCGCTGCTAGCTTTTGATCCATTGGCCATTGGCGCTGCGCCTCAAACCCTGGAGGCCGCGAGGCGGACACGACCCTCGAATGCGCCTGCCCCACAGCCAGGCTAGGTGCTACTCCAGTTCTCCCAAGACGCTCGACCTTTGTTGCTGACCCGATTCAGTTCTGTGCCTCCTTTTCACGACCTTCCTTTGCAGCCTTGTCTTTTCCTCATACGAGAGCATTGCTACCTGAGTGTTTCTTACCCCTCACCGACGACCCCCACCACCAGCTGAACGCGCCTGATAGGCAACCCAAATCTCACCCTCAGCCTGAGAATAAGCTTGCAGCAGTCATATACCTGCCCATTAGCTCGCCCATCATGAGTTGTACTACCCTCTCAGCGTTGCGCATCGCAATACTAAATACTGACTTGCCCTCCAGTGACAAACATGCTCAACAAGCTGCACGGCCAGCCCGATAGCTATGATCGCAAGTCTGTACCCTCGTGCCCCGCGCTCCTCCTTGTACTGAACATGTCAATCGCAGATCTCGATACCGCTTCGGAAAGACACTGGGCGCTGGAACATACGGTATTGTCCGAGAAGCTGACTGTCCCGAGGGCAAGGTCGCCGTGAAGATCATCTTGAAGAAGAATGTGCGCGGCAACGAGCAAATGGTCTACGATGAGTTGGAGATGCTGCAGCGAATGAAGCACCCTCACATTGTCAAGTTCCACGACTGGTTTGAGTCGAGGGTATGCGCGACCATTTTATCGTCCATAGGGCTGTGGAGCTGACATCTACCAGGACAAGTACTACATCGTGACCCAATTGGCGACTGGTGGAGAGTTGTTCGATCGTATTTGCGAAAAGGGCAAGTTCACAGAAAAGGACGCCGCCGAGACGATCCGACAAGTACTCGATGCAGTCAACTACCTACACCAGAACAATGTTGTTCACAGAGGTATGGTCCGAGTCTTCAACACAAACCCAGCAACTGACCCCTGAACAGATCTTAAGCCAGAGAACCTCCTCTACCTCACACGCGATGCGAACTCCTCCCTCGTCCTTGCTGATTTCGGTATCGCCAAGATGCTCGACTCGAAGAGTGAAGTCCTGACCACCATGGCTGGCTCTTTCGGATACGCTGCCCCTGAGGTCATGCTCAAGAAAGGCCACGGAAAGCCCGTCGACATGTGGTCCATGGGCGTTATCACATACACACTTCTGTGTGGATACTCGCCGTTCCGGTCAGAGAACCTTGCGGATCTGATTGAGGAATGCAAGAACGGCCGCGTCATCTTCCACGAGCGATACTGGAAGGAAGTGAGTCCGGAAGCCAAGGAGTTCATCAAGAAGCTGCTGGAACCCGACCCAAACAAGCGACCGACTAGTGAAGTACGATGAAGAAGCTCGCGTCTATTGCAATTCACTAACAATACTAGGCTGCTCTTAAACACGTTTGGCTCAGCGGAAGCACTGCTACGGACCACAACTTGGTGCCAGAAATCAAGGCATACGCGGCAAAGGCCCGCCTCAAGCGTGGCATCGAGCTCGTCAAGCTTGCAAACCGTATCGAGGCGCTCAAGATGCAAGAAGACGAGGAAGAGGATGTACCTGGAGAGGCAGACATGCCTGCTAACGCCCGCGAAGCTGCAGGTGAAGCCATTGCATCACATTCAGCGGACAAGGGCCTAGCGACCAACGAGAACGCAAGCACAGGAAAGGGACCTGGACGCTTGAGCAGAATTGCCAAGGGAGCCATCTTCCGAGAAGTTGTACTAGCCAAGGTGCGCGAGATGAAGGAGCAGGAGGCGCGTGCGGAGTTTGAGAAGAAGGCGTCGGAGCCCGTGAAGAAGTGAGAATGCAGACTCTGGATGACTTTCCTTGGTTCTGGTCTGATGCCACAAACATGTTGAGATTGCTGCAGTATTAGCGGAGGTGCCATTTCCCAAGTATACCCCTGGAAGACAGCGACCAGGCTCCACTACCTAGAAACAATTCATTGGTAATACTCAGACGTTTGCAGTGTGATGCTAGCAAGTAAAAGTGGCCATGGTTTGCTGTCGACTTGTTGTGATGAAGCACGATTACAGTGCATCTGGTGATGCAAGGGGACCGTGCGCGCTCTCTTGGCAAAACTGGGAGCCCTAGATTGAACACTGCGGCGCGTCCACCGGGTTAACGACCGAACGCGCATTTCACTGCACCGCCGCCACGATCCCTACCCGCTTCGAGACCCTCTGCAAACCGCTCAGACAGACTACGCGATCACGAATTGACCGAATATGGAGAGCGCGGCCAAGCGCAAGGCGGCCAGCAATGCAGCGGGCGACCACGACGGTCGCCCTGCGAAGCGACAAAAAGGGACGGTACGTGCAGTCCATGGTGGTGGTTGATGCATCGTCGAGTGTGTTTGGGAGATGCAGGAGGCGTGATGGTCGCGATGCGGGATGGTCCTTAGACCAGAAGCGCGACACCTGGGGGGCTCGACGAGTAGGCCATCACCGCAGTCGGCCCCTCATCGCTCCCTCAACACCACGCGCGCGCCGGCGATGCAGTCGGGAACAGAGGATTTCTACTCACACAATCTTGGGAACAATGCTGACAGGGGACCGCTTCCGTGCAGGCCGAAACCCCTTCCAAGTCGGAGACGGTCGAATCAACCACAACGGCCGGCTTGAAGTTCCTCGACAGCTTGAAGCAGGCCAAAGACAAGACGTACGTGCTTGGCTCCTGAACCTACTTGCACACTGGCAGCTTCCACACTCGCCAGGGAGCCACATCAAGCGACTTCCACTGACAACCTGCAGCGGACGACCCATCGCAGTCCATTTCCTCTCCCTTCCAGACAGGGTATGTTCCCACAGCGTTCTCCGCATAGACCAGCCTCCGCTGACACTTGCACGTAGGCTGAAGTACCCGACTACTACGAATTCACGAAATTGCCTATTGCTATAGATACCATTGAGGTATGCCCGTCCCTTGTTCATGCCTATGCCTTAGTTACCTTCCGGCTGCTAATGTATGCCCAGAATAAACTCAACAACGGAGAGTACGCGTCTCTGGCTCAAGTCGAGAGCGACTGCAAACGATTGGTCAACAATGCGAAAGCCTACAACGACAAGAACTCTGTCATATACCAAGATGCCGAGCGTCTGCGCAAGACCGCCTCAAACTGGATGGTGAAGCACAACCCTGCATACCGTGATGGCAACTATGTTGCAACGGCTACCCCGATCCCAGGCGAAGACAACTCTACTCCGTCGAGACCTCCGCCCCGCATCACGGCAACCCCAAGAACTGCACATACACCTGCTACACCTGCTACTATAGAGACTGTTGAGCGCCCCCGACGAGCGGCCGCCATCGCAGCATCGGCTACACCAGCACCGTCAAAGTTGCGACAGTCAGCATCTGCTGCGCTGGAAGACGACGACGACAACAGTGCCGATTACGCAGGGAAGACGTTCCAGCAAGCACAGGAGCAGATTGTGAGGGAGATTATCGAATATGAGGAGTAAGTTGTATGCTCGCTGCTGGATTGCCTCTATGCTAACACCCTCCAGTCAAGACTTACAAATATTCTTACCCTTCCAAAACCTCCCATCGCGCAGCTTGAAAGACTACTACCAGCTGATCAAAGACCCAATGTCGCTGGCCGCCATACAAAAGAAGGTTCGCGGTGTCATCGGACGCGAAGCCCCGACAGGACATACACTGTTTAAGAGCTGGGACGCTTTCGAAGATGCATTCAGTCTTATCTGGAAGAATGCTCGTATCTACAACGAAGATGGCAGCGACATCTATAACCTCTCGCTCGAGCTTGAGGTACGTAGTTTATTTCTACTTCCTCGTTGCGTAATACTGACTAGTACAGGAAATCTTCAACAAGAAACTCGAAGAAGCCAAATCCAAAGTCAGCGAGCCAACGCAGCCAAAACTGAAGCTCAACATGTCTAGTGCTGCAGCCCCCAAGCAACAGCTCAAGCTCAAGCTCAAGCCGAGCCCAGGGTCAGAACGTAACACTCCAAGTGCCCGTGATTCTGCGACGCCTGGTGTCATCGTTGACAATGACGCTCTTCTGCGACAACAACGACATGTTCTTGACAGCATGGGCAACCGGTCGGCCACTCCATCGAAAGCTGCGACGCCAACAGCGCCTGCCAATCCGTTTACTGGACCGAAAGGCGTCGCTTCAACAATTGCACCACTCTCCGCCGCGCAGGGCAAGACTGCAGGGTCTCCACCGGCAGTCAACGGTGTTAAACAAGATGTACAGTCGCCTGCCTTGAGTGCCATCAGGCCAGCCAGTACTGCGCCCGATAGCCAGGCTGCGCGACTCAGCGTCCCTGCACAAACGCCACATCCGAACATGGCTCCTCCACAACATATGTCTCGTCCGGCAAGTGGCAGTCCACATCCAAACGGTGTTGGGCTCCAAAATGGCAACCACGTTTCCGCATACCAAGCGCCGACTTACTACGCGCCTCCACCAGTGGCTCGCGTAGATAGTTTCAGGAAGGTTCCACTCAAAAGTAAGTCGACATTTCCGACTCTGTAAACCAGCAATTAACACATCTAGACATCGACGAAGCACTGATACCCAAGATCACACTAAATACCCATCCCGCGCTCAATCCGTCCAAGCCATGGTCTGTCAATATCCCAGCGAACAAACAAAAGACCATGTACAGTGCCACAATGGTAGTCGCACCAGCCAACTCGTACATCCAAGTCACTCCTAAAGTACCTATTGCATTGACAAGCCGCATGTACCGCCTCTTTGTTACTGTCAATGGCAACAAGACACTCGAAGCAAACCGAGTTCCTGTCACAGCAGGCATCAACGGTACCAGCCCTAGTCCCGGCTACGAGGGTGGTAAGAAGAAAGGAGAGCCACTTTTCGAAGCGAAACTTGCTGCTGGCGTTAACCGTATTGAAGTTGAGATCGTTGCGGAGAAAGACCGTAAGGGTCTACCTGAAAGTGGTGGTGCGAAGAAAGAGGATGTTGAGATTGAGAAGTGTACAATCTTCCTACACCTGCCTCGAAATTAGAGATCCGAGGATATGTAAAGCACATATTGGCAAGAGAAGCCGTTCAATTCACCGGTACTATAGGGATACATTTGTGTTATTTCTGGAGAGTTTGGGGTACTGGAGTTTACCACGGCGGTACCTGCATCAGACAAAGGGAGTCGCGGTGCTTGCTTTTGTTGTACGATGGTATACCTCAGATTGGATGGGTTGGGGAAAGGGAGACTGAGGACCAGGTATTAGTGGAGGAAAGGAGAGCGCGATGTAAATTCCGCGCCACAAGATTAGAGGCTTGTCTGTCAAGGCGGTACATCTACTTTGTCTTTGAAATGAATCAACTTTTCAAACAGTGTAGCCCTAGCGTATGTCGGTAGACGGTCTGCGTCGTCTAGTACTACCAACGTCAGCTTACGCCCGGCACATTTCCAAGCCCCATATTCTGACCGGTATGCACGCTTCGGGGGCCAAGCTTGAACCTAGGCTAATCGTTGTGCTTTTCTATATGCAGACAGGGTTGCTCCTGCAGCTGCAACTCCGGGACTCCACGCGATTGCCGTCCGAGGATGCACAGCGTACGGGCGGGACAAAAAGGAAGCTCAACACACATATACCCGCCGCAATAACCAAGTACGTCTGAGACTGTGGCAGCGGCTTCTCGATCAAAATCATATACAACACTTGAAAAATGCCTTCCGCTATCTCGCCTCCCTCGCCATCCCAGCAGACCAAACAAGGCCTGCTCCTCGTCCAACCTCGCCTCCGCGACGTCACTCCATCTAACGCCAGTACGTTCTTCCGCTGGACCAAACTCCATTTCAGAGACTTGCTCAACGTACCCGATACCGGTTCCGGTCAAGTCACACATGCTCTGCGTTTCTGCGCTCCAGAGAGTGATGACCAGTACACGCATAATGAGAAAGAGGGATCTTTACCAAAGTACATGTACACTTGTGTCGTGTCTGACATCGGACACTTGAAGGCAGATGGCTACAACGGCGTTAGTCGGAAACTGAATTTGGAAAAGACGAGAGATCTGGAGAAGGGGGAGGAGGGTGTGGGGTTCCGGGAGGATGGTGAGGGTGGAGCAATGGTGTTCGATATTGTGGATGCCAAATTCGCAGTGTATGAAGAGATGGGATCGCCGGCAATGGAGCCATCGTTTCAAATGTTACCGACACATCTCACTACGAAAAGTGGTAAAGGGCCGAAATCTGTCATGGTCGCTGTGCATGTAGATCTCCCACAAGCCACTACGACGATCGATGTCGATACAGTCCCCAAGGCCCTTCAATCCTCCCTATTCACCCTCGTCAAAGCCGCCGTGCCTCCGGCTCTCAAGCCATACTCTTCATTGTACCGATGGTCTGGCGAAGACGCGCAACCCGAGCATCATCCGTTGATCAGTAAAGACGGGCGTGGAGAGTGGATGGTATTACTTTTGTTGGTTGACGAGGAAGGGAAGACGTTAATTAGAGAACATGCCGTTATGTTGGTACAGGGGTGGGTTAATGAGGAGAGGGGAAAACTGGATGGGGGGAAGATTGAGTTTGGGGTTTGGGAGGGTGAAGTTCTTATGAAATAGATCTGTATCTGGTCTTCTTTTGCCTGGATTTTGTTCAGACGTCCACAATGATGATTGATCGTGATGCAAACCAGTGGGTAGATTGTGTGAGCTATGAGCAGTGACATCATCTTGCATCAACTAGATTACACACCGCCATCGGATATGTTCTCTACCTTCACATGCTTCCATATTCACGTCGGGACCAAGACCGTACAATATGTCTTCATCACCGAAAGAGCAAACGCCTTTACCCAAACTAGACAGCAGCATCTTTGACGTGGCGCCCAAGACCGATTGGCAGAAATCCATGTCAGTCGCACATTGCTACATAGTCTGCTCACTTACTGACACAATGCCAGCACCAAAAGGAATGCACTTGAATCGCCTCTTCTTCGTATGCCCCGCGAATTACGCGATCTCATCTGGACTTTTACCTTCACACAGACTATCAGACCAGAAGCTCCCCAAAACTCTGCGTACAGCCCCCTTGTAGTATGCCGACAACTTTACAGGGAAGCTGCTAGCCTTTCACATACGTTCCTCATCTGGTCCTTTAGCTGTCAGCCGTCCTGGGAAGACTTCTTCTGGTCGTTGTGCGAGAATGAGAAACCCAAGTACAAGAAGAGCTTGATACGTTCTATCCAGATCGGCGTCGATTCGACGGACTTGTACATGTTGGCGGAGAGAGAAGATCCCGGATACGACGTTGAAGAGGAGAAGGTTGAGATTGCTAGGGAAGATCAAGGCGAGTATCGCCGTGTTACCTTCCGTGCTTTCGAGAACCTGTCGCACCTTGAGCTTTTGCTGTCCGCTACAGAAGTTTTCGGAGATTCAGATGATGATGACGAAACGGAACATGACACTATACCGCCACCAAATAGCACAGAAATCAATGAAGCCAAAGAAAACTTCACCAGGACTATGAGGCAGAAGCTTCCTCGTGTACGTGTTACGTACAGAGAGTTTGGAAATACCTCAGCCATGAAAAAGTACTTGGAAGAGCAGGATCCTTGAGCTAAAGGTTCTAGATGCCGAAGGGAAGGCATACTAGTTCAAGCGGTTCTGAATTGCCGATAAACTACATGATAAGCCACTGGTTTTGGTTGTGCTGCCTGATCTAACAGAAAGGTATTAGTTTAGCGAAGAGTTGAAAAAGCAATGCTAAGTTTTGGGTCTATCCCGCATATCGCGACTAGCCCTTCGCCGTTGCGAAAGGTGCCGGTAGTGCGCGCTTTTTTGATCGTGATGTGAAGTGTATGTTGTATATTGACAGTAACTGAAGGTATGCAGTCGGCATAAGTGACAACGATGAGTGCAGAATGGGATTTTCGCTGGACAAATCATGGCAAGTCGTTGCTAGTGCGTTTGGTGCATTATGCGTGTCTTCTATTTAGCGTATCTTATCTGTATGTTTCGAACAAGCTTCACGAATCAGATAAGGCAAAGAGACCACCGGGTAATAGAGATGTTGTTACAGTTGACACTGTAGCCATTGCTACGAGACTGTTTGTCAGCATGTGTGCGAGACATACAAAAAGTGACCCCCATTCGTTGATTGCCACATGGCCGAGCAAAGCGGCAGCACCGAAGACTAACCAGGTCACCGGACACGACACTACAGAAGCGACGGGAGCCACAGCTGAGGCTCTTCGTATTTCCATACCTTTAGTGGAAGCCAAGCTTTCGCGTCTGGCTCAGCGGACTTGGCGTCCTGCAAGCCAATATTGGATGAGGCGGTATACTCGAACAACAGCGGAAAGACTATGATGGAGAAGTTTTGCAGACGTCGAACATAGGCTGATCTAGCCTTTCGCCATTGCATATTGACAGCCTCAGCTTGTGGGACTCAGAGTTGTGGTGGCGTGAAGATACAGCGAAGCAATAAGGAAATGGCAAAGACGACGTGGAATGTGCCTACACAGAATGTACTTCAATGTGCCAACGATCCACTGAACAACATAAAGAGTTGTCTCGGAATAGATGTGTAGGGATACCCGAGGATACATTGCTAAGACCGGTGTATGTTGTTGGAATAGTGACCTTGATTTAGTGTAATCTTTCTCGCGTGTCCAAGTGCCGTCGCGGGGTTGCGCAAGGGTAAGCGGGTAGATCGAGGATTAGCGGAAAGCCTCCTATGCTAGATATGTTCCGATACTGTGCCAAAGCAAGGCTCGGTGCGGAATCGATTGCGAGGTAGGTGTGTCGAACACGCTTCCTTGAGCATAGCGACAGGATAACCCTGCTACCTGCATTCAACAATGCTGTATGCAACACGTTCATAGATCTGGGGGTGATACGATGTCTGCTGAGAACAAGTGACCATAACGTCGACCCAATGTCATAGACGTGGCACCAGTATTAAGCCTGGACAGCGTGGCGATGGCTACAATCGTTTTTGAACACTCACCAACCGGAAACACTGTTCCCCGATCAGACCCCGATCCATTAAAGCTGCCCTTTTAGCGGTTTCATGAAAGAAAAGAACCAAAGACCACTCGCACACGTGACGCTCTGACTCGGCGATGCTGACGCTGTGGGTACAAGACACGAGAAAATGAGCCGTGTTTAGGCACGCATGATCTCCGCGCAGATGGTGCGTTACGGGGTAGCTGAGGTCGAGCTGTTGAAAAGGCGTCGTGGCGTCGAGAGCTTCAAATGACAGGCTGAGCGAACTCCACGCCAAGGCCGGCGGGCGCTAATATAGCGTCGATCAAAGCATGATCACAGTCCAGACCTCTCTTCCCGCAGCTTCCCCTTCACACTTCTCCGTTTACGACGAACAGAAACAGCATCGGCGCAATGACAAGCATCCGCTGCCAGTCCTCCGGGCTCACCTTTGCTATTCTTGGACCCACTGGACTCCCAAAGAAGCCTGCCAAGCTGACCGGTCTCCAGCATGATGTTATGACCTAGTATTAGTGCCTCATAGCTCACACATGCTCCAGTGCTGGCAACACTGTTCAACCCCAGCAAGACGAGACTGCCATGGTCGTTTCTGTGGGGGCCCTTAATCGTCTTGACCGCTCGTGTCTAGGCATTCGCCTAGGTATGTAGAACGCCAGGCATCGATGAGGACTTTTTTGGCTATACATCAGCCATTCCAAGTTAAGACCGCTTCGCCCGAAAACCTCGGTCTACCCGGCACAGAATCCATAGCTGGTCGGCCTCTTATCAGGCCTCCATGATCTGTCTTGAGTGTTGAACAAGAGCAAATGATAGTCAGGTGCCTGTTGTCGAGAAGATTTACCAAAGTCGGAATTTAATCCAACGATACGTATGCACAATTCGGTACTTGAGATTAATTTACTTCTGCACTCGGCAGAGTAAAACATGAACCCATAATCTTCCGCCATCACGGCATTGCCGTACTACTGTATGCCAAGACTCGCCAGCTTTCGTTCATCGCCTAGCCCTTGCTTATACCAAGCCTCTGGAACACTGCCTAGGCATGGATACCACCGGCTCTCCTAAGAAGTAGTTTGAAGAGTACGGGAACGAGGCGAATGTCGACACACCCAGACGGTATTAGCGAAAACGCCAAATGACGTCTCATGCCGCTCCTGGGCTTCACACGGTGATCTGGTACCCTTGTAGAGATGGACTTGACACGATTGGGTATGGTGAGATTTTTGAAATGGCTGAGCAGCTTCAAGGTAGGGGTGTTCGAGACCATTTAGCTGTTGTAAATAGCGAGCTGTGGGAGTATAAAGAGCTTCAAGACGTTCGTGTACAACGGACTATCAGCCCAGTTCACTCATACTTGCTTACCACTCTACTCCATTCGTCTTCCGTACGCCATGAAGAACTACTTTTCGATTGGAGTTGCAGCCCTCTTGGCATCGCAAGCATTGGCCGGCGATGATGCTTGGATAAGTCCCGTATACAAGGAGATTTTTCAAAACGAGCTTCCTATACCCAAGGATAAGGTCAAATCGTACACCTACACGAACAAGACTACAGGGAACCAGATTGACTTCTATGAGGTTGACGTGACGCCCTTCACACAACAAGTCTATCGTGGGCTGAAGCCTGCCAGACTCGTTGGATATGATGGAGTATCACCTGGACCTACTTTCAGGATGAAGAAGGGTCGAGAAGCCATCGTTCGTTTTAAGAACCATGGCGACAAAGATCTCTCGGTGCACCTCCACGGTTCGTATAGCCGCGCGCCTTTTGACGGTTGGGCCGAAGACACTACCAAGCCTGGTCAATACAAAGACTACTGTAAGCACCACCGAACAGCATCATCGTATCATATAATCCTGACGAACCTTAGACTACCCAAACAAACAAAGTGCACGAACATTGTGGTACCACGACCATGCCATTCATCATACAGCCGAGAACGCCTACTTTGGACAGGCAGGCTTCTACATACTTCATGACCCTGCTGAGGACGCATTGGGACTTCCTTCAGGCGCATACGATGTTCCCCTGGCTTTGGCATCGAAACAGTACAACAGCGATGGTACACTATTCGACCCCAAAGACGAGACCGATTCGCTCTGGGGCGATGTCATCCACGTCAACGGTCAACCATGGCCGTACATGAAGGTTGAGCCTCGCAAATACCGCTTCAGGATGCTCAACACAGCTATCAGCCGTGCCTTCAAGCTCACACTCGAGGACCCGACAGCCAAAAAGGTTCCCTTCCACGTCATCGGCGCGGATACTGGTCTTATGACCAAGCCTGTACAAAGTGACAACCTTGAAATCTCGATGGCCGAACGCTGGGAGATCGTGGTCGACTTCAGCACGTATTCCGGAAAGAACGTAACAATGAAGAATGCTCGTGACGTGCAGGCAGACGAGGACTACAACAGCACTGATAAAGTTATGCGATTTGTTGTTGGGACGTCCGTCTCAGACACAGCCGGTAATGGCGCTCTTCCAGGCTCGCTGCGCACAGTGCCATTCCCACCTAAGAAGAGTGGCATCGACAGGAGCTTCAAGTTCGGACGCACCAATGGGCAATGGACAGTCAATGGTGTTACGTTCGCCGATGTCAATAACCGCATCCTTGCTAAGCCACAGCGCGGCGCGGTTGAAGTCTGGGAGCTTGAAAATTCATCTGGGGGTTGGAGCCATCCGGTTCACATCCACCTTGTCGATTTCCAGATTCTGACACGTACCGGCGGCAAGCGAAGCGTCCTGAACTACGAAAAAGAGGCCCTGAAGGATGTTGTTCTACTTGGTGTGAACGAAAAGGTTACAGTCATCGCCCGTTACGCTCCTTATGATGGTGTATACATGTTCCATTGCCACAACCTTATCCACGAAGATCACGACATGATGGCTGCTTTTAACGTCACCAGTCTCGCCGATTTCGGCTACCCCGAAACAACCAAGTTTATCGACCCGATGGAGGAGAAGTACCGATCCAAGGATATCAACGACCATGACAACGAGGAGGAGCACATTTACGAGAAATGTGCTGAACTCGAAGCTCTCGAGGCATACACAGGACCTGAAAAGCTCGAAGACGCTCTTGTTGACTACTGGGCCAATGGAGGAAAAGGACCTAGCACGCTAGTGACCAGCACTCGATCGGCTTCTTCGTCTTCTTCCCAGGCAACTGCTTCTTCTACGGCACAGGCAACAACGACTTCACCCCCGTCTGTAGCTAGGGTTACTTCTTCCTCAGCTGCGATAACCTCAGCTCCTAAGGCGACGAGTTCAAGTACAAAGAAGGACGACAAGAAAACATCAACTTCGTCGACCAGGAGGAGATGATGTGTGATAGAAAGGGCTCATGGCGTTATAATTTCACTTGTACATAATTTTCTACGGCGTTCTAGAGGCTGATGTAGTAAATATCATGACGGCACGACAATACTTCAATAATACGGTCTTTCAGATAACTAGCCCCACTCGACTATGCTTGATTTCATGCTAAATGCTCACCATGGGCCCCTCGCAGAATTGGCCCGTCTTGTTTTCTTCTGAAAGGCAAGAGTAGTAACCCTGAAACATTCAATAAGCATAGATACTCACCAAGTCAAGTTTTACTATGTAAAATTCACCTGTTCATGCAGTCCTTCCTCTGGTGGTCTTTACTGACAGAGTTGGTACCTTAGCATGACTTGGTAAACCTCCTATAGCTGATTCATTTGTCTTGGTGGGTGACCTGACCGCTTTCTGCGCATTTTGGACTCTTTGACAACAAGATTCAGAAGTCGGAGAATGACCGATACCTCAAACCTATCCATTATCTCGTACAAACACACGTACGAAGTAGAAATCACCACGAAACATTTTGAGGATATCCAGAAGAACATGGCTACGGAGGAGCAGCAGCTTCGGCGGGATAGTATGGAGGTTGACTCAATCCGCCTCGAGCCAGAACATTGTCAACTGTAAGGCCGTGTCAATATCTTGAGGGCATTCGAATCAGAGTCTCAGCGATAGTTCCAAGGATACGTCTGTAGACCAGTTATAGGCTAGAATACCTAGGTAGACACGGAAGTAATACCAACAAGTATAAGAATCGATTCGGACACATCTCCTGTCCATGAACTTAACGGGCTTGCTGTAGCATTTGTACGCCGTAAGTACTGGAGGGTTGAATGATAGTGGAATGGATGTCCACGAATGGAGTGGGGCCGGAGACGCATCGAAGTGCCAAGGCGCCAGGGCACACCGTAACGCGGAGAGTTCGACCCTGGGGAGACCCCAATTTGAATCCCCATCGTTCACAAATCCCGTGTTTCTTGAACAACTACACAAAATGACGAACTTGGACATGTTGCTCCTGAAAGGGGCCTCTGCGAGTAGTCCAGAGGAGGGCCTTCAGGAATTGCGATACACAATCTTGACAAAAGGTATACCCGCCAACAGCGAGGGCATGGTACGTTCTCCACAATACCCCATGCGATTACATTGCGCATGGGCGCACTCTAGAGCTGCTCAATGGTTCTAAATGCTGACTTCGCATTGACTCAGTCGGAGCTACGCATATACATATGGCTCATACTGCTCAACGCGCCTCCTCTCAAGACCGACGTATATCTTGACCTTGTCCGTCAAGGCGCTTCTCCAGCGCACGCCAAAATCCAAAATGATACCTTCCGTACCTTCCAAGGCGATCCTCTCTTCCGAAGACGCGTCACCCAGAACAGCATCACGCGTGTGCTCAACGCGGTCGCGTGGAGACTGAACGATGCACACGAGGCACGCGTCAATGGCTGGCAGTCCCCACCCACGTTATCTGAGTTTGGCGGTAGTCCAGATACCTCGATGATGTCGCGCCCTTCCCTGACCGCGGGCACCCGTACAGAAGCGTCTACTACAAACGACGCCGAGCAGATTGGATACGTGCAGGGAATGAATGTGCTTTGTGGTCCATTCCTATACGCGGCAAGGAGTGAAGTCGAGGCTTTCACGGGCTTTGAGCGACTCATCACGTACGAGTGCCCAGGTTATGTGAGGGGGTCCATGGAAGGTGTGCACAAAGGTCTCGCGCTTGTAGACAGAGTGCTAGAGGTCGTCGATCCTAAGCTGTACGGTCATCTCATGGCACACCACATGGAAGCCAAGATTTATGCTTTCGCATCCGTGCTTACCATGTGCGCATGCACACCGCCACTACCTGAGGTCCTGCAGCTTTGGGACTTCCTCTTCGCGTACGGACCGCATCTGAACATCCTGTGCATTGTGGCTCAGTTGGTTCTCATTCGCGGTGACATCTTGAACAGTCCAAGGTGAGCTTACTCTTCGCGCTCTTTTGTAACGTCACTGACACATCAATAGTCCCAACACTATTCTACGTAACCTGCCCGGCCTAAATGCTCAGAAGATCGTAGGTGTAGCTATGAGCTTCGCCGGCAAGATACCTGAAGACATGTACGCCGAGATTATCAACCACGCAAAATGAGCTGGTGTAAAATGGGGAGGATGAGATACGACATTGTGCTTATGATTACGACCTTATGATTAAACGATACCCACGGGAAAGCATAGCTTACAAAATCAGCATTGTATGAAAAACACTTTGCCAATGTGTCACCTGCGTTTGCGTAATGGTATCATGCCTTGTATATGTATTATGTCAAGCAATAACTTGTCCGAACGGTACCAGACTCACGGGATATCAGCATCGTCGTCATCCCCTCCAAATCCAAAGCTAAAACCTCCTACAGGTTCCTCCTCATCTCCCTTGGTCAATTGCTCCCACTTGCCTCTACTTTTTTTGCCTTTCTTTTCCAGCTCCGCGAGGCCTTCCTCCAGCAAGTCAGGATGCTGCTCCTGCAGTCTCTCTACGAAAAGCTCATAAGCACGATCGCAAACATCCTCTTTGAACCCACTAACTTCGCCCCTCTGATCGCGCAGGAAGCCCAGGACGTCGGGTAATTTCTTTCGTGGCACAAAGTTCTGCGTGAGCGCGAGGCTATCTTCGAGGTTGAGGACGAGGTGGAACCAGCCGGACGGTACGTGTAGGACTTCACCGGCGTGGCAGATTCCTTCTTTGCAGCCAGGCGTTTGGCGTGCGAGTTCATGGAAGGTGAGCATGTATTCCGCGATGCTGAGCGGAGAAGTGATCTCAGACTGATCGTCACTGACGATGACACCTGGTGGAGGTTCGATACCTGGGCCAGCGGGGAACATCAGCCAGTACTTGCTACCAGTTAGGACGGCATTCCAAGCTGAAGTAGCGTTGGGGTCTTTGTGGAATGTGGAACCGCTGCGCTTGGGACCCATAATCATCCATCGGCAGTCGGGACGATGCTCGCCGAGGACACTAAAAAGGTCATCGCCGAAGCACGTCGGGCTCCAGTATGCCGCCTCTTTGGAATGTGGTGCTGCTGTGATGTCTATACCGGTCTTCTCGGCAAATGCACGGTCGAATAGATACAAAGGTGACTCGTCGGCGTTGTCGTGCATATAAGACATGTACTTGTTCATGGGCCAGTCTACTGCTTCCGCGCGGAACTTCGTATTTGGAAATCTCTCGAGAAGGTATTCAGGTGTCCAGGAACCATATACAGGCCATTGTTTGACGGGTGTAGTGAGCACGAAGGGTCTGTCGACCCATGTCTCGGCGTACTCTTCGTAAGTTAGGTCTGAGAGTCGAGCTATTTCATTGTGTTTTGGGATGTTGAGCGCATATGTATTCAGTGTTGTGTGTGCGCATTGAAATGGCCGGTAAAGTGTGTCTGAAAACAGATTGGTGCATGAAATAGAAGTGACGTTCTCTCTAGGTATTTTGAGGTAGGTTGCTCGCCATGTTCCACGCCATTCAAAGTCTTCAGGTGGGGAGCTGTTCGAAGATTAGCATTCGCTTGTAGAAATGTTGCACTCTGTCCGATTTTGTTTGATAAAAAGTAAACGGAGGGGACAGGTCAGGCAGAAAATTGCTGAGAAAATAGTACCGTCTTGCCAGCAAATGCCAATCCTAGCGTACGTCTCATTATCGCATATGTACCACGATACGATATAGAACCGAATTGAGAAATACGCCCGGATCTGATTTCAATAGAGCGAGATTCAGCGGCTCAGCTGATCTCGCAAGCGCATGTTGTCTTGCGAATACACAGCCGCTGATGCATAATCAGGCGTGCCGGCAGAGTCATACCTCGTCTAGCAAGCTTACAAGGAACAACGTCCTTCGCATATACCGTATGATTTGACATATGACTGGGAGATGACAAGAGATATGGGTCATGACTGTGAGCCACAGAGGAACGGGAAAGATGGACAATGTGAGATGTTGCGTGTATCAACCATTGAACTCACCTTACGAATAAGGCCCGCCATAATTCGTCCAGTCGAGTGAAGGCATACAGAGCCCGGCACGTACTCCCCAGACGTATCAAAACGTCAGCCTCGAATGACTCGAGGACATGGCTCAGAAGTTCATCTGGGAGACTAGCGAACAACCCGCATCTTGATTTGATATTTTCGGACGCTGTCAAAGCATTTCCGGCCGGCTTAATGCCCAGGGGATGCGAGGGCACTGCGATTGCCGCCGCCACATCCTCATCGTCGACTTGGGTCTCGGTCGCCACCGAAGTCTTTATTCTTTTCGACGGTCGTGATTCGACAGTGGTAATGCCAGGGTGCTCCAGGATGCCGGGCGCCATTTCACAAACAGACGGGGACCAAGGTTAGTGTTTGCTCAGCGCGGGCGTTTTCAAGGCTGCGAGTGAATCAAGAGGCAAACCCTGGAAATGGAAGAGAGGAGTCATAGGCTGACACTGCAACGAACCAGTGGAAGTGAAGGCGAAGCTGAAGGTGGGAGCCCGTGGGCGGTTTTGAACTAGCGTGCTTTTAGCACTAGCCGACTGCTGAGATTTTTTGTGGCCGACCTCTTAAGCCAAAAAGCGCCCACCTTCTCACTCCCTCCACCACCAAATCAACCACACAACAAATACTACACACTACCCTAGATACCCGTTCGATTCTCTTGTAGAGGATCTGGTATCTAGTTTTTACAACACAAGTTTCCACACACGCGGCGGTATCCAGAGGATCCTCCGCTTTAACCCCGCCACGAGCAACACTTCGACTACGGTCCAGTACCAGTAGTCACTCCACCAAGTCGCAATCATGGCTGACAAAGGTCTTGAGGATGTGCCCGAGGGTGAGTTCTTGTCCGAGTGCTGCTCCGCCGCTGTTGCAACATGCGCGCCCCCGCAGTGCGAAAGCGACGGCCATGATAGCCTCAGTTGCGAAATATGCTGCGAGCCCAGGCTAACCCACGCGCAGGCCAGATCGAGTCCAACTACGATGAGATCACCGACTCCTTCGACAACATGAACTTGAAGGCCGAGCTCCTCCGTGGTGTCTACGCCTACGGTTTTGAGCGCCCCTCTGCTATTCAGCAGCGTGCCATCATGCCCGTCATCAAGGGTGAGTTTGCCCACACACACACAACCCCCACTACACCACCAACACAGCGGAAGAAACAAAACTGACAGACCACAGGCAACGATGTCATTGCGCAGGCCCAGTCCGGTACCGGTAAGACGGCTACCTTCTCCATCTCGACCCTCCAGAAGATCGACTCCAACGTCAAGGCCTGCCAGGCGCTTATCCTCGCCCCCACCCGTGAGCTCGCTCAGCAGATCCAGAAGGTCGTCGTCGCCATCGGTGACTTCATGGACGTCCAGTGCCACGCCTGCATTGGTGGCACCAGCGTCCGAGACGACATGAAGGCCCTCCAGGACGGTCCCCAGGTCGTTGTCGGCACTCCTGGCCGTGTCCACGACATGATCCAGCGTCGCGTCCTCAAGACCGACCACATGAAGATGTTCGTCCTCGACGAGGCCGACGAGATGTTGTCTCGTGGTTTCACCGAGCAGATCTACGACATCTTCCAGCTTCTGCCCCAGAGCACCCAGGTCGTCCTTCTGTCCGCTACCATGCCCCAGGACGTCCTCGAGGTCACCACCAAGTTCATGCGCGACCCCGTCCGTATCCTTGTCAAGAAGGACGAGCTTACCCTCGAAGGTATTAAGCAGTTCTACATTGCTGTTGAGAAGGAGGACTGGAAGCTGGACACTCTCTCCGACTTGTACGAGACTGTCACCATCACCCAAGCCGTCATCTTCTGCAACACCCGCAGGAAGGTCGACTGGCTCACCGACAAGCTCACTGCCCGTGACTTCACTGTCTCGGCCATGCACGGTGACATGGACCAGGCACAGCGTGATGTCATCATGAAGGAGTTCCGTTCCGGATCTTCCCGTGTCCTCATCGCCACTGACCTTCTCGCCCGTGGTATCGATGTCCAGCAGGTTTCCCTTGTCATCAACTACGACTTGCCCGCCAACCGCGAGAACTACATCCACCGCATCGGTCGTGGTGGACGTTTCGGACGTAAGGGTGTTGCCATCAACTTCGTCACCGCTGACGATGTCCGCATGATGCGCGAAATCGAACAGTTCTACAGCACACAGATCGAGGAGATGCCCATGAACGTGGCTGGTAAGTGCCAATCGATTCCTACAAGTTCAAACTTGATTGCTAACCTTGCCGACAGACCTCATCTAAGAAGTTGTGTACTGCTATCTTCTTGTCGCCGCCTCGCTCTGCCCACTAACGCTTCGGTGGTGCATTGGATAGAGGCGGTGATCTTCTAATACGAGTACACCTGCACGGCCAGGTGTTCTCTCTGTTTGGTCCGGTTCAAAAGTGGTTCGAGGTAGGACGAGTGATCGTCTATACATCGCGGCATCTTGGCGTTGGTCTCTCATGTGCGAAATGATTTCCCTAAAAGAATGTCTGCATATGATAGACACACGATGCTTAGCTGACGGATGGGTCTTTTTCTGCAATTTCATGCTATTTTCCTATGTCCTCGAGGATCTGCTGCACGTCGTCAACGCATGCTCACGCGGTGGGATTTGTAGCACTGTTCCGATGCCACGCATGTCGATGATAACGATCGGGAGTTTCCTGTCATATAGAGATGCGATTCAATTGCATGCAAGTTACTTAACATGCTCTTCTGCTGCGATGCCTGGGTGATTGAACTACGACCATTGTCTGTCGAGCATTGACGTCGAGTATACTGTGTCTCCGCACGGCATCTATTTAGGGTGCGGGAGGCTCTGGGGGCTGCCACTAGGTTCCTGCATGCCATCGCCTATCGATAACCTCGGCCCATAAACCCCACCGAGTCTCATGCTCCCGCCCCGGCTCCGACGCACGCGCAACCTCATGAGACCGACAGCATGGCTCGCCCAAAGCAAAGCCATTGCGAGCATGGCGCTTTCCCAGAGATCTGTTGTACGTCTGTGCCTTCGGCGTTGGAGGCTTCCGCTCCTTTCATCACGTCATAGCCCTTTCGTCTGCCATCTGCTAATTACTCGGACAGCGCGCACTGGACCGCCTCCGCACATATACGCCTCCGCCAACGCAATGGTATAATTGCCCCCTTACCAGACGCGCCGCCGTCCTCATATTGCTCTTTCCGGACCGTCATGGCGAGCTCAAGGTGGTCCTTACGATGCGAAGCGCGCAGTTGCGCAACTACGCAGGACAAGCTGCGCTGCCTGGAGGTACTTGCTCAGAAGTCATGCGGGGGATGACATCAGACTTGCCTACTGACACAGTTCAGGCAAAGCTGACACACTCGACGAATCTCCATGGGACGTCGCGCGTCGCGAGGCTGACGAAGAAATCGGTCTTCCTATGAACGACGACAAACTTCGGGGTTTTACCGTTGAACACCTTTGCGAACTTCCCGCAAATCTGGCCAAGACTGAACTTGGGGTGCGGCCCTGCGTTGCCTTCTTGCGCCCTACCCACGTATCTGCTTCCTCCGAGGCGAGTGGCCTTTCTGTTGAAGAGAAGCTTATGCCGCGACTCGATCCCAGAGAAGTTGCTGCTGTTTTCACGGCGCCGTTCCATAATTTCTTGCGCAAGGAGTGGGACGGTGAAGGTCCACCCCCAGTCCAGAAAGACGGCAGGCCTGAAAAGTGGTATCGAGGTTCATGGACAGACTGGCACGAATCACGCTGGCGAATGCACAACTTCTACATGCCACGGCCTCCTCCATCTCCATCCTTGCTACGCAATCCCTCGCGATCCTCTCCACAATCCTCACCAGAGCCCTCGTTGCAACAAAAGTTACCCGATGGAGATGACCCGAGGCCGGAACCTAGCGCCATCGATGCCCTCACAACGTTTAGAGTGTTTGGTATGACAGCAAGGATACTAGTCGATGCAGCCAGAGTAGCATATGGCGAAGAGCCGGAGTTTGAGCACAACAGCCATCACGGAGACGAGGAGATGATAGGAAGGCTGTTGAAGATGGGCAGACTTAGCGAGGTGAGAAAGAAAGGCGAAGTGCTGACCCGAGAGGTGCTCAGGGAAGCTAGCAAGATGTAGAAGCTTAGGGACAACGACACAGTCTAGACGCATTCTTGACGTACTGCCATCAATCGCTACTTTAGAGCTGACCAGGAAGGCATGGTACGAATAATAGCCATATATTGATCTCTACATGAGCTATTCTCACTTTCATTTATGGTTGTTTCGTGTTTGAGCTGAGGCCGCAATGTGGATCTTGCTGGACTCTCAGGAGGGTGAGGCAACAAGGTTCGCCGAACGTAAGAAAGGATAGCAATGCGCGATCGATCTGAGCCAAGATGAAGATCTATCACTGTGGGCAATGCTGAAGGAAGGAAGGATTTTCTAATAGTAAGCCGGGTGTTCTCGGGCGTTTTCTGGGCAGGTATTACGTTGGATCACACTGGATACGAGACTTCAGCGGCATTACTTAGATGAGAACACATGCCAAAGTCATTCACATACACAGGCGCTTGAACGTACGGTACTACGCATCTGTAGCACACCTGTGTATTTGAAAAGTAACCAGCAATTGATGTCGTCCAACAATGCAACATAAGAGCATTGCGAGGACATGATGAGCGCAATTTATGTACGACCAAGGACGCTACACACATACACACATATCAGCTTGGCGAACTCTTGTCTCTTCCGCAGTGCTCCGCGACGCGCCGTCCTGTTCGCCCGCGAGCAACGGGGTGCATGATGTGGTCAGAGCAATGTTGACATGTGAAAAAGTGCCCAAAGGCTTTTCTTGGCAAGTGCACGGCGCAGCCCGCTTTTTAGCGTTCAGCCTCATGCCCAGGTGCAGATCATCATCATCCGGCAACTCTTGCCCCGTTGACCATCTTCACATCCCTTGCCTCTGATCATTCACAATTTGCATCAACGTTGGGCTCTGCGCGTCATCGACGCATCGACAGCACTGCCTCGAACACTGGATCACGGTCCGATTGGTGGCACGAATTTGAGAAGGCGTTGAGAATGCACCGCCCACGCCCAGAAAGCACCTCTTCATCACAGACCCACCGTACGCGAAGCAGTGCATGTTATCCACCTGCGACGGAGCCATGGCGATGATTAACTTTGAAGGTTTACATCGAATTGAACAATGAGTAGCCCCTCTCTCCAAGCAACCTCCAAGCTTGTACGCGCTCACCTTGCGTGGCAGCATCAACTCTATAGGCAGGCTTCTCGAACGCACGTGGGGGCCCGGCGCTTTTTCGAGAAGTCGATGGGTTAAGATAGGCTTTTTGCCTAAGGCTTAGCCTTGGCCGAAGCAGAGTCAAACACCAGAGTGGATCTTGGGCGAGGTTTCTGGCATTGTTGAGACGACTTCGAGATTTTGTCGCGACGATCTTGGCCCGACAAGGTTCGAGCGCCCACAAGCATCAAGTGCCGCTGGTGTCAAACTTCCTCAACCTTATCTCTGTTCTAGTATGCGGTTGTGGCTTCTTCGGGCTGCGAAACGGTGGCCCCTTGTTTTGGTGCGTCTTGCGCGGGATGCTTGGCATCAAAGCCGACGCAACGGGCTCCGCTTTAAGCGTTTCGTCATCCGTTTCGACGCCCCTTTTTGGACCACGAATCACCGCCGCTCAACAGCTTGAGCCGCATCTTATTTTCTCGTTGCCCACGTTCCGCGCTTAGGAAATACCCTGGCCAATTCGGAGGATCCCGGACCGCACCATCTCATGGTGATCCAAATTGGAGACCGCCAGCCAGCCGACCAGGGGTTCTCTGAAGTCCAAGGGACTCACCCTGCTCCGCGGCGCGAAGCCGATGCTGTGTCAGAGCGATTCGGTCCTGTTGCTCTTGAAGCGATGCGTCAGGTTTGCTCTAGACCCTAGAGATATGAGTTGTAAAATGTTTCCATATGACAGACATGGTGTAAGAAAGGGCACCCCCGTATACTCATACGACGTGGAAATCGCCGTATCGACACTGAGTGGATTCAACAGACGAGAATCGTCCGGCATACATTAAGTTATCCACGAGGTACGCAAGCAACATAGCCACGGTGCAGATCAAAGAATGCGATAAGCATTCGTCTTGAATGTGCTAAGCGACGGAAGCTAGGTCAAACGTCTTGGCGCATCGTGCACTGCCAAGGTGGAGTTTCCATTCCTGGGACTAGATGAAGCGAAGACGACCTCAGGTCGTTATCTAGCAGCACGTGCGTTGGCTGCAGCCCGGAGCTTATTCGACGCTTTGATGTGGATACCAGGAGGACATACGCAACACTTCGTCCTCGCCAAGCACTCTGAGATCCCACCATTACTCCTAGGAGCCTCTCTGACTAGCTGCCAGAGGCCTTTGGCGCTAGGCTGGCACGCCGTTCGAAACAGGACCGATAGTAAAGAGACAGCCCCATGTTGATCCCGCTCGGCGCGTGTTAATACACTGGTGTAATCCCGAGCATCGCCTCTTGGGTTTCTATCAAATTGCCCCGTGCAGGTCAATACTTGTCCCTATTGCGCGTTTTGTGGTCATAGTTTCTTTCGGTTTATTTCCTTTATCTGCCGTCACGTCCATCTTTTAGTCTTCTTACGGTGCAGGCCACCTATTCTCTCACTTCACAATGGATACTCGCTACCAACCAGAAGGTTTGTCCTTTGGCACAAAGGACAACTTCAGCCCTAATTTCGAGAATGGACGATTCCCTCTCGCTTCCGACCAGCAACAACAATCCCAATATACACCTCAACCACAGCAACTGAGCCAGTATGGCCTACCTTCGGGTCCTCGTATGCAGACTCCCCAGCAGCAAGGCCAATATGGACTGCCTTCTGGACCTCGTCAATCCCAGCACTCGCCTCAGTCAAGCCGGGATGTAAACAACTACTCCCGCTTGTCCAACCCTCAGCAGCAGCAACAGCCACTAGAGCAGCAACAGCAACAGCTACAATCGAACCAGTACCAGCCTCAACCTGTCGCACCTCAACAGAGCCAGTTCCCATTCCAGTCTGGAGAGACCACTCGCACCAACACATGGGCGAACAACACGCCAGCAACGCAAACTCCAGCGCCAATGTACGCTTCTGACGCAGGCTACTTCCCCGGCCCAGTCGACGCCAATGGGTACCGTATCGATACGAAGGAAAGGCCACAACAGCCAGAGAACCCCTTCAGAGACCCAGCTCTCCAGTCTCCGCCACCAATGGACGACGTCGATCTGGAGAAACACAAGCACGACGATGGCCACTCAGGATGGGACAAGCACACTAAGATTCCTGGCAGGAAGGACCCTAATCAGCCATATCTTACCTTTGGAGAGCGAATCAGGCACTACACATGGGCGAACTACACCCTGACCATGGCCACGGGTGGTCTTGGTACGCTCATCGCTATCCAGCCCCATTCCTTCCCTGGTCTTATCACTATCGGTGCCGTTTTCTACATCCTCAACCTCATGCTGTTTACTGCTGTAACAATGACCATGGTTCTTCGTTTTACCAAGTATGCTGGATCCTTCAAAGCCTCTATCACCCACGAACGTGAAGGCCTCTTCCTCGGACCATTCTTTCTTTCCATCGCTACGATCATTACCGGTACTCAGAAATACGTCATAGAAGCTTACGAAGCGGATCATCCAAACCGAGCTTGGGCAGTCACCACAATGGCGGTTGCATTCTGGGCCTACACTTTCTTCGCTTTCTGTCTGGCTAGCTTCCAATACTCGTTCCTCTTTTGCCACCATACATACAAGCTCACCAGCTTCATGCCTTCGTGGCTTCTACCTATCTTCCCTATCATGCTTTCGGGTACGATTGCGTCGACCATTGCCGCTTCACAGCCTGTGTCTGCCAGAATGCCGATTCTGGTTGCAGGACTTGGATGCCAGGGTCTTGGATTCACGGTAGCTATTCTCATGTACGCGCATTACATTGGCCGTCTTATGCAGGTCGGGTACCCCGATCGTGAGCATCGAGGAGCCATGTTCATCGCTGTCGGCCCGCCTTCTTTCACCTGCTTGGCTTTGATTGGTATGGCCAACGCCCTCCCTGACGACTTCGATTTGCAGGGAGACGGCCTCGTCGATGCCAAGCTACTCAGGACTCTGGCTCTAATTGTCGCGCTTTTCCTTTGGGTATTGGCTATGTGGTTCTTCATGGTCACTCTTATCGCTGTAAGTTTGCTACAACACCACATTCCTATCAATTACTAACATCGTTTTCAGGTCATCAACTCCTGGGCTGTTTACTTCCATCTCGGATGGTGGGCTATGGTCTTCCCCAACACCGGTTTCGTCATCGCTACCATCTCCATTGGCAACTCCCTAAAAGATGAGACGGTGCTCTATGTTGGGAACGGTCTTACGATCGCTGTTATCACCATGTGGTTCTTCGTCCTGTTCAAACACGTTCAGGCGGTCTACGTGGCAGATATCATCTATCCCGGCATGGACGAAGACATTGCCGATCACTAAGCACCAAAATACAGTGATCTCGGCACTTTCGCCTCACGCCGTGCGATCTCTGCTGTCAACTTATTTTCACGGCGTTTTCTCTTCCGGTCTGATTCTATCACTCGTTGTACAACCACGTATACGCCTCACGTGAGCCAAAAGCATCACGCTCCTTTATACCCCATGTTTTATCCTCTCTGTTCTCGCCACCGCTTCTTGCCTTCTCCCCTCAGAAGCCGCCAGCAGGTCTCAACGCTTCTGCCCTTATAGATCACACTCCACCATCGATTCCAAGCATTAGACCTAGGGCGCGACAACAGAACAACTTGTAATGCACCATCTCAATCTCAGTCTTTGTATTTCAAGTTTATCCTTTTCCTATCAGCTTTTGCATAGCGTCGGCGTAAAAAAATTGGGAAGGGGCAACAGATACCATGGGCAATGATTTGAAGTTGCGCACTGCACTTTGATGGGCATATAGAACGTCCAATTCATATAGATCCACAAACAATGTTCGAATGCATGCGCGCGTTTGTTGCTCTTTCCCACCAATTTTGGTGCTTTCTCTTTTTTTCGTCATGCTCATTCCGCAGCTCTTCTCCATGAACCATGATCTGGCCCTCACTACCTCGAAGACCCCTTCCCCAGAAAATCATCATCACAACCCCATCTCATCACATCTCCGCTCTCACTCCGCGTAAAACAAGGCTGACAAGCACATAGACAATTAAAACGGCAGATAACACACTGCATGAAACACCTCAACAGTCTCACATACTAGTGGCCGCGCCAGCATTACAACCTCCGACCTCCGAGGATTATTGTGAAAAGCTTGGCCACCTTGGCGGAACTTCATCATCTCTGACACGTACCTCCCCCCTTTTGAGCCAATGGCGGACCAGACCAGGAGGCGGAGAAACTTCCGCTAATGGTCTGTGCGTTGCGCTGTGCGGACTTCTTTTGTTTGATGCACAGAAGCCAAGACGGTCTTGGTTGGTACTTGGTTCGTGAAAAAGATATCTTGGTGATTCAAGTGAAGGCTTGGTTTGTCCTGATCTGGACCACGCTTGAGATGCGATTGGGGACGGCGATGCGTACCGGAGCGGAACGGAAAGGACTGTGTTGCTACAATGCGTGTGTGTATATCGCGACCGGATAAGATTCGATGCGGGCTTGGCGAGCAAGAAAAGACGTCCATGGAGTGGACTGAGTGGGGAACGTCTCTAACAGCACAGTGGGGTTGAAGTGTATGGAAGATGGAGAGTCGATGGGGAATTGGGGAAAGTGGAGATGTAGATCAGTGTATGCGTGTTGTATGGTACCTATGGACTCGTCAAGTCGACCAACGCTCCGAGACGCTTGACGCGTAATATCTGTGACGCGGATGACGTTCGATATTTCATGACGTCTATCGTTCTACAGCGAGCTCTTTGGTGTCTCTCGATCTTTTATCTGTCTCACTAGTCGCAGCGCTTCGTCCAGTCCTCGTTTGGTGTTCTCAAAGTATACGTGGGAGAAAGAGCTGCTGGCTTGACCACTGATGGTCCTTGCTTGGATACCGTGGCTTATCACACTTCCCTGGAGCAGCATTAGCATGATGTATTTTCTGCTTTCGAGCCATACATCGTAACGTTGAAGTACATCCACCTCATCATACAAGAACAAAACAAGACAAGTCCAGACACTTACCCTCATCAAGTGAAAAACCCTCGCGATGTCCCATTTATCCCTTCTGGGATCCCAACCCGCCTTCTGCTCATACACATCCAGCAGCCCCCCCATCCTTGGCAAACCGTTCTCTGCTAGATTCTCCTCGTCATAGACGTCACCTCCTTGATCATCTCTCACCACCTGCTGTACCGTAGGCCCTCCAGGAATTCCACTCTTACTAGCCCGATTCCAATACGGACCAGTCACATACACAACATCCATAAGCGGATGCCCCAACGTACTCAGTTCCCAATCTAGCACAGCAATGACCCTGGGCTCCGTAGGATGCAGGATGATATTGTCAAACTTGTAGTCCCCATGGATAATGCAAGTGCGCTCGCTGGGTAGATGACTTCGTATATAGGCCACGATCTCGTCGAAGTGGGGATGTGCACGGCCAAGTTGTTGGTTAGTAGCGACATCGCGGACTTGAGCTTGTTGAGCTTCGATACGGGAGAAAGTGTTGCAATGGCGGGCGTAGAAATCGGTTTTCTTGCCAAAGGTTGATAGACCGATGGTGTCTGGGTTGATGGAGTGGAGCCAGGCTAGGGTAGATATGACGGACTTCCACGCGGCGCAGCGGTCTGAGAGAGGGAGGGTGGAGAGATTGGGGTCCGTTATTATGCGGCCTTTCACAAACTCCATGATCTGTTTACCAGTACATGTTAGATGGAAGAGATGAAAGATGAAAAGAGAATGGGACGTACGTAAAAAGCAGTTCCGATGATTGAAGGATCCATACATAGACAGTATACTTTTGGTACAGGGAAACCCTCCACTGTTCCGAGTGCTTTCAATACCTTGTATTCTCGATCGACTTGGTGCGCGACAGGTGAGATGATAGTCCCGCTGGGTTTCTTCCGGAGGATATAGCGTGTACCAGAGGCATCGTCGACAAAGTATGTCGGGTTGCTCTGTCCATATCCAATCTTTGTCGATATCACAGGTGTCTGCAGATTGGGTATCTCTTGCTGTAGATATGATCCAAGCTTTACGTCGTCCAGATCATGCTGCGTCTTCTCTTTCTGTGTATTAGCCATGGTGAGCCAACTTCTGCTTTCTTTATCTCTCAGATCCAATTATACAGGTGAATCCAGGTGGAAACACGAGATGCATTGTGGTTCTAAAATTGTGCATTGGAGATCGTAGTGTTGTTCGAGTAAGTTGTGTCGATCTAGAGGTTAGCCTCGGGAAGTCGCGTATGAGGGGTTCTGGGAACGAGCTAGTCTGTGCTTGCGGGGCGGGATCTACGACAAGGCGCAGTTATTGCGAACAGCAAGTCGAGCAGACTGGGTAATGAGGATCGTCAGCGCTGATCAGAGTAGGATTGCCGTGCAGCAATGAAGCTGAATTGATATAATCTCTACGCTAAATAATCGCGCAAGACGAGCATCAACTATGCTCTGGGTATCCCAAGAAAAGCTATAAAAAAGCCCAACTGCAACGCCAAAGAAGGAATAAGACAGGAACAATATCCCAATCGACCATCTTCTACTGTTTTACAACTTAGACACAAGAATTAGAAACCTCTCACATGGCGCTTCGTGTCTAAATATTATTTTTCCGGCCAGATACTCTTGTGCCCTTACGACGACGCCTCACTACCCTCGCTGCTGAAGTAACTTTGATCCAATCGTAATATCCACTCAATCTTTTCCCTCTCACTTCTCGCTCGGAAGATATAAGTATTGCTTCTGGCAAAGACGGCAAAGACAACGTCCTTGTGCACGCCAGCATTTCCTTGTCCGTTACTTTGCTGTCCGCCTCCAAGTAGTTTCGCAATCTGCGGCGAATGATCAATGCGCGCGGTGCTGACATTAATGGCATTGATTTCGTCGCCATCTGATGAATAGATGTGGAGATAAGGCTTTCGCAGCTCAACGTATCGCCGGATCCAGCGCGTGTTCGTTGGATCCGGAGTGAGGAGATAGGACGCTTTCATGAGATTCGGATTTTTGCTAATGAACCGGACGGTAGCTGTTAAGCTAGGTGTTGGGTTTGGCGACGGAGAAGAAGAGCGTGACGCGAAGGCGGCGCCATTGACGGGTGGCTCAAGGTTTGTGGGGTTGAGTATGATCTCTGCCGGAGCTTTCTTGGTTTTCCAGAGTGAAATCATGCGTTGCAGAAGTGCTATCTGAGCGTCTTCTAAGGGCTTGTCCTTGTTGGAAGCAAGTGCGGAAGTGGGTATGCTCAGTGCCTTCGACGACAAGACGGAACGCGCCGTTTCTATATCTGCGATGCGAGCGCGGCGCTTCTCAACATCGATGAAGTCGCGTACCAAAGAGACACCACGAGGTGTCCAGCCCGAGAGCTGTTCTTCGCCCTTTACATAGTCGTCTTTTGTGTTCATGCGCCAGAGGTCTGTCGCACGCTTGACAGATGTGGGACGGATTGCGACATTGAAGATTCCTACTGTCGAGTGAACAACTTTCACGGTATTCCAGATACTGGCCAAAGAGAAGAGTGACGTTTGGCGCATATACGAGCGGCCTCGAATCTGTACGAAAAGGTCGAAAGAGAAGGACATCGGTTCGATAAGTTTGGAGGATGTGACGTCGAAGAGGAGCGTGACCTTGACGCGGAAGTTGTCCTTTGTCGCGCGATCTAGTATTTGTGACGCGTGAGCCGTGCTGTCCCATCGTCCTACAAATTTGACATTCGTGGTGCCATCGGCGTTCTTCCGAATGACGGGTGGGGAGATGAGATCGACAGGTACTTCCTTCACAGGTGAGCCGTAGTTGGGACTGTTGCCAGCTGCGTCGACCATTCGAATGTGACCCATGCGTACCGACTTTACATCCTCCCACTGAATTGTATCTCCAGAAGTGTGTGTAAGGTTGACAACAATGCGACGCGCAAGACCTTGGTGAAGTTGGTATACCCCGGCGTCCGTAACGTTGCTTTGTGTTACCTCAACAGGCTGGTAGGTCCCATCGTCCGTGATTTCTTGTATCTGGATGCGTGAGAAGATGTCATGTGTATCCTCTGTGTAAAACTCCGACTCTGGCAATCGCGCATGACGGCGCTTTTGCTTGGGTTTTTCTGCAGAGTCGCGCATATCATCCCAGCTCAGAAGCTTATCGAGGTGGATGTCGGTGACCTTCGCGAAGATAGAGATTCGAAGGAAGGTCTCACGCGGGCTTGGGTAGGGAAGGCTCATACTGTGTACACTCTCAAAGCGGATAGGCCCTTCGTTAAAATCGGTGATCCAGGTTGTGGTCGTCGCTCCACTCTCGTCAGAGATACCGGGGACGAAGAGTACAGCATGGACTTGAGTGCCTTCTCGTTCTGGAAACCCAACAAGTTCATGCATACCAACATTGAACTTCAGCGTAGTAGAGGGAGCCTCCGCAGAGGAAGGCTCTAGCGATAGCCGGATGATACCAATAGGGTTCGCTGTGTAAGGAGAGATGACATCTAGACTAAAGTCTCGTACTCTAGACTCGAACACAGCAGCAAGCGGAACGTCCACATCGCCAATGCGCGAGAACTCGGGCATACAGGGTTCGGAGAATGGCGACTCAGGGTTAAAGTGCTGAAAGTATTCTGGTCGGTTCATATACTGATGCATTTGATGCATCCGTCGTACGCGATCGCGGAGCTTCTGCAATGACCACAAATGCACCACTTCCTTCTTGAAGTCGATGACACGAACACCAACACATGGCTTAGACTGGCTGTCGAGGTGTTCGTCGTCTTCGCCGGGGATGCCCATGTTGACTAAGTCGTAAGATGACGGAACAGTATGGCCGACGTCGACAATACAGAATTGGAAAACCACGTGCTTGTCCATCTGTTGGCTCATGACTTGAGCTTCCTTTAGGATAGCTGCGTTCTGCAGAAGCGTCTCCGCCATAGTGACATACTTTCTTCGCCGCCACTGTCTGAACACTGTCCGGATCAACTCTAGTTGCTGTTCATTCTGCTCGGTGTTTCCGGGTATTGTTCCGACCTCAGAGGCTCCATTACTCTCGGGTACGCTCTCGGGTACCCATTCGTGCCCAAGCTCTTTCATTTGGCGCGCAAAAGCCTCTTGTTGCTGTTGTAATTGCTTCTGCATCTCTTCTTTCGCAGCCCGCAGCTGTTCCAACTCAACTTTGGCTTCTGCATCAGCCTTCATTTTCGCACTGTACTCCCCCTTCTTTTCGTCTATCTGGTCTTCCATGTCTTCTCTTATCTCTTCCATCTTTTCACTGCCGTCTTGCCTCGGCGTGGACGGCATCGTCAACATGGTGTCGAGCGAGAAGTTATCCAGTGTCCCTCCAGAGGCATACTTCTCTCGTACAGGATACGACGACATTGACTCTGTATCTTCGTCACTGAATATCCTACTCTCAGGACGGGCTTTGCGGGTTTCGCGCAACCTGCTGAGATCCTCGAATAGTGCTTCAAAGTCCTCGTCTGGAAGGTTCTCGATCCGTTTATCAGGCCCGAGCCAGGCGGTAAGAGCCTCTCTGCGTGCGTAAGAGAATTCAGACTCACGACCGCGTTGCCAGAATGCAGGCGATCCTGCTCTGGGACTATCGGGGTCGAAATCGGAGTTTGCTATGCTGATGGCGCTGTACGATCTGTCGTGACCGGGTCTTGGTGCAGGCGAAGGAGAGTTGAGCTGGCTGGCAGTAACCGTCTGGCGGAGTAGGCTTGTGCCTACTTCAGCACGCTCAGCTCTTGCCTCTTGTGGGTTGTTGAAGCGGAAGATGTGGAAGTCGCCGAGGATGATGCGGTGACCGCTCTTGAGTAACCTTGGCTTATCGATGCGTACGCCATTGACCATGACACTGGCGGTTTCCTGGGGTATCACAGTCACCTTGCCGTCCACGTTTTCGAAGTGACAGTGTTCTGCAAGAATTTGTGAACCATTCAGACGTATTTGAGCAGTCTGGTTTTCGACGTCAGAATTGCCTACGGTCGTTGTCCCTGGTTTCAAATTGTAGACAAGACATTCAGTCAAGAGTGGATCATCGCTCAAGTTGACCAAATGAGGCATGTTCTTGGGTGTTGATAGGCCAACAAAACCCTTTTCAATACTGATGCCAAGCTCCTCCAGCGCAGCCTCCCGCTCTTTGTGGATCTCTTCTGTCTTTTGCAGTTTCTCTTCCCAGGTTTGGTTCAACTCGGTGTAGAGTTTTTCGGATTGATCAAGCTGCTCAGCAATTTCAGCTTTGGAGACTTTCTTGATCGAACCGTCTGCTTGTGTAATAGAAACGATTTGCTTTTCCAGCGGTGTGTCGGGTGCATATTGCTCTTCCACGACGCCGTTTCCTCCGGCACCCCCGCCCCCTCCTCCGCCTAGCTGGGACCGCAGTTTTGAAAGCTCTTCCTTGAGTTCTCTGATCATGCGCGCGTTGGGGTCCTCGTTCACGACAGCGTGGTTCTTGATGCGTTTGGCGGAATCGGCGTAGCGGAGGGTCGAAAGTGTCTCCTCAAAATTAATGTCGGCGGGAGAGATGGCGGCAATCATAGCAGTCATACTGTTTCCTCCTAATGAGTCTTTCAGGAGCCATGTTAGGATAGAGTCTCGATACGGCACTTGTGTCTTCTTCTTCCCTCCCGATGACTGATCTGCAAGCGCTGCAATGACACGACCCAGCGTGGATAGTGACCTGTTGATCTCTGCGCCCTCCTTCAATCTTGCACCAGTTGCACCAGTGGATTGCGCTCGTTCTGATCCAGCCAAATCGACCAGACTAATCTTGGCCACCCTCTCCCCGCTCATGCTTGTCTCGACATCGTGGCGCTTCTGGGTGAGGGTAAGGGTAAAGACGGCGTGCGATCGGGAGGACGTCTCGTTCATGTTGGTTGCAGCCACAGTACGAGCCTTGTTTCCTTCGTCCATGAGGTTCTCGATTTCGGGGAAGGACTGAACGACGAGTTTGGCCAGATCTTCGACATAGGGACCGGTGGATGGATGCTCTCGAACTCGTAGATTTCCCTTGTTGGATGGATTCAGCAGATCGCGCACGCGCTCGTTGTAGATTTCCAAATACGAGACTTCGACGGTGCACGAGGAGTTCTTGTCTGCTTGCAATCCCTTGATTCTCTCAAACATGTCCTGGCAAATCTTGGGGATGATTCCGTACTCGGCGCCATAGCCCATCATGGAGTACGACTTTCCTGAACCCGTCTGACCATAGGCGAAAATACAGTTGTTGTATCCCTGGAAGGCATTGTCGAGCAGCGGCTTGCCCAGGTCTTCGTGTAGGTTGTCCTGGCCCGCATAGTTGGGAGCGTCGCGGTCAAAGGACCAGTACGACCTGTCGAATGCGAACGTCTTGGTGCCTTCAGCGGCGGCTTTGGCGGCTTTTCCTTTGACGTCGGCGTGTGATGGGGGAGAGAGGATGGTCTGGTCGCCCTTCATCTGCACGATACACTGTGCATTGCGCGCCTTTTCTGCGCCCTGTTAGTCGCAGCCTTGCCTGGATCCAAGTGAAGCCTACCTCGGCCGTTGAAGGGCCTGCATCGCACCACGACCTTGATGTTCCCTCCGCCAGACGCCATGATGGGTGCGGTAACTTAATTCCTGGGAAATCCGGGGTACTCGGAGAAAGGAGATGGCAACGGGGCGCTCGGTCTATGCAGCGGTCAGACGCGGAATCTGGGAGACTTCATGGGCGGCGACGACGGCGAACGGGCTTGGTCGGGCGTGTTCGCGGCTCAGGGGGTGGTGTTGTGGTGCAAGAGTATTTGTTGTTTTGCTCATTAACCACCAACTGCTCAAGATTAGGTACGCGATCCTGGCACGAGTCCTCGATCCCTGCAGCCCACTAATGCGCTTGGACTTGAATGCTGGCTGTCGTGCAGTGGGACCCTGACACGGTTCAGAGACACTGACACTTGTGCCAACAGTTAAACATATATTACAAAGATGAAGCTGCCGATGGCACGTCTTCTGCCAGGCACGCTTTCCACTTGTCGAGGGGCAGCTCCAGAACGGGTCGGTACCTGGCATGTGGAATGCTGGGGACCCTAACTCTGCCTGCGCAGTGCGTCATTCCTCACCAAAAATAATAATAATTCACGACCGCGACAAAACCACGCCAAGGCACGCGACACCCGTTCAACGCGCACAATCCAATGTCGGCGACAGAAGCGACCAACGACATGTTCGCGCCGCCCGTGAACCGCGCCATGAAGGTGCTGGATCGCAGCTTCTTCCAAAAGACCATCCCCACCTCGGCTGCCCGCATCTTCAACCCCAAAGACATATCGCGATGCCGCAAGGAACTCACCGCCAGCAAGGACACGCTCCCAAACAATCGGGTGGACCCTATAAGAGCTGACCCCGATCCGGAAAGAGCGACCAAAGGAACAAAATGCCTGCTTCTGCGACCAGAAATTGTCCATGGTGGTGAGTCACAGCGTGGTGGTAGTACATGGAAGTACTGAGTCTGAAACCAGGCAGATCGGACGACATGGTCCCCTAAGCTACAGAGCCTTGAGCAAGACGGTACACTGGGCGTGATACCCTACCAGCTGCAGCTCGATTACGACTACTTCACTTACTCGGAGATAACGAGTGCCATCATTCCCCCGCCCGAATCCGTACACGACGACGAGATACCCCAGGGCTTTGCCCTCGCTGGTCATGTCGCCCACCTGAACCTCCGCGAACGATACTGGCCCTACAAACACCTCATCGGGACTGTCCTTGTGGACAAGAACCCCATGGTCAAGACTGTCATCAACAAGCTTGATAACGTAGGCACCGAGAATGCCTTCCGCACCTTCCAGTACGAAGTGCTCCACGGACCAGATGACATGAACGTCGAACTGCGCGAGCAAGGCTGTACTTTCAAATTCGACTTTGCAAAAGTGTACTGGAACACACGTCTACACACCGAGCACGAGCGCCTCTGCAACATGTTCCGTGAAGGCGAGGCAGTGTGCGACGTCATGGCCGGCGTGGGACCCTTTGCCATACCAGCTGGAAAGAAGAAGTGTTTCGTCTGGGCCAATGACCTGAACCCCGAATCCTACAACTCGCTCGTCGGAAACATCAAGATCAACAAAGTAGGTGACTTTGTCCGTTCCTTCAACACCGATGGTGGAGCTTTCATTCGTCAAGCATCGGCCGATCTGTTGACCAGCGACGAGCATTCCGTCGCCATCTATCCCAAGACAAAATTCTCTCGCAGCAAACCAGAAGAGAATAAACAACCAGAGCCCCTCAAGACGCTTGTTCAGCCACGCTTCTTCTCACACTACGTCATGAACCTGCCCGCCTCTGCCATCACTTTCCTCCCCTCCTTCATCGGTCTCTACGCCAACGTCCCTGGCCACTCCGCTGCTGATATCAAGAAACTCCTCGCACCGCACACTTCCCAGAAGCTGCCCATGATCCACGTACACTGCTTCTCTACAAAGAGCGACGACAACGTAGAGGAGATCAAGGGTATCTGCGACGAGGTTAGCAGGCAGTTGTGTACAACCATCACACCGGATATGGAGGATGTGTATATACATGATGTAAGGGACGTAGCGCCTAAGAAGAGGATGTTTTGTGCAAGTTTTAGATTGCCCGAGGAAGTTGCTTTTAGGCAAATATAGAGCTCGGTGCTGTGGACACGAAAGGGAGGTTGACAAACGATGTTGGACAACATGAGCCATGATGATGTTGTGTCATCAAAGTGTGGCGCGCGCAGTGGCAGCCTTCGCAGTTTGCAACATCTGACCTTTTATAAACGTGCCTTTTGATACCACTATCTACTGAGTAGGATATGTTACTCCGTTGCGGTGCTAGAGTCAGGGCCGGGTCTGACTCGCCCTTTCCATCGCTTCCTCCACTTTTCTCATAGATCCATCAACATCTCATCCTCGACATCTTCGTCGTATTCACTCTTTGCCACCTCTATGCTCCCCTCGCTAGCTGTCCCTGTGATCTGCCTCTCGTTATCCGCTGTCAGATCAATATATTGTTCCATGTCGAAATCGAACTCATCATCTGCCTTCCTCTCAGGTTCCACAGCCTGCTGCCGAACGATGGAACTAGTAACCTTGCCATCGCCTGGGAAGACATGCTCATCTGATACCCTAACCGCATCATCCACTGTATCCTGACCCACACTCACAACCCTAGGTATGGCATCACCTAACTCTTTCCTCGTATCAAGCACCCGCTGAATACCTTCCTGTATCTCACGCCTCGTATCTGCGCCACCAATCCTCTCATACCGCTTACACAACAGTGCATCAAGCTTGGTTACCCACTCCAAGATTTTCTGCTTCAACACTGGCTCAGCAAAGTTGTCGTATACACCTTCGGCTGGGTACCCCCACTCTAGGCTGTTGCGTCGCATGTCCAGTTTATGACAGTGTTGTAGGACAGTGCGGATATTCATGGGAAGGGGCAAGATTAGATCTTGGATGTTGAAACCTTTAGGTATGCGCTCAAGCGGTAGTCTAGAGGACTTTGTTCGCTCGAGGGCGTCGATTGTGCGACGTCTGGGACGAAGTGTCTTGCTCGGGGCTTCGTAGGGTGGGACTGTGTGAGGTTCCTGTCTTTGAGAAGGATTTTTGGCGTGTAATAGAGAGTTGACGTGCTGCTTTTCTTGTGACCTAAAGTATGCCTCCATGTCCTTGGCATTATTGTCGTGACGATGTGCGTCCTCAGCGGCTGCTACCCGGCTGAACTCCAGAGGAATGAGGGGATGGTCACTTCGGGTATCAAAAGACCTAGGAGTAGGCGAGTAAGGGAAGGCGTAATCGTGAATCTGGAACTGGCGGGTTGCGCTGCACGGCTCCAGCTTACTCCCTTTTTCGTTAAACACACCTTGAGCATCTCTATCACCGACCGATCGCTGGTCAAATACCATAGGCATTTGACTTCCTACAGATAATGGTCGGTACTTGTCAATCGATCTGCTTAGATTGATATCCGTTCCACGGTCATCATCAAGCATTAGACCATCTCTAACGTGTTTTGAACAGGGCTGTGGTTCCGCTGAGGAAGCTCGGGAAAGCACAGTTTCTGGAACGTGTCCTGAGCTCATTGGCGGTTTTCGCTGTGCATTACAGCCGAAGAAGTCACGGATATCGCTATCGTTTTTCGAATCAAGTTGATTTTGAATCGTACTCTCAACTGAATTTGGGATAGATTTGCGTGATGCCGACGAAGTGGTGGCAGAAGGTCGTAGCCCTTGGTTAAATGTCCCATGCTGACTACGAGCTTGTTGGAAAGCTTGTGTGCCAGGTAAAGACTTTCTCAGCACGGTATCATGCGATCCCCGAGTTAGTGGTGCAAATGGCTTGTTTGCATAGGTCTGTTGAGCACGACGCCTGCGAGGAGCTGAAGATCCCGGAGGAGTCATATTTTGCGGACTAGTAGCTGACTGACTGAAGCTTCGTACCTCTAAGTCTTTTGGATGAATCTCACGTTGCGTGAAGTGATTCGACATGCCAGTGTGGAAAGGAGAGATATTAAACTCGTAACGACGCTCCTTACCTGTCACTCTCTCTTGTGTGATGTTGTCCAAGGTATTGATTTCTGAACTCGCCTGCGATACGTGCTGGATACTAGGCTCTAGTTCTGCGTCCAGTGGAGATCTCACTACATTCGTCTTTGACAATGTTTGAGGGGTCAAAGGCAACGCCGAGCGAGGCCGATTGTGAGTGACAATAGGACTGGAAGAACCAGAATACGAGTTGGCATATTCTTGGCTTTTAGCTGGACTTAACAGTTGTTCATGGCTGGAGGACTGCTTGGGCTTAACTCTGGCATTCATTCGAGCGATAGTCCACGGATTAGAAATCTCAGCCGCACGAATTCCTTCCTCTTCTTCAATTAACGGTGTGTGGTCTTCTTGCAGAAACTGTAGATCATCTTCGTCGATCCCATACATGCTTGACCTCCAACGTGGCTGCGCTTGCGTCGTAGTGGCCGGAGGTTCCTCGATCGCGCTAGTAGACGTGTGTTCATGAGCTATGATCGGGCTTTCGGTGGAACTTGTTGTTCGTTGCCTGGGCTGATTTTCATACTGTTGTTGTGCAGATGTTGGAGGTTCAGCATCCCGAGCCTCCTGAGATGCCTCGGGATAATAGGCTTTGAGCAATTTGTCCACAACGCCAATAACCACATTGCTATTATCGAACATGACATCGTCTTTAGCGGGCTCGATGTTGGGATCATAGCTGTCAGGCGGACAAATGATATTCAAGCAGAAGAATGGATCTTTGATACCGGCGAGTGAAGGGTTTGACTTGCGGAGTCGGTGTTTGTAAGCTGCAACGATCTGCTTCATGGTACCGCGACTGCTCGATACAGGTCTTGCGTCGATCGAGATGAAGGTTCCTTGATGAGCTATCTTTGGTCCAGTCGCACCTGGCTTGGGTAAGAAAGCGTGAACTTCGAAGCCATCTGCTTCCAGAACAGTCCAGTCGCACTGTAGAGCGCAATTCTTGCCAATCACTTTCAGAGTTGCGTCTTCAACATTCCCATCGGCCTTCGGGGCATAAACGAAGTCACCGTTGTTGTTGTTCGCTTTCAACACGCGGAGTCTGAATCGTGTGGTTGGTCTGGCAAGCGCATAGGCCTGCATGAGTCGCCGAATCTTCGCTAGCAAGTTCGCTGAATTCTTGCTCGCTGTTTGCTTTCGAACAGGTATGAAGTCAAGGAACTTGGTAACTTTGACCGTCGTGCCAATAGGGTGAGAGTCATGTTCCACACTGTATGGTTTAGTACTGATAGTTTCTTGCGCAAGCACCAATGGGCATCTTACGAAGCAAGCTCACCGTCACGACCGTATTTGAGCTTCACAGCGACCGGCTCACCCTCTACCCGAGTGGTGATGCACAGCGAGCTGCTCATCTCAGCCATGCTTGAGAGTGCCTCGCCACGAAAGCCAAGCCATTTACCTCCGACGCCTTTCAGATCGCGAAAGTCTCTAATCTTGCTGGTACAGGAGCGCCGGCATGCAAGAGGGCGGTCTTGAGCTGGTATGCCATGGCCGTCATCCTTGACTTGGATAGAGTCGATTGTGTTGGCAGTAATGTCCACAAAGATGCTCTTTGCCCGCGCATCCAGAGCATTATCAATGAGCTCTTTGACGACAGAACTGGGGTCAACAAGGACCTGCCCGGCACTAATCTGTCTCGCTGCTATTGATGAAAGCGCCGCGATGCCGGGTACAGCAACGATTTTAGGGCCCTCCGACATACCGTTAGTTGTGAGGATGATGGTGCGAAGGTCTCATTTGTGCAATGTAATTAAAACTGAGTGAGACCTGTGGTTTAGGAGAGCCCCCGGTGAGTGTCTTCATCGTGCCTACCTCTTCCACAAGCTGGGCTCGAGGCGGAAAGAGCGACGTGCCTCGTACCTTGCGCGCGCCATGGTGCTACTCATGAATGTTACATTTTCCGTGGGCGTTATCTCGTGGGTCGCATGTCGATATACGATACTAACGCGTTCGTGATTCATAAGGTCAGCCTGCGTCATAGCTCTCAAGATGGCTTTCAAATTGACCAATCACAGCGTGCATCACGTTGGGGCCTAGGAACACTTCGACTCTTAAGATGGCCCGTTGCCGCGGTCAAGTTCACTATACATGTCTAATCGATCATTTTGTCAACCTCAGAATTGCATTCATTATTACAGCCAGGAAGTACCCGGAGTCGGTAGTGTTGCAGTTAGATCAGCACCATTTCACGATTCTTCGCTCAGAAACATCCCAAGATTGTTTACTCGGCAGAAGTATGCTCTGAACACAACTGCGCAAACACTTGGACTCATGCTAACTTCGTAGTTAACCTATACTGAGTCTGTACCATGGCCTACGCAACTGACGCTGCACGGTGGCGAGCCCTCACAGTAAGAGATGCTGACGCAAACGGCCATTTCATCTACTCTGTCAAATCCACACGGATCTACTGCCGGCCAACATGTCCAGGACGATTAGCGCGTCGGGCAAATGTTGGATTCTATGCGACTCCGTTTGAAGCTGAGGCAGCTGGGTTCAGAGCCTGCAAGAGATGCAAGCCAAATACCGTACTTGAAGATCCACAGGAGCGAGCGGTAGAGAAAGCATGTGTATTGATCGACGAAGCCTTGAAGAAGGAGGACCCAAGCTCACTGAGACTGCAAGACTTAGCTAAGAAGGTCAACCTCACGCCTCGGTACTTCCACAAGATCTTCAAAGACAAGACAGGCTTGACGCCAAAGGAATACGCAAAGAATATTGCGGCCCAGCGCAACAGCCCCGGCACAATATCTGCTTCAACGACGAGTGCAGATGAAGGGAACCAATTGCGAGATTGGGATACATTCGACTTCAATGATCTAGTTAATATGGGAGCAGACTCAAGTCCACTCAACATGAACGACTTCAGCGTGCCCGAGGAGCACTCGTCTGCGATCCATCACGATTTCAACTTCAACATGAGCAATCTCCTAGCGTCTTGGAGCGACAACTATGCGTTCGACCAGTCTATTTCCTGGCCGGCCGATGCCTTCGTGGGTAGGCCAGCAATGTCGGAACTCTATGAGAGGGCGGAGTTACCAGTGTCAACACTTGAGCTGGATGCTGCTGCGTTGCTCGACAGCAGTAGCATGTCGAGTAGCCTGCGAATATAGTATCCATAGTATCCACATATATGCGAGCGCATTCATTCTATGATATATGCGTCATGCAACTGCTACTAAGCATGCTCATGCTACTGCAATGTGATCCTGTCAAGCCTTTGCTTGCCAACCGGCTCCATCATGGATCATCGAGTAAAGACCGCGTTGGTTTGTGCGTCATACAGCGACGCCTGTTTCGTTTCAGCCGTCGCGAGGTGATTTCGTAGCCTGTTCATTACATCGTCAGCAGCGGTTCTACAACTGAATTCTATGATGTAGGAATGATGATGCTCTTCAGAGACCGAGTTATAAGCAGCGACGGCGTAGCATATGTCGATGCTAGCCATACCTTTTCCGGCTCTTCCTAAAGTATTTAATGGTCGATGTATATCATCTTTGAGCTTTGTGTCGACGTCGCAATTATGCGAGTGCTGTGATAAGAAGAAACCGTTAAACGTACCTTCTGAAACATAATACTGTAGATAGGAGCTACATGTTAGTCGTCTAAGATAGGGGAGATGTTGGCGAAGAGGGTGGTCGCCCTGTTGAGCTTTACAGAGCTTGCGCCATGGTGTTGGAGAGTTGGTGTCAAGGTGCAAAAGCGCGAGGAAGAAAAGTTGAAGGGTTTCGGAAGAAGGTGCAGAAACCACCGACAGGACCCACATCCAGGACGCGCTAACGTCTTTCATTCACTAAAATCACTAGCACGTATGTGCAACATGTCGTCTGTGAATCTCACATATCAGTCTCTTCGCGCTGATTGATGTGTTCGCAACGCTAAGCGTGGAAAAACCCTGCACGGAATTCAGTATAATCTGATATCTCCGTCAGGAAATGGAGTTTACTCTCCAACAGCGTTCCAGGCACTCAATGGATCCGCCCAGACCTCCCAATGCCCTATCTTGCCCTGCTCATCAAACCCACTAAACCTATAGATGAATTGTTCGTTCCATCCCTTGCCCGTTTTCCTACTTGTAAATCGTCCTTTACCAACGACACTTACCATTCCCGCCTCTGCATCCACAATGAACCCCTCCTTTCCCGGGAATGCATCCTCGGGCAAAGACATGTCCAGTACATCAGTCATCACCTTGAAATACTCCTCGCATCCATCTCTACCAGAAAAGGTCTTAGCTAAGAAAGGTAGCCGCGAACGTGACCACTCAGGGCCGTGCTCCGTGATCTTGGGCGCATTGCTGAAGTACTGCAATAGGAGGTCTGAGGGAGGAGGCGGCGGCGATATCAACGCGCGGCAGAAGGAGTGGGTTGTCTCCCGCAGTGCAGTGTTGCGCGTTGAAGACATGACTGGTGGGTCTTTCTCTGGGAGAAACCTTGAGAGACGGTGAAGCGGATATGGAAGCGTTGGGAGTTGTCGCAGTAAGCGATGCACGTGGTACTGTTGCGTGCTGGTCGGTAGGTCTACCTGCACTTTCACACGCTCAAGTGTGTGATTCGATGCGCGGAGACGACGTTTTGGGTACCGGGCGGCTGTTCCGTGTGGAGAAGATGAGCTAACAGGTTGTCGGTTCTGTTGCAGAACAATGGGCGTCAGCCAAAGACGCGCGTAAGACTCTAGCTTGGGGGCGTTTGATTGCCAAGTAGACGATGTTTGATACGGGACAGATAAACTGGGATCAGATGTCTCGGGTATGTGCAATACTGCCCACCGTGGAAGATGCGTGCGAAAAAGCGTGCGCGATCGGTGATAGTCTGGATGGTAGGAGGACCTGCGATGAAGTCATCGTGATGCTGGCCTGCAGCACTTGCACCTCCATGTTGCTCACAAGCAATGATCATGACAGAGAGCCTTTTGTTTTTCGCCCAAGCCTGGTACCGCCGTCTTTCTTGGCTTTTCTTCTTCACAGGGTGTGGAGCTGCCTTGTATGCTGAGAGTATTAAGCTACCTGGGTAGTCGTCTGCATCATGCTCCCCACTTCAACTCATGTCGCAAAGACAACACACCATTCACCAACAATGCAATCCAAGACCCATGCCCCTGGATATTCTGAAATGCTCCAAAGCTACCAATGCGATCCTTGCCTGGTCAGAATCCGCCAATAACTTCGACCGGCCCAGCGTGCCGTAACGGCGTACGTCAGCAAGGCCGTGACCCAATCTACAGCGTAGCATACATATGCGGCTTACATGCAACCATGCGACGCCGCTACGGAAGTTCCCTCTGTTGGCTCCAACGGAGTTATTAGGATGAGTCAGATGTAAGGCATGCAACAACTGTTACCTATCACTCACAATCGCATCTTGACCCGGCAGTTGCAGCGCGAGGAGCAGAGGACGCATTGCAGTATCGTAGTAGTATCAGAGTTTTGAATTGATCAATGTTGCCCTTGGGCTCCGAATATGTCCTAGGTAGTAGAGAAGCCTGCTGTCCACTTCCAAGATACTGTAAATAGTAGTAACAAAATGCTTCAATGTGAGCCAAGTGCCAAAACGCTGCTCTATGGTATCCATACCGTGTCATACGGCCCCATTAACGCCCCTCGCTGTGTGGTTATACAAGTACAATTTCACCTCCTTCCAACGTGCCACGGCGCCTTAGTCCATTGCAGTAAAGAGGCATACCTGCCGCGCCATCTGGCTTGCAAGCAGAATCTCCCTGAATACTTGGTCCATGCCACCTCTGAAATGGATCGTATAACTGTCCACTTTGCCCTTCCTTCTCTTCTCGCCCCATACTAGTTTGATTGGCTTCGCGTCGTCGCATCGCTTGCCCGTCCTGCTTCCAGGTTTCATCCAATCTTGCTGGTATTCGTACAATGTCTCCGGCATTGCATCATCGTTTGGATCACCCTGTTTCCACACGAACCGTCGTCCGCCGTATTTAAAGCGTCGTGGCGACCACGGAATCTTGTGCTGTCTATCTGGATATTCAGAAATCGGTTGCGAGAAGGGGCCCTTCAGGTGTATGCTTCGCGATTTGTAGGCAGCATCTTTAGTCGCCATACGCTTCTTGTCGATGCCAGAGAGAAGGATAGATATGCACGGTTGTGGGAATTCAGCGACGCGGAAGAAGTCGGCAGCGTTGACTTGACTGTCGTCGCGATGGGTGGCTTCAAGCATATACAAAGCGTATTTGTTCGAGTAGTCGCGTGCGCTGTAGATATACTTCCGGAAGCCTGAAGACCCGGTCCATTCTCGTGTGCGGTGAAGATTGTACGTCGTTGTAGGCTGTGTAGGATCGAGTAACGAGTGGTACGGGATGTCAGGAGAAGGGAGTTCGTCATGTGGAGCATGTGACACAGGCGAGTAGGAAGTTTGCCAGGTGAGGAGGTTATGGATCTAAACCATGTCAGCTTGGCTCAACAGTGCCGTGGGAGCGAGCTTGCTACTCACTGCGGATAGGCTCTCACTCTCCTCGTCCAAGTCTCCGTTGGCTCCCCATTGATTCGGTGCTGGTACAAAGACACACTCATTGCCCTCTTCGTCAATCTGATCGCTCCCACTTTCAAGGTGTGGCCTCAGCGCCCTCTGTCTCTCTCTGTGGATGTTGATCTGCGTCTTGAGTATGCGGACTTGCTCGTCGGAGTTGTCGTCGGGCGATATGCTGGCATGTGACTGCTCAATCTCTTGCTCCAGCGCCAACGCCGCTGCCTCGTGTTGCAAATAGGAGTTGTCGTAGAGCCAGGCGTGCTCGGATTCGAAAGCAGAGCTCCTCAAAAGCTCCAGGTGCTCCCGTGACGTGAGTGCTGGATGACCCATGGTTGGGCTATGTGTGTTGACTGAGACGATGTTTGCGAAGATGTGAAGGCGATGTGTTCCAGAACGAGGAGTAAAAAGCAAGTCGAAATGAAACGGGGTTGTGATTCAGCCTGGTGTCGCGCAGGAACAAAAGGAATATACAGGCACAGGTGGAATGAGGGACGACGGGCTGAAGAGCATAGTCATCGTGGCCAGGCTGGCAGCAGCTGATGAAGCACCATGGGAGTAGGTGGACGAGTAGGGTCGCGCTGGATCCCCGTCGCGCCCGCCGCACCCTGTCATACCGACCTTCTGCTGTTGTGGCACATGGCGTGCTGGGGGCCAAGTTGCGGTGGCATGGGATAGAGGTGCAGCTGCAGCTGCGCTAGTCTAAGCCGCATGGGGTAATGCGAGATTGGAACTCCATGTGCAGGGCCCCGGCACAGCATCGGAACAGTGGTTCTACATGTTGGCCATTCCACTGCGAGCAGTCTTGCAGCACGCCTAGTTGCATGCCCTCGGCCGTCCCGAGAACCTGTTATGCCGCCCGCGTGATAGCGTCAAGATGCCGACACGCTGCCGTTTCGCTTCATCCTTCGTGGCCTGAGTGGAAATTACCATTTCGTCTTTCGCCTATTCCGCCTCGTGCATGTCTGCCTCAGCGTAAGACCAGACCATGCCGCTTGCGGATTCGCAATGACGACTCTCACCGTCCTTACAGCAGCAGACTGCGGGCGCTTAGCAGGCATCGGACTCCGAACATGCGGTCTGTTCTCTGTCTAACCAGCCCACACACCACTTACGAACACCCACTAACAGTTGTGGCTTGCGCTGCCTCCACGACCCCTGGATCTCCAGCACCTTCGCGAAGCATTTGAAACGTTCGATACGAACCTCACCTACTTCTCACGCAGGGTCAGATGGTTTCGCGGTGAAGGAATGCTGTAAAGCGCGCTGGACAGGGAGCGTCGCCATGGAACGTGGCTGCTGACAGGCTTCTACCCCACAACCGTTATCTGGTGCTGCAGCTCCCTTCGGCTCGCCGTACGGGAGGAACAAAACCATCTTCTCATCCTTTTGTCCTTTCACGCACGGCTACATGTCGCACACCTAGCGTTATTGCGAGAGATTATGTTCTATCGCGTAGCTTGGCAAGTACGCAGGCATATATCGAAAGAATAAACAAAAATACCCCCAAGTGCCAGAGTCGCCATTCGGACCCAGCTCAGACGGCCCCCCGAAGAGTCTTCGCCTTGTTTGCGACATGCGCGGGGGAGATACGTCGAATGCTCAATTGTGGCCCTATGGAAGAGATCGTCGGCTCTCGCAGAAACCTGTTGGAAACCACGATCATCATAAGCATCGAGTCCGCCACGAGAACAAAGAACCACTGCGCTGGTAAAAGCAAGCACATGTTCCACTAAAGAATGAGATTGGCTTGCTATCGCTGCTCCGGACGCACCTTATGACTTCACTGGGACCCAGATGGTTCACTGGCCTATTGAAGCCAAGTAATGCTGAGACATTCCCTCTTGATTCCTGCGCCTCTCGTTGCCTTAGTGCAACGTGTGTTCTGTATCAGACTAGCAGTGCTCAAGGAAGGACTTACGAAGAAGTCCTTGCGATTTACCACCATACATCATCAAGAGCTGCTAACCCACACGAAATACCAACTTCGAAGGAAACGCAACTCGTGAGTAAATGGAAGGTTGAATCGCGTTGCAACGGAACCTTGGGGGAGGATGCAACAACGCACCAGAACGCCGAACAGGTTGCGAACCTCACCGCCTCGGTTGCGTTGTGATACTGACTGGTGCTCCACAGCATCGTATCGATGGTCGCACTGTCAAGCTGCAATGTAAGGTACGTCGCTTTGACTTAACTACCGGTACTATGGTCCCGAAAAACTGAGATCCCCACGAATACGTCATACTTCGATTGTAAACGTGGAACAGCATCAGAACAGAGCTATTCTATATTCCCTTCAAGAAAGGAGACGAAGCACCACGCAGGACAAATGGTACCGCTATATTTACTGACGTGACATCATGGAAGATATACTACTCAAAACAGGGGATCACTCTCTTTGATCGGGACCAGTTCACCCTTTCCCTTGAACGTCTCCACGACTTGCGCCTGTTCGCTCAGCATAAACCTCGAAGTCTGGTTTCCCACACCGGCCAGACCCCTCCATCTATCCAGGTCCTCTTTCTTCCTCTTGTCGCCCAGTGCCTCCTTTGCTCTCTTCCAGTGACCTTCCGAAAATGCAATCATCGTCGTCATCTTTTTCTCCTTAATGTCGTAAACCGCAGAGACGATAGTACCTGTCTCTTCGAGCCAGTTTATCTGCCATAGTTCGCCAGGGCGTATGCATTGGTATGTTGCGCGTTGGTAGTTCACGCGACCGGCCATCGGACCACCATGAATGGCATAGACGACACGGTCAGAAGAGAAACACCATAGTTCGTATCGCCATTTTTCGGGGTTGCCATTGCTATCTTGCGCGTCATAGTCGTAGATCAGATGCGTGTCGAGGATGTCTTTGTCGAAGCTGGGATCGAGTTCCGTGTTTGTGAGAAAATCGGGAAGGTTTTCGCCTGGTGCCATCGTGCCTGTACCTTGCGATGTTTGTTGATAGTGGTAGATATGGTAACAGCAAGGGTTTTGTAAAGAGGGCCTCAGGTTTGGATATGGTTGATGCTCGGCACTACCGGATCGATGACGTATGTATAGCTTCCAGAGCTAAATTCCACGCCATGCGGCGCTACCAGAAAGTCGACATCTAGATTGGCCTTTGCAATCGGTCCGGAACAAAAGGAAATACAGCTGAGTGTACCTACACCATCGACGTTAATGTGTATCCCTACTTACCATTATACCCACAAAGGTAGTATCATGCGTATAACTCATACCTCTGCCCTGGCGTATCCTCCAACTCTCTGAGAAGCGAATTAACCCATAGAATCAGAGGCATTACATCGCCTACTTGCACTAACGCTGATGCACTAATGACTTTCCAGTGGTCGTGTCGTGGTACGGGCCAGACCTGCTTCGCACTTACCCAAATGACAAGCACAGGTATTGCATATCGACATCTTACCATTGAGGCCACAATACATAGACGAAGTCGATCCGACCATGCACAAAAGCAAAAAAGAAAGAAAAAAGACAGGTGTTCTGATACGGGCTGTAATATCTTTTCCAATGGGAATTGAGCTCTGCGGAATGCGCCTAGCAAGCTGAATCTGACTCTCTACGCTTGAAAAGACATCCGAGAGGACTTCATGGAATCTGGGTCATGAGAGTTGACTTGATGCGATCTGTTGTGGATGAGGAAGAAGGATAAGGAGAAGAAGATAATGCATGGCTGATGGAACTCCGACTACCCTACTAGGGGCTTAGTGCGAATGACTAGAAGCTCCCGTGCCCATGGATTCGTCCAGCAGAAGTAGGCGATACATTCCCTTTGTCAGCAATGCCAGATACAGAAAAGTTCCGTACAAGTCTCTCGTATCGGAAATCTTCCAGAGTCTTTGCGTGGGGTACTCTAGGCAGAATCTGTTACGAACTGTCCGCCTCACTGAGAGGCTCTGTTCGATGATCTGGGCGGTAGCAGACCTCGGGATGGACTAACCACATTGGGTAGCATTATTTCTCGACTAGCTTACCTACCAGCACGGTCCGATTGATCAGTTCAGGAAACATACTCGCTGGATTACCACATCAGATCAAGATCTCGGTCTTGGTAGGCGACGGACGAATGTTAGAGAAGATTGCAAGGGCTACCATTCTCATGGTATAAAGGTCTGGGTGTCTGCAAGGAACAGATATCCAGCACACTCACAAACACGCACTCAACTCTTAACACTTAATCTAACTACTTGAACATTGATCGTCTTTATACATACCAATTATTTCTCAACTTTTCAATTTTTCCAAACGAGCCATCCAAGATGCCAACCCCTTCGCTTCGCCAAGTCATTGGAATCCCCAATTCGACAGCATCGGTCAAAGACTCCGTCCTTGTCATCATCGACGCTCAGGACGAGTACATCTACGGTAGTCTCCCAGCTCAAGATTACAAACAGGTCAACATCGCAATCTCCAGCCTTCTGGAGAAATACCGGGAGCAAAACGGCCACGTCGTACATGTCCTGCACGACACTGGCTCCGATGAAGCACCCATTTTCAAGTCCAATGGCAAACTTACCAAAGAGATGGATGGTGTTGAAGCCATCAAAGGCGAGACCATCGTATGGAAGAAACATGCTGGATCATTTTCGGAGACGAATCTAGCAGAGATTGTCAAGAAGACTGGACTCCGGAAACTTGTTCTCACGGGATACATGGCACATGGTTGTGTATCAAGTACCGCTCGTGAAGCGACTACATTAGGTTACGAGACCCTTGTTGTTGAAGATGGTGTTGGACAGCGCGATATGAAGGACATCCCCGCCGGGCAGGTGAAGAAGGTTGCTTTGACAGAGATTGATGACATGTTTGGAACGGTTGTGAAGGCCTCAGACATCAATTAAGCAGATGCGACTTGCTCCGTTGAAGATGATTCCAGTTGTGAAATGAGTGTAGTAGTACGGAATAAGGACAAAATTTTCTCTCTGAGACTCTGAAAGTACACCTCAAATGTTTCAGTATTGTGATTTATGTGCTTGTTGCGTGACAATAATCAGGTTTTAGTGTCTAGCGATGGTATAGATACTATGAAGCTCGCTAAGCAGTCGGTGCAAAGTTTCCCATGCATCACTATTGCATAATATTCTAATTTGACCTTTTCAGCCCTATGGCTCTATAGCCGAGTTTGCTTTCTATGTCGGCGCGTAACTCTCCTTACGTAGTAATTTACCAGCATGCTACTCGAACTTACACACCCTTCTCTCCATAAATCACAACATGTTCGGTCGATCGCCGTCCATGTGTTGCCACCTGCATTGGCGCATCGTCTAGTGGAGATACACCAGCTCGCCTGGCCTCCCTCTCCGTGAAGGTACCGTATAGATCGGTGGGATCGATCTGGTCCATATCAGGGACGGGAAAGATCAGGTTGAGTATGTAGAAGACAACGGCGCTGATAAAGAAGCCTGATTGGATGTAAGCGATGGTGTAACCTCTACAGCCTGTAATACCTTACTTACCTATCAAGAAGGCCATATTGTAGAGTTGCACTAAGGACCGCGGGGGATCAACATCTCCTCTGACGGTCACGACGAGGCCTCCAATAGTTGGTGCCCAACCACAAAGCCAAGACGGTATCGCCCGCCAATTAAAGCCTTTGGTGAAGTAGTACGACGAGTCCTCTGTTCGGTATAGATGACTCAGGCGAACCCTTCTCTTTCGCAAGAGAAAGTAATCGCATGACATGATACCAATTATAGGCGCCAAAAATACAGAGAAGGACGACAAGACAGCGATGAAAGTGGTGGCACGATTGATGAGTTGCCATGGCTGGACGATCCATGCAGCCACAAACGTGATAATGGCACCGCGACGTATGTTGATGTAACGCGGAAAGAGACCAGCAAGGTCAATTCCACCAGAGACAGCGTTACCGCATATGTTTTCGAACATTGCAGTGAAGGCAAAACCTGCAGCCAGGAAGAATACACCCGCACGGGACCGCGATGAGCCGTTCCCGTTGTCCATCATGCGCATAAGTAGATCTGGTGGGTTCCAATAGATCTCGCCATAAATCTTTTGTCCCGAAGCAGTGGTGACCAGTCCAACCAATGAGACGACGACGTTTGTGATCACACAGCTAGCTATGGTACCATGGATATAGTGCCTCCTTGAACGTGCATAGCGTGAGAAGTCGCTGCCATTGGTGATACCTGCAGCAAGTCCGCCAATGGTTTGGTTTATGCCAGCCATGATGAGCCATGAAGTACCCCAAGGGGAGCCTGAAGGGATGGTTTGGCCAGCGTTCCAGAGAGGGCCTACGCCTTTCGCAGTTACCACTGCCCAGATCATCCATGCCAACATGCCGACGCCGCACCATATGCAGACTACGAGGAATGGAATCTTGAACTTCTCTGGCCGCAGCCACAGGAATGGGGTGGATAAGAACCAGAACACGACAAAGCCTACGAATTGGTCCGTCGTGGCAGGGAAGCTAGGGCTGAAAGTGTTCGGCATGCGTGCGTACGATGGCCAGATCGCAGTAAGGCATACAGCAACTAAACGGCCGCCATTCCAACCTAACCTGGATCAGTTTCGTAGTGCTATATCACCCATAAAGAGCCTTGCTTACATTGGACCGCATTCCAAATGAAGTTGAGTAGGATTCTTTGTAGCAAAGGTATGAAGCTTCCTCGCATACCCCAACTATACCTGTTCTGTACTGTGAAGCCAATGTGCCACTTCAATCCAACCCAAGCGATGGTTGTAGAGAATAGGGCGATCAATATGCTGCTGACAACGATGATAAGGATAGCCTGTGGGACGGATAAACCCGTAGCTTCCGTGACTATCAGCTATCAAATATCAACATTCGCCCTTCGTTGTAGCTTACCCAAGAATGTGCTTGGGGTCTGCCAATTTGCGAGGTTCAGCGACGCAATTGCCCAAAACCCGAAGAAGTTGAACCAACCCCATGTCCTCCGCTCTGGCGGGAGTGGGATCAGATCGCGATTACTCCATGCATCCGTCTGTTCGTGCTTTTCGTCGTCTCCATGCAGGCGCACTTTCTGATCAACCACACCCAATCGATGCTTTAAAGTCATGATGCAATTAGGCGAACAACTTTGTCAATGTTCGATGAGGCTGGAATCAACGATTGTTGAGGAGGGTGATGGTGATAACCCTCTTCTTATCATTGGCGCTCGCGGATCTTCCCCCATCTATCCCACCTTCCTAAGACAATCACAACCCATGCATACCCACTCTTGTACATCGGCATATGCTTTGTGAGGAGCCATCGATTTCATATAAGTTTGTGTTGCGTCGCTCTGTCGTTGTGGTCGACAAGAGCCGTTTTGGAAAATAGCCGGCTGCTCTCAGCAGGGCGGCCTGAGGCGATGTTTCAGGCGTCCAGCCTCCCGCGGCTACACAGGCACCAAGATCCTGTTGATCCCTCACTCGTCTGCCCTTACGCAGACCCCACAAACCTCGCATAGGCCTTGCTTTCTACTAACACCTAACCCATTTGTTGCTTTTGTCCGTCAGTGTCTTTGAGTCTGTCGCTTGTGTTCATCGTTCATCTTGGGCGCCTTGCGCCTTGAGAATCGCGAGGGGGTTGACATGTTTTGGATGGGGGCGAAATCTTGCTGATCTACCAATACTTGAAGACGAGTCCCTACGCTCCAAGAATCTCGACTGTCATCGCGTTCTTTAAGACGTCGTACCAGTGGTAAACACCATGTCGTCGCTGACTCCCACTCCTCAATGGCAGGGCTGGCAGACTCATCGCCGCCAGCAGTCGCCTCCACAACAGCCAGGGTACCCACAAAACCGTTATTCGCCGGCCTCATCGCCTAACCACTCGTACTACGGGGAGTATGCACCTGCCCCAGGATCCTATATACAACCACACTATAGCGAAGATGCACCGGTGCCAACTATCGCAGAGCTACCAGCACCCTTGCCGCCAGCTCCACCAACTACAACAACTGAGGAGCAATTGAGACAGGATGAGCTGCTTGCGCACAGGATGCAACATTTGGAAGTGGAAGGAATTCGGAAAAAATCGCAAAGTGCAGTAAGCCAGCATGGTCGCCCTGCAAGCATGATGCCGCCTAGCACCCAAGGGTTGTCACCATTGCTACATCAGCAGCGATCCGCGCAATCTTTGCGACTTCATTCGAGAAGCGTCTCTTCTTTCGCCGATCAGCGGCCAGTGAGCATGGCTCCAGTGATTACCCAGCAAGTCGCGCCTCTGCCTCTCATTCATCAGCGCTCCGCACAATCCCTACGGCCTCATTCGAGAAGCGTTGGAGCACCCGCCGAACCATGGAGTCCTGGATCATTCGATTCACCGCAAGATCTAAGTAGGTTCAGTACCTTGCCCGAAGTAGTCGTGGAGCAATACCCGGTATACAAAGATCCCCAGTCGCCACTTGAGAATCTACCGATTCCGGTATTACTGGATCAACAGCCCACAAAGCGACCGTCAATCGCACTGGAACCATCATCGTTGCCCGGATATCTTGAGCAATACCGCCAAGCACCATACCCGCCTCAATGGAACCCACCACCCGTTGTTTCAACCCTGTATGCTCACCAGGAAAGCAAACGACCATCCGGATCCAGCTGGTTGGAAACACCAGACTCGTGCGCCTGGCGAACAATACGTCCCTCAGAGCATGCGCAAACTCCTGTTCCACCATCATACTCGTTCAAGTTCAAGAGCACGAGTAGCAGCTTCCGCAGTCCCAAGTTTTCATGGACAATGACATGTCCCGACGAGAACACTGAATCGAGCAAAAAGGTTTCCAAAGCGCATCAAGCTATTTGGACCTATGATCTGAAGCTGGACCCCAGGACTAATCTCCGCAAGTCTGAAGTCTTGAGCTATGGAGGTCCAAATGCCAGATCCATCTTGACAACCTACGTGCATGCGCTTAATTATGATTCCCTACGCTTCATCGGCCCAGACGGATGCGCCTACATGTGGGTTACGAGCACCAAGGTATCGTCCATTCACGGCTCCAGGTATGACACACTAAGACATGCTCTCTTTGTTGCCATGGGCAACATCGCGGATCCGCTTTATGGCAGTATCGTTGCAGATCACTGCTTCTGGGACGGATATGGTGATGGAAGTGGAGGGTCTTTGCCTGATGAATCGGTTCATATTCGTTCGGCAACTATAGATTCAGCGATGGTTGTGGCAACATTACAGGTGATGAAAGATTGGGAGAAGCATACGCTCAGACAAGAGAAAAGGAAGAACCCCAAGGCCTTCGCAGCAGCGGAAGAGGAAGCCAGGGGTTGTGAGCTTGGAACCTTCAGCTATTGGAAAGCTTGAGAGATTTACGACTCCACAGGTATCAGCAAGAAGATGGATCTTCACTGTGGAGTCTGAGCGATTACTCATCGTAAAGGATTTCCCCGAGCGAGTGCTTGGCTCCGGCTTCATATCGCAATTTCTTTGCGCTGACGCGTAACTACCTAGCCCTTCGATCTGGGGCTGCATGCGACTGTGGCTGCCTCATGCCTTGTCGTCCAATCCCTTCAAAGTCGGCGGAACGACCACAACTTCCACCAATCACGGAGGCAACTTACTGAGGGGGTTACGCATAGAATCACATATCGTTCTAGGCTTGCGCTGCGATCGGATGCGGCGGACCTACCCGTTGATGGTTCGTTTCGATTACACACATAGCGCGTTTCACCGCCTTAGTTCCCGCGCTCGGGAAATAACACATCATTTGAGTCTTTTGATAAGTATCAGACCACGACCATCAGGATAGCCACATCAAGCCACTCGTCGTCACATTTCTCATCCAGTCACTCGTTTACCTATATCACGCTCTTTCAAGAATGCTCACCCTTGCACTTCTCAGCGCTGCGCTGGCCGCCGCTCCAGCTCTGGCAGCACCATCTCCCCAAGGCGTCACCATCTCCAACTCGGCGACACAGGCACCAATCAAGATGTGTGGCACGGCTCAGAACGTCGTTCTGACTGATACCCCATGGATCGTGTACAACATGTTCTACAACTCGGCACAAACCAAGGGAAGCATGTGCACAGCATACGACTCCGTATCGACTGGTTCAGATGGGAACAAGAAGATCAAGTGGAGTGCGGTTACTGACATCGATTATGTAAAAGCCACGTATGTACACTCGAATTTCATGATTACCAAGATTTGTATGATCTTGTCACTGACCTGAGTCTAGCGACAATGTGCCCAAGGGTTACACTTTCGTCGGCCTGACCCAAAACCTCGAGACAAAGCTCTCCGCTATCAAATCAATTCCTGCAACATACGAATGGACGCGCACCAATACCACCGCCTACAAAGGCAATATTGCTTTCGACTTTATGACCTCCGATACTAAAGGCGACTCCACATCTTCTTCCGCCCAAGAGCTCATGCTATGGCTTGAATATACTGGTGGCCAACTACCCATCGGATGGCCTGCTGGTGCGAAAGCCACAATCCCCAACTTGTTCGGTACGAGCTGGAAGTTGTACCAGGGTAAGAACGAGGATACCGGTATTACAGTCTCAAGCTTGCTGCCTGATAAGATGTTTCAGAGTCCTTTCCAGGGAGACCTAAAAGAGTGGCTAGAAGCGCTTGTCAAGGTCGGTGTTTTCAAGGACAGCACTTATGTCAACGTGGGTAATGCAGGTACGGAGCCTTTCTACGGGAAAGCCACTGTAGATGCTACATTGGGTCTGCAAATCAACCTGTAGGCTTCGTGATGCATTCACGATACAGTGGTCATCATCGTCGAGGATGGTCTTCGCACATGGTATATGATCATGTGTCCACTCTCCTCTCTTTCACTTCTTTGTACCTATTTATAACTAGAGCATACTATAAGACAGCTCACAAGCTGAACCTTGCTAAAACACGAAGAACCATCAACGCAGTTTAACTGTTCATCCTACCACAGGCATGGTGAATGTTGTAGGCTTACTCATGTTTACAGAAATATTACCCCACAACGCTGTGGTATTTTCTTGGCCTCAAAGCTAACATACCACACAGTGCACTTCCATAGACTGTACAGCGTACGAGATTTACTGACTATAAGGAATTCTCTGACGGGGTTCGATCTGTCCTACATCTCACAGAGTGAGATACTGGCGCTGGTTCAGCTTCGTCAACAACAAGCAACTTTGCATACGCATACCGTAATTCAACTGATCCCGGTGATCAATGTAAGCAGGAACTCTGAGCTTGATACGCACCGATAATTCCACTTTCTTTGAATCATAACTCTCAATATGGGTCTCCCCGCTGCATCTGGATATGCAGTCTCTGGTAGGCGTCTAGCTCGAACCCCATTTGGGAAACCTAGTTTACCGTCGACATGTTTGTACCTTATGCCTATATACGGATCTCCTTATCCATCCGTCACTGGAGAGGCGAGAGATGAACATGGCCACTCAGAGGTGCTGACTGGAATCACAGATGCAGAAGAAGTTTACACAGAGCAGTGTGAGGCTACAGTTGCTGCTAAACATCTACTGCGCTCATTGGGGTGCTTTGACTCATTTGATCATGTACCAAATGAGATGATTAGTTCTTCCACGACAAAGACGCGGACAAGGTCTGCTGCCATTTCAGATCCGACCCAGGAGAGCGAGCAGCTGGACTGCCCTTCTTTCTCGGGAGCATCGGAATATGCAGAGCTACTTTTCGATGCAGTGTCTCCATTCACACACGATGAGAACCTAGCACTAAGTAGTATCTTCGCAGGGGGGACTGCGACCGAAAGACCCTGGCGACTTGAATGCGACCCCATCCTTCGATACACCACCGGTTCTCCAATGCTCCCAGGATTAGATCATCTTCGCAATATCACTGCTCGCTCCGCAACTATCCAGTATGACCACAGCATCGAAGATCTGTATTATGCCACTACATTCTTCCTCGATGATTGTCAAGATGGCGAGTGTTCATGTTTAGATGGTGAGATGTGTAGTCTTCGCGTGCCTGGCGAGAACTTCATGCTTGCTAATAACGACGACGATGACGACGACTGCAGTCTCTCAGACATGTACCCCACGACAGAAGACATATCTCAGCTCATAGATGAGTTCGTCAATGCGGACATGTTTGACGTATACGAAGTTCATACAGGCATTTCGGAAGTGCTACCTCTTGACAGTGGATACTTTGATACCACTCCACAAGATGTGAAAGCCTCCAAGGTAATTGACCAGCTGTTGTACCCGTCTAGCTCTAACGCTGCATCGTTTATGTGCGACAACGAGAGTGATTCTGATGTCTCTGATCCAGACGCAGAAAGTTTGTCACTGAATCACCACCCAAAACTAAAATATGTCGACACTGACACAGATCAGTCTGTCGCTTATACAGCCTTGAACCAACTATTGGCAATGGAGGAAGAAGAACCACGGCCAGTCATTCACCGCGATACCGCCGATGAGGATGAAGAGCCGGCGGAGATCGGCCTTGCTGAATTGGTCTATCTTCACCCAACAGCAGAAGATTATGCAACCTTGCTGCCACTACGAAATAGCTTGAACCCAAACAGATCTAGCCCCGACTTGTATTCAGGCATTTCTCGGACGCCAGCACCCGTTCAGCCTGAACTCAGTCTCCAGCCCACCGCGCGCCAACGATGTAAACCATATGGACTTTACTCTAGCAATAGGTCTCGACACCAGCGTCAGATGCCGCAATTAAGAGTTGCCACTCAACTCTTACCTAATCGTCAGCTATTGCCCATAATCTCGGAGGAAGAATCACCATGCTCCGGCTCGTCTTCTTCGGGAGACTCTCTGGACTTTGCCAATCATCGAGGATTCGTGAAGCCGCTAGAAAGTCGTCGTTTAGGTTTCCTAGACGACGATGACTCTGAATCACCAGCGATGCCGATCTCGAACTCAAATTGCATCCCTGAACCTCTGAAAACTACAGACATAGAAGACTACGAATATATGTTTACCAATGCCATCTGGAACACTACGCCAGAGCTTACATTCGTTCAACCCAGCCAGGAAGCATACCTTGAAATTGCGCCTGCATCGGCCGTACCTCCTTCGCTTCTCGAAGCACTTGAGATCGAGATCCACAGTCGCCTCACCTTCATGTTCAACTGCATGAACAGTGGGATCCTTGACGAACTACCAGCCCTCAGCAGTGACCTCCATTGGACACTTTGCGCTCTTTCGGATGATTATCCCGTCTTAACCTTATTAGACAGCCTAGGCGTAGCTGTAGAAATTCTTGTTGAGCGGATGGTAGCCTCTACTACTGCTTCTTAGCTTAGCATATGCGGCTGCCAGTTCGTTTTTGAAAGGCAGAGTGACGCCGATGGAGGCACTACCAGCAAATCAAGCCGAGCGTCCAAAATTTTATTAGCATTCAGCAGGTCAACGCTTATTGTTCCATTTGCGAAGATTACTGGAAGATCGAACAACGATTACGCCCCACACTGGTATCCAAGTTAACGAAAGTGATGTGACTGAGTTTCTCCGGAATTTGTGGGTATGTTGCAACCTTAGGCGGCGTTTTTCGTGTCTCGCGGGGCTACCGGGCCTGTCGTCATCGCTACAAGTTATGTGTTGAGGGTGATCAGGTTTAGGTATCTACTGCAAAGAGTTGTTCAGCTTCGCTACATCTGGTAATGACAGACGAGATGACCATGATGCATCTATCGCTGTTCCTCCCTTGATGTGGTCAGGACTCATCCAATCGTCGCGCTCAACCGCAGTGTGCCGGCAGTCTTGTCTCTGTATACTGGTCAGTAACGGGGCCCAGATCTGGAGCGAGAGCCTAGCGCGGCTGGACCACCATCCGGTGCTATTAATGGCATCAATTGGTGGGAATACCTCCGCTGTTGCTCGTATCAGCAAAACTCTCACCTGATAGTGCACTGAGTTGCTGATGTTGCGGCATTTTGATGACGAGCGTTGCGCCCAGAGCGCATACATGTTGTGCATCCAGCGGATGCACGCTGCACATAGGTTCTATGCGGTCAAAGCGATCTAGGTACATTCTCTGCTGTTCAACAGGACGTTATCATCGCATTGCATCACAATCGCGCACGTTTCTTTGTACAAAGTACATATCTTGTGGGCAAAAAAAAAAAGAGTTGAGTGGTGCAAGAAGAATGACCGTGGTAAGCTGCGATCGCTCAGCCATGTTCAGCTGTTCAGGTCGTAAGTGTCTAGTCCAAACATGTATAGAAGCTGCTCTGCTTGTCAACTTTCGATAGACAGTAGTTTTTACCGCGAACGTGACTGTAGAAACAGCAGAGACGGAAATCCGAGAAAAGGTCTGTTGGTGTATTAGAACGTTCTAGTAATAAGTGTCGAAATCGTGGTCGTGCTCCGCTTGCTCCGATCGGTAAGAAGCTTAGGGGAAATAAGCTTCCGCCGGGTTCTACAAACAGGGGAGAAATGTCGAGGTACAGGCACAACCTGCACTAGCGCCATGTCTGATGTATGTGGCTGAGATGACACCTGGCTCAGGCTTGGTAATAGTCTGGTGTATTTTTGAGAAAGGGAATTCTACTGGCTGACTGTCGAAAAATACGAGGAGCACAGTGGAGAGAGGGCACTTGCCCAACCCAACGCTTGCACTTCGTATTAGCGTGCACGGCTTTGATCGCGCAGACCACTGCAGGTCCAGCCACACTGTTTCCATAGTATACAGTCTTGGGTAAGTTTGCCACATTTGTTTGTAAGAGCGACGTACGATGCTAAGACTCATGGCCGCTTGGTAGCAGCGGTGCAACGTTCATGTCAGGTCGGAGAGAGACGAACGCCACGGACCATCAGCGCATTGCTTGTTTCCCGCGTACAGTACCTGAAAGAGTAAGACCGGGATCTCGTAACTGCAAGTCAGCATATGTGGCGTTGCTAGCGAAGGAGTGAAGGAGTATTGACTAGACAATGAGGGAAGGCGACAGTACAGAGCTCGTCGGCTCATTGAAGGTCTGTTATCATAGACCCGATCGAGTATAGCTTCCATAATGCGCGCAGGTGGAACTCGGAGGAAGCAAGGCTCGGACTGGTGGGGCGCCCGAGGCTACGGCCCTGGTGGATCTTCAGGAACGTGGCCGGCTATCTTTGGGAGCGGTACTTGGGTAGCATAGCAACAACGGAAGTGTCGCCGAATGCGCGATCTCGCGAACATGAGTTGTTGAGGCCTGGCGGACGATGAGCTGGGCGGAGATGACGGTGGTGTGGTGAAGGCTGAGTTCCGAGCGCTCCGGCTTTCGTGACTGGTAGCTGGTAATATGCTAATCCCATTATGGTTAAAGCGTGATGCAAATATAGTCCACAACGGTCGCTCATCCCGGCAACGCTGGCATTAACGTGCGGTAGGGCTGTGCCGTTACTCGCTCAACCCCTGCGAATTTTTCGCTGATGTTACTTTTCGGGATGTTCACGCTATCGACAGCTCGTACGTAGAGCGGAGCTCTTCACATGGCGAGATGTTACTTCGTGTTGACAAAGTGGGGACGGCATCGACGTCAGCCATCATGGAAGCATACGGACAAGTCTGGAGACTATGGTATATAACTTTCATTCCATCTCATCTATCATGTCTATCTTCATCCAACCATTCACCTTCGCTTTCCAACCAACACTCGCTACAGTGCAATCACAAAAGCCTCATAATAATTAATCCCAACTCAACAACCTTCGGAACTATCGTAAAAAGATCGAATCAAGAACACTATCAAGATGCGTTACTCTTACGTTGCTGCTACTCTCGTCGGCTCGGCCCTGGCCATGCCTCAATACGGCTACTCAGCTGTTGTTCCTACTGGATACCAGCCTGCCCCAACTTCATCAAAGCCATACGAAGCATCAACTCCCAGTGCCTACCACGCCTCGACTCCGGCCTCCTCCAAGGTGTACGAAGCATCCACCCCCAGCTCTCAGGTCCACTACCCAGCTAGCACGCCAGTCTACGAGGCGTCGACCCCTCCTGCCTACAGCGCATCCACTCCCGCAGCAAGCTCTTCCGTCTACCATGCGTCTACCCCTGCAGCGAGCTCATCCGCTTACCACGCTTCCACTCCCGTCTACAGCGCGTCCACTCCTATCTACAGTGCTTCCAAGCCTGCTGAGAGCTCCTCAGCTTACCATGCCTCCACTCCTGTCTACAGCGCATCTACTCCTGCAGTGAGCTCATCGGCATACCACGCCTCGACTCCCGTCTACAGCGCGTCTACCCCCATCTACAGTGCTTCCAAGCCCGCCGAGAGCTCCTCGGTTTACCACGCTTCAACCCCAGCCTACAGTGCTTCCACTCCCGTCTACCACGTCTCTTCTTACGGAACTGGTTACGTCAAGCCTACCCCCTCTTCTTACGGAACTGGCTATGTCAAGCCTACCCCCAAGCCTTCATCGGCTTCCGAGTACCCCCACTCCGACTACACCACTACGCTTACATCCACCCACACATCTTGGGTGCCATGCAGCACTTCAGTTGGTCAGGGAGAGCACTCCAGTGTCATCTACTCAACATACTTGACCCCAACCTACTCCACTGTCACCGTGACCTCGACTGTTCACGGCTCGAAGCCTACATCTGACGTGCCCGTCTACCCAGCGGAGACTCCTGAGGGACACAAGCCAACTTACCCAGCGGGAACTCCTGAGGCTCCCAAGCCGACCTACCCTGCTGGCACCCCCGAGGCTCCTAAGCCAACCTACCCTGCCGGTACTCCTGAGGCTCCTAAGCCGACTTACTCCGCTGGCACTCCTGAGGCCCCTGCACCAACATACCCCGCTGGTACTCCTGGCGGTCCTCAGTGCCCTGCCCCAGTGACTGTCACCAAGACTGTACATGAGGTTGAGACCAAGACCGTCACCGTTGGTGCTGGTGGTGCTTACACTCCTGGCCCAGCCCCCTCTGTTGTCTACCCCGAGGGTACTAAGCCATCCTCCTCCGTGGAGCACTACTCGGAGGGCCCCAAGCCATCCTCCGTCAAGCCCTACCCTGTTGGTCCCAAGCCTTCTTCCGAGGTCAAGCCCCCTCACCCATCCTCCGGTAGCTCGATCCACTACACTGCTTCGTCGGCGCCCTACCCGATTCACACCCCTTCCTCATCTAAGGCCTACCCCACTGAGTACCCTACCCCTTCGTCTTCCACCAAGGAATACCCAGCATCCACACCTTCTTCCTCTACTAAGGGATACCCGGCCTCTACCCCTTCTTCCTCTACTAAGGGATACCCCGCCGCCACTCCCTCTTCTTCGACTAAGGAGTACCCTGCTGCCACCCCTTCTAGCTCCGCTGTACCCTACCCGGTGAACACTCCTTCATCCTCGAAGGTTGCCCCTCAACCCACTGGCTACGTCGCCTACCCCCACTACTAAGCTACTCAGGTAGCTTGAGCACTTTCACTTCTTATCTCAAGCAACAATTACGAGCGGCAGAGGTGTCGAAACAGTAACGTAGGAACTGTGGCCTTGCTTTCCTCACCTTGCATTGCTCAAGCGTTTCTGTCCAAATTTGGTTGTTTTCATGCGTTTGGAATTTCTTCTCATACTTCAACTGTTTATATTCAACGAACAACTGGTATAGAATGGTTACGATAGGTACGAGTTTAGTAGTAGACACATCTTATGACCCAACTTTTTGTCACTCCTTCAAAAGTACTTGCTTATCTTTCGTCGTGATGTGGTGGCTTTGAAGCACTTTACCAATTGCAGCTCATTTCACTCAAGTCCAAACATACACTCACACTAAGACACTTGATCAATATTATTCTGTACACACACTTGTGCGAAAGCGCTGAAAAACACGAGCTCACGCCGCGCTTATGCATGCATGCATGCATAACCAATATACACATACAACCCGTAATCGTGTAGTTAGCGACGTTCCCGAATCCGGCAGTCTTCCCGCGCAATCGATAGTCTGGTTCGTATCAGTGCGCGTGCGCTTTTCATTCACATCATCACATCATGAATGTGTATCACGAAACGTGCGTGCATTGTGGCTTCCTTTAGCTTCCGCAACGCGAAGTTGCGTTGATTTGACTCAAGCGACACATCATGGGATCTCAATACCGTAGTTGTAAACGCGCAGGGTCAAGAATCATGCCTGGGCATATTGGAGGATCATACAAACGTTTCTTCCACAAAGAGGGCTCAGCTACAAGTCATGCGTCGATTAAAAACTTGTCTACTGGAACCAGCTGAGTTGTTCTTACACAAAAGCGGACTGAGGTGTGCGTGAAGCCATTCACTAATCAGTGAGGAACAACTTGTAGAGAAACTAAGACGAGTCATTCGATAAGTCGATTAGCGTCAGAAATTTAGCTGCAGATTACGCGCTCCTTACCGAGGCAAGCACTCTTTGGACTGATAGCTAGGCCAGTTAGATGGTATCCAAGAAGGTGTGTGATCTCAAGTGAATGGACAAGCAAAAGAAGAGAGAAAATACCGCAGATGAATCAGTTCAAAACAGCCTTGGCCGAGGACACTCTGGCAGTGGTTTGAGCAAGAAATAACCAGACATCTCCTCCGTTCCTCTAACGTCTCTTTTCTAAGGCGTGACCATAATCCTAACCTATACAACATGGTGGTGTCAACCCGCAGGAAGTTCTATATTTTCCTGACATGGGCTACCGATTGCACGACCGCTCATTCACACACCTAATGTGGTTAATGTCATGCACTTTACTATATGATACGGAAATAGCTGGAAAGGCTCTGTGATGACGTCTCGCGTGGTATTAAGTTTATAGAGCACTCTGTCCCATTCTAACATATAGGTTCTCCTTTTGTCGATGTGGAGGGCACCGAGAACTTCTGCGAGAGGCTTAAAAAGTATTCCAGGGGTTGTAAATAGATTGAAAGTGATGAGTAAGGACTCGGAGTGTTTTTTTATAGTCGCTGTTTCTGAACGAATGATATTGGTGCAGATGATTGTTGAGAGCTTCTTTGCGGAAGAGGAAGAATGCAAAGCAACGCCGGATGACTGAGTGGGTAATCACATGGCGCTGTATCACCTTGAGTGTGTTTGATATGACATATCTTTAGACAAAGTAGGAAGACCTCAGTACATTTGAAGCATCGACATATGGCAGAGGGCAATCCATACACAAGCCTGTGTACGTCATACGCCGCCGCACGCAATGTAAACCTACAACATCTCCATCTCGTCTCGATGTCTGTATCGCAACATCTTTTGACCTCTGGACATCGCTCGGCAACCTGTGTAGTTTACTAAGGCGCCGTCTTTTAGGTTATCGCAGCACAAATGATCACCAAGACAGTTCTTCGCGAAGATGAAGCGTCCAGGAGATCGCAAATGCCGGCATGCAGTAGACCGTGATGATATCTGCAGGATCGTGTGTTGGCTGCCAGCTCTCCAAACGAATCGACGGGCAAAAATATATACGATACACAACCTATGTTACTCGAAGTGCGGACAGAGTATCTCAACCAGCACACGGAGTTGGGCCAAGAGACTGAAGATCTTCGACACAGTGTTGATGGTAGGTGTACGTTGAAAGAGTAAGTACACTGGAGATATTCTCGTCACCCCTGTGGTTGTCTAACACTGCTAAAGGCAATAGTTCAACCCACCTCCTGTTACCTTGCCTCCTCCAAATATCCAAAATGAGTGGACAGCAGAAAAGAAAAGATCCAAAGAAGAACAAAGAATTCTGCAAGAAAAGATGGAACTAGGAGAGCTGGAGGAGCTGTAGTGCTCATGTTTGTTTTGTGACATTGTGTGAAGTAAATATGATTTGTGCCTATGACAGTATTTCCCCGATCGGTTGTAGGACATTGTACTGGCAGTTCGTCTTGCAACGTCGATGATGGGAGAAATGTTTTAGATTGCTGTCCTTTCAGGCCCAGCTTCGCGAATTGGGTATATACTCAGGACTAAGATCACAAATTACTTACAATTATATCCCTCGTGTCCATCCTCAAAATATTCACATTCATTCCAGGACTCTACTCTCTCCGTTCCTCATGTCCTGGAACCTCACATCCGTAAACTCGCCCTCATCATCTGCCCTTGCTTCCTTCAACGCGTCTTCTACTGTCCAGACCTTTCTACGTAGGAACCAGCTTATGAAACCTCCGCCCTTCTTGACTTCATCGTGTGTTGCGACCCAGTATTTCGCTCGTAATATGCGCTGTGCAAGAACACCGTTCTTGGCACCGAGATTGAGTTGCTGAGCGGAAGATATGGATACGTCGTGGAGTCCATGGAGGAAAGCGAGTGTATGTAGCGGTGGATCGGCTTTGGCGATTGGGCTGAGGGCCCCGTGGGGGATGCCGTGTGGCGTGTAGATTACACACTCCGCTTCCTCGCCATTGATGTTGGATGAGAAGTCCTCTGCTCCATCACCGTTTATACTGAGACTTGAGAGACGTTTCTTAGGCGTGGCTGTCGATAAGAAGGGATGTGTAGCGAAGGTAATGAGGAGCGCAGAGTGGTAGTAGAGAGAATCTCCAGACGCCGTAAGACGCGATATGCTGAGCCACGAAGGGAGAGGGGAGAGGCTGTAGTCGTGCCAGTCGGCGTTGTCGGTGAAGGTGGGTGTTGTTATCACTGTACGGAAGTGGTTCCAGGAGGATATTAGGTTGGCTGCTTGCTGTGGGGCTTATCAGCACAGCATCTCTCGAACGTTATAGCGGGAGATACATACCTCTGTCGCGAGAACAGGTACATCACGATGTACCTCTAGAAGTGTCTCTTTATGACAATGGTCTGTGAACTCATGGCTAACAGCCACACAATCCACATAGCTTTCCTCCTCTACCTCCTCTATGTTTCTCTTCCTTCCTTTCCTACCCATTCGTAGGCCTCCAGCTAATATCTCCACCTGTCGCGCCAGCTCCTCCACTTCGGCAACACTCTTAACAGCGCTCTCCGTCGCGTGGAATTGTTGGCTAAACCATTTCGCGACATCGCTTTGCCCGCCAACGAACCACGGGTCAATCAGAACATTGTAGTATATGCGACTTCCATGTTTGACGGCGTTCGCTGGGCGTGGTATTTGGAGTAGCCAGGATGTATCGGCATTTAGATGGTGGAGGATAGGCCTGCGCGTTGCAAGAGCGCGAACGACCGAGTCGCGAACTTCGAGATGGAGTTGTGAAGATGGCGCGTCCATGTTGAAACGAGTCTGGTGGTTCCCGCGCTGACTTTGGCTGCGCTGTATACTTGCGCCAGGTATGCGCACTTCAGGGCGACATTTGGCGCGTCGAGGGCGAATATCGATGACAGATGCGACCAGAGCACGCTAGTGGAGGCTGGGGGAATGCGTCCACGACGCACGGACAGCAAGACCAGACCCACTGCTGGATAGATGCATCATCGTGACTTTCAGCCTTGCCACGCCAGAACCAACTGCGATGGTAGTACAAATCCATCCATAATGCAACCTCTCTATAGAATAGTAAACATTGTACGTTACTGCAATACTACAGAGCGATTGCCTAATCAAATAAACTGAGTCGCGGCGAAGAATTGCCTGTAAGCCAAGTACTCGTCAGCTTGGTTAACTTCGCCACAAGCTTCGCAGCATCCTACAGGATATGTCAAGTCATATTGTCGGGTCTGTGACGGTTCTAGCTGTACGAGCTGACTATTGACCGGTTCGCCTGACGTAGCATCTGACACCCGACGTAACAACTGCAATTGGTCGCTACCACGCAACGCTCAACAACCAATGTTACACTTTACATGCATCATCGTTGCAATGACTACTATTGATGTAGCCCAATATTGGACGCCTTTTATACGGGAAACAGGATAAGAACTAGACAAGGGAAGAAAGTTGGTCAGAGCTAGATTGCTTTATCCGGTACATATTGCCTGCGAAAAGGGTATCCTAGGAGCGTCCCACTATACTCTGTAGACATTCTTCTTCAACATCACTACGCCATTGAGTTTGTTCTGGTTTCTAAAATCCTCCTATAGCCTCTAGACTGCCCGATTATTACCCCTATCTATCATGAAGACTATCATCGCAGCTACACTGCTGTTCCACATTACGCCCGCCCTGTCTTCCGTCGTCTTTCTCCTCTCCAGCGAGACAAATGGTCAAGGCCTATCCAAATCTTGGGTCGTAGATCGCTGGAAGTGCCAGAACCTTGGCGCTGACATTGACAAGCAAGCAAGCTGGGCTTTTGTCGCTTCTGGTCTTGCAAATGGTTGTTTCTTATACGAGTAAGTAGAACGTCTTCATCAATGCACTTTCTAGGAGCTAGATCGGCGTTCCATTGACGGTGATGTAGGGATGTGAATTGTATCGGACGAAATCTGTACGTCGAGAAGAATAATTCGAACATTCTCGGTCCAGGACCTGTAAATCTCACGGATTACGACTTTGATGATGTGGCGAGCTCCTTTTCATGCGTTTAAGGATAGAAGTAAGGCGTCAATTTTATGAATTCAGAGTGTAGGAAGGAGAGAATACATGGCAAATCGCACACACTCATCATGGGCATAGTTGGACGTTGAAATGTTGTGAAGATAGCGCGACTAATGCGCTCAATGCATATTAAAGAAACAAAGCTCATAGTATACTACATGAAGGTTCAAGATCCCATTTTCCATCCGTCGTCGCTTTGCAAGAAACAAATCAATATGGGGTCCATGCCACCAACGCCGTTGTTATGCAGTGCTCATCTATCTGGATGATGTTCCAACATCCCCAAGAAAAGGGCGAAGAAGAAAGTAGTCGCTGGGGAAAGATACAAAAAACATTTTCGCCAATCTTGGTTGAAAAACATACACATGTGTGTTTGGAGGTAAAAACAGGGGCAGGGTAGGCAAACAAACTAATGCAAGGAGGTGAGGAAACCGGTGAGTGAAAACGAATAAATACACACTCAACCCGCGATCCATACAGTGTGTATAGAGGTCAAAGTAGAAAATGTCGTCTACTGTGATTTAGGAACCGACTCCGTGTACTTCGCTGCCAATTCTTGTGCAATTTCAGGCGTCTTGACAGCATAAAGAACGGACTGCAAGCCGCCTTCCTTGGCGGGCTTGGTCGCCATGACCATCTTCTTGCTACCACCGGTGACAGTGGCGGGCAGCGCGGGTAGAATCTGGTAATTGAGCGGTGTGGCGCCGCTCGGGATACGGACTCGAACAGAGCACTTGCCCGTTTGCTTGTCCTTGAGAATCCAAAAAGGGCCCTTGGCAATGTTCGTCCAACCCTTCTCTCCCTCTTGGTGCTTGGCGAGTACGACTTCGGTATGGAAGATAATGTCGTAAGTTTCAAGCTCGTCTTCAGTCAACTTGGTCAAGTCAATCTGTTCTTGCTTGCCACCTTCTTCGTCGTCCTCTGCTGCAGATGCTGCAGTAGTCTCACCAGCGTCAGATAGAGGCGTGACAGCGCGCGAAGAAAACACAGACGAGGTCACAGAGTTGCCACCTGACGGTGCAAAAAGGGACGATCCACCTGTTGACGGAGCGAAGTTGAAAATCGAGGCAGGTGGTGGCTTCGCTGGCGTGGTTGAGAACTCGCCCGCTGCAGGTGTAGCAGGCTGGAAGTTGAATTTTGGACCGTCCTTCTTCTCAGTAGCGGGAGCTCCGCCAAACTTGATCGGAGTACCGACCTTGAAGGTCTGATCGCCAGCAAACGTATCGGACTTTGGTGGCGCTGTCTTGGATGCAGCACCAAAGTCAAAGAACTGGAAGGGCTTGTTGGCCGGAGTGGTAGTACCGTTGGTTTGGCCGAACATGGAAGAGGCGCCACTATTCTCCTTCTCTGATTCGGAGTCATTATCTCTGGTTATCCTTGAGAGTAAACTGCCCTTGGGAGCTGTATCCTGCTTCTGGGTGTCTTCAGACTCTGTCTCCGACTCGCCAAATGCGCGTTGTGTAGGCGTAGCTGGATCTGCTGAGCCAACAGTGTCTTGCTGTTCGGCATCATCTTCGTCAGACTCTTCTTGGTTGTTGGATGATGCTCCTGACAGATGGCCGAAAATGTTAGGCGATGACGTTTGCGAGGCGGAAGCATCGAAAACTGATTGACTACCTGTAGATGGCGCGGGACTGGCAGCTTTTGGAGCAGGTGCATCGCTCTTAGGCTTCAAAAGACCAGAAAACGGATTGTCTTTCGGCGACGTGCTACCAGCTGGTTCAGAACCAGGCAGGACAAATTTAGTTGAGGCGGCAATCTCCTTCTCCTTAGCGAGGCGCTCAGCCTCAGCCTTGTCGTACCTAGCAGACCATTCCTCCTTGGTTTCATCATCGGAATCGTAGTCCTCATCCATAGCCTTCTTCTTGCGTTCTGCGGCCAGCTCCTCGTAAGTCTTTGCGGTCTTGGTGAACTGGGCCATGAAGCCACCCGTTGGAGCACTACCAAAGTTCGGCTTGAACCCAGCAGAAGCCGATGTACTGGTCGAACTACCACCGAAGTTTGGCTTGAATCCAGTAGAGGCTGAGGTACCTGTGGAGCTGCCACCAAAGCTTGGCTTGAAGCCGGAGGTCTCTGCACCGTTAGCAGTCGGCGCTGACGGTGTGAAGACGAATCCTGTAGTTGGTGCAGCTGGTTTTGAGGGTTCCGTAGCGGGCTTCTCGGCCGTCTTTGGCGCAAAGAGACTTGTCGATGATGTTGCCGCAGGTGTAGAAGGCTTGTTACCGATTGCCTTGGCAAACATGTTCGATGTTGCTGTTGCTGGCGCACTGAGCTTTGGCGTAGAACCCGACAACTGAGGAGTTGGACTGGAAGGCGCTTCGGTTGCGCGAGCTCGCTTGGAGGGAGATGGGTCACGACGGACTTCGGGGCTCTCATCGCTGACCTTGCGCTTCGTAGACAGGCTTGATTCGTTGCCAGTGATGCCTCGTGCAGCTGCGCGTTGCTTCTTCGCGTTATCAATCTTCTTCTTTATATCCGCGGCATGTTGGTAGTGCCAGAGAGACACACTCGACCAATCCGCTGTGAGGGGAAGGCTGCTTAGCTGCTGTCGGTACTTGTCGTTCAACACCTGAAGTTGGGCGGTCAAATCAGATATTTGCTTCAGTAGGCCATCGCTGCTTTGCGCACGAATGGCACCTGGAACAGCCCACTCCTTCGGAACGTGCACCTTGGGGACCTTGGGCATCTCGAGTGCTTGTGAATCTCCGTTGAGATTTGACAGGGCGGGCGCGGGAGAGGGTTGCGGAAGTTCCTTTGAAGCGCTGAACAAGTTGGGGCGATCGGTGGAAGGCTTGGACAAAGAGGCGAAAGGGTTGGAAGCCTCGGTGGATTGGGTGGGCGTGGCCTTGGGCGCTTCTGAAGTTGGTTGTGGCTTCTTGAACAAGTTGCTCGAGTTGTTGTTCTCGGGTTGAAATGTCTGAGAGAAGAGACCAGAGCTAGTCTTGGGTTGAGCTGCAGTGAACATTCCGCCCTGTGATTTCTCCACGTCGGTCGTCTTTGCCGGCTGCGGTGTGCTGAATGGCTGGAACAAGCTGGACTTTGGTGCTTCGGGAGCTTTCACTGTTGCTGCACCACTATCCTTGTTCGCACCAAATAGGCTAAATCCGGAATTGCTACCTGTTGCAGCAGGCGTGTCGTCCGGCTTTGGAAGTGCAGCGAATGGGTTTGGTTTGGGCGCATCCGTCGATGCTGTACTGCGAGACTCCTCAGGTTTCTTAAGGCTTCCGAACAAGTTCGATGGTGTACCTGCTGTTTCAGCGGAGGATTTGTTTTCTGTTGTTGGGAGATTCGCAAACGGATTGCTAGGGGCAGAGCTTGTGGTTCCGAAAAGGTTGGTCGAGGGTGCAGTCGATGTTGCGCTGTCAGACTTCTGTGCAGTTGCGCTGAAGTTGAACAGATTCGATGCCGGAGCGGTCGCGGTAGCATTTGGCGTGCCTTGCGCGCTTGTACCCAGACCCCCGAAAGGATTGCTTTGCTTCGGAGTCTCTGAGTTGCTCTCGCTCTTCTGTGCGTTGGAACCGAAGCCACCAAAGATGTTGTTTGCGGGCGCAGGCGACTGTTTGGGCGCCTCTTCCTTCTGCGCATTAGCACCGAACGTGAACGTGCTTGTTTGTGACGCCGCTGGTTGTGCTGAGTTGCCAAACCCGCTGAACAGGCCGCTCGTGGCTGGCGTGCTTGCCGTGTTCGAGGCTGACGTAGTGGAGGCGCCAAATGTGAAGGGCGTAGATGCAGGAGCGGGAGTGCTCGTAGCGTTCGGGGCGCCGCTCGTAGTGCCAAACATGCCACTGGGGGCAGCACTCGAGGTTCCAAACATACCACCAGAGGGCGCAGCACTTGACGTCCCAAACATACCGCCTGAAGGTGCGGCGCTTGATGCCCCGAACATGCCTCCTGTTGGTGCAGCACTCGATGTACCGAACATACTTCCTGACGGCGCAGCGCTGGATGTTCCAAACATTCCTCCGGAGGGAGTTGAGCTGGTAGTACCGAACATGCCGCCCGAGGGCGCCGAGCTCGTGGTGCTGTTCTGGCCTAGGCCACCAAAGGGATTCCCCTGTGTTGAAGCATCGTTACCAAATATAGACGATCCTCCGAAGGCTGGCGCAGGCGTGTTTCCGTTGGTCGCAGGTGCCGAGTTTGCGTTCGCAAACGGGTTTGCACCTCCAGCTGTGAAGTTGAAGCCCGCAGACGATGGTGGTGTAGGATTGAAGCCTGTGCCCTGGTTGCTACCTCCAAAAGCCGGGAAGGATGAGCTTGAAAAAGTGTTGCTAGGGGCAGCGGGCTGCGCGGGTGGGAAGCTATTAGTCGCGCCGCCGCCGAAAGCATTGTTGCTGCCGAAGCCGTTCGCGCCGTTGTTCGCGGGGGCGGGCGCGGAGGCACCGAAGCTGAAGGCGTTCTGTTGTGGTGCGCCAAAGTTTGCGCTCTGTGAGAGACCCTGAGCGCGTACGTTAGCCAAAGCCTCCTCCTTACGACGCATCTCGTATCGCCCTTTGCGGGTGTAGCGGTCTGCCGGCATGTTGGCACAGCGGTTGATGGGGCGGTGGAGAGCGTGTTGTGTTGTTTTGGGTACTTACGGAGGAAGCGCCTGCTGGTCGACGGGCTTTCGCGGTCTTGATTCTGGAAACAAAGAGTTAGCACGCGACCGTCAAAGAAGACCATCGCGAAATGGAAGTGGCGTGAAGCCAAAGTGAGGACTCGTCAAGGACAACTTACTTGCGGGATGCTAACTGTGCTGCTGTTGCCTTCTGGGGCACATCCGCGACATCTTCGCGCTCTTCGTAGGGGCGCTCAGGCTTTCCCTGGCCAAAGATGTTTCCCCGTTTGTTGGACGACATGGTCGCGATCACTTATGGGGTCGAGAAGTGATGGATGCGGTCGGATGATGGCGTGTCGGGCTATAACTCCATGGGACGCGCGTGGGAGATGGAGATGGTTCTGAGGTAGGATGTTTTTGATGTTCGGGAAGTTGCGACCCGTGCTCGACGTCAGGGTGGGCCTTAGTCATGCCCCAGCAACGCGACTTTCTCACTGAGCATGGAGCAAACTACTATGCGCGTAGACGAAGCAGTAAAGTGCGCGCATGTAATGCAATACACCGATTTACTTTTGGCCTCGCCTCCAATTTCACAACTACAGATACTGCCAGATAGTTACATACTTGCACATGCCTGCTGCACTAATTGGTAAAGCCAGATTACGACATGCAGCAATTTGAGATACAAAATTTTCGATGAGCCTAAACTGGTTCCGATGTTACTGTCTCCTGTTGAATAGACAATGTATTGGTCCTTGGCAGAAGCTGGGACCAGGTCCGTCATGCTGCCCATCATTAGGAAAGCTGTAGTAGTAGTAGTAACAGGATAGCCCGTAGATGTCAGTGCGACGCGTCGTAGGATACCATGACAAAGTAGCCAACAAAGGTGATCATGGAACTCTTTGTAGAGAGGCAAAACACAAAGGTGGGACACAGGATTCTTCTATGGTCAATACGCCCTTCAGAGGCGTCTTCTCAACGCCATGTACAGCGAGAGGTCAGTCAGAAGACAGAAACCGGCTTCTGGCGTGATTGGCGTCATAACTCAAGTGTGGATGCTGCAGGGCTGACTGTGCAGCACTAAGCAGATGGCTCAGTCCCCAATACTCAAATGAACATGTCATACTACTTTGTCGGGATCGCAGACACGTGCTCGAGGAAGATCAACAGGAACATGGTTGGACCAGAGTGTGGGGTAGACGTGTTTCATCCATGGATGTTTCATCCGGGCCGTGGTGAAATAGCGCGCACGTGAGGTACCACGACAAGGCATTCCCAGGCCAGGCCCCCTCCAGGCCTCGTCGTCATGCGGTGTTTGCACTAAGGTGAGAGATAACAGCCTTGAATATTGGGTGGCTTAGACTAGGACCAGGTCTGGGTGATGGCGGGGTAAGCGGAGTATCTCTCGTGAGAAGACAGCCAACTTGTCCATGGACAGAGCACCTAGTATGGCTGAGGCGTACACGGTTTGAGACATACGAATCGCGAGTCGGCTGTAGGAATCTAGGTCAGCTTGCTGCATTGGCGCGTACGGCCCACGTTTGCAGTGATGAGCCGCAGCTCTGCTCGTGACCTCTCATGATCGAGCCCGCCGCCCAGCTGCTGCGCGTTCCGACGCTGCTGTGCCACTAGATTGCGTGGAGTTGCTGCGCGACCAAGCATCCAGGCGGGGCGAAAGAGGAGAGAGATCGAGCATTTTGCGGTGCGAGCAGCCATGAGGCATATCTCGTCGGACGGCACGGTAGCACTCTGTTCCGTGGCTCACGAGCGGTGAGGCTCTCCCAGCCAGTCGTCTTGTTATCTCGATCCAAGCAGACGGCGACTCCGCTCCAGCCGGGCTCCTCTCCTACCCAAGTACCTCCACACACCCACGCGACAAGACGGGCCCGGCAGCGCATATAAGCACTCGCCTCCCCAATCGCCGCGGGCGTCCGTCTCGAGTGGTGATGCTCTGCCCATCACTCCAGACAACGTAATCCATCACTCATCGCCGGCTAACCGTTTAGGCGCTTAGAGCCGAGGCCGCCGCCAGTTGGACTGAGCGTTCGCGTTCGCAGCATTCCCAGCAACCAAGGAAGCGTCTTCCGGCTAAGTAACCGCCGTTTTCTCTGGTGAATACGCCATCGGCCGTCGTCAATCCTGGAACTGCCCCGGATCATCAACAGCGGCCCGCTCTCCCCAAGACTTGACACAGTGGTTTCGTCACCATCTGTTGGGAACGCTTGACGTCCGCGGAACCATCGGAAGAGTCCTGACGTTCACGTTGGCTTGGTGATGCTCCAGCGTGTAACTTGAACCATCCTCCGAGCGCTGATCACTCCTGGCCTACCTACTCTGACATGCGCCGATAACACGCGCGAGCAACCTTCCAACATGTCGACCCGGCATGCGCGTCTTCACAAACGAGGATACTCCGCCTCAGCTGCTACGAGCCCGCGCCCTCTGAGCCCCGTTGCTGACTACGACGCCTTTACCTTTAATCGTTCGGAAACACCCAAGGTCTTCGAAGAGTCTTGGATAGAGACACAACGCCCCATGCCGTCCACGACTTCCTCCCACCAGCTCAAGATCAAGCCCTACCTGCGCAAGCTCTCGTCCAAGGAGAGCAGTGGGCTCGATCTATCACGACCTGCGGCCGAGAACGACCTCTCCGGTCTGGGCATTTCAGAATATGGCGCCTACTCACGGTCCATATCCGACGTTACTTTTTCCCCAGTCAACGGCCGCCACAGACACAACCGCTCAACGTCCAACACGTCGCAGTTTTCCTCTTCCTCTGGGCTGCAGCGGCCGACACCCCTGCCGGCCATTCGCCAGACTCCGCAGCCCTACACACCGCCAATAGCCCACTCGTCACCGCCCTCAGTCCTGGGAAGCGACCACGAGGGTGATGATATCATGTCCGACGATGAGTTCCGCCTGAGACAGAACGCGTACGAACCAGGACGCAGATCCGGTTCCATCTCCTCGGCACAGGGAACATCCCTACGCATCCACACCAACAATTCATCCACCCGCCTTGCTGGCAGCTACTCCCAGTCATCCGTCTCGCTCACTTCCCCAGTCGGAGTACCTCGCGCGCGGGGTGATACGCTCAAATCCATTGACACGACTTCACCCAGCTCGCGCACCTCGTTTGACCAGACATACCGCTTCATCCGCGGCGGACGCGACTCCCCCGTTGACCCTGCCTCGAGAGCTGCGTCCATCCGTGCTGCGCGACAGAAGTTCGAAGAGGAACAGCGAGCCAAAGAGCGGAAGTACGAGAAAGAGGCGCACAAGCAACAGGAGCGCGACTTCAAGAAACAACAGAAGAAAGAAGATCACCACCGTCGCAAGTCAGAAACGCTCGATCGGACTGAGATAAACCGTACGCGCACTGTATCTACTGATTATGAGAAGACGCCACGGCCCTCGGTGGGAGGCCGCCCTTCAGTGGGTGGGCGCCAGTACTCAGACCATCGCGAGGCTCACTCCAACTCGCTGCCGAAGCTTGTGACTACGGTCGACCCCGAGAAAGCAGCCGCCTTCTCCGCCACACCCAAGGTTACAAAGAGCCGAGCCGCAAAGGGCACATGGCAACGATTCGTCATCTGGCTCAAGACTCGACTGCTGCGCATGTCGGGGAAGTAGGTTACATGCACCGCCACATGAGTAGTAGTTGCATACAACCTCGACGCGTAAGCGGTCGGCTGAGGTGCCACGCCACCGTCTTTCTACCCCTCGATGCTCTACATACCCCTCTCACTTGACCCGGCACTTGAGCAGATTGGTTTCGCATCTTATCCTTATACCCGATTCATTCTTGCATATTCTTTACTTGTTTTTAGCATGGCGTTCGGTTTGGGATAACGGCCTTTTTCATGATACATGCTTCTCCCATGCTTATGCTGTATATCCTGCGAGCATCTCTAGGGACACGGCTCTTACCTTTGGGCGCATTGATAGAGATCTGCTTTGGTTATCGCTCTTTTTTTGGTCCATCTTTATCACTCAGTTGACAGGCGTTGGATAGTTTCCCCAAGACCGACACCGCGTGGCGGTATTTTGGGTTCCTTTGGTTGGGAGCTGGGGTTGTCTTTGGTATAACGCTCTGGCTTCGGCCATTGAGCCTCGCAATTGCAGTATATTTGAACAAATCATGATTGACCATAATTGATTTCACTTGCCGTTGTCGTGCGATACATTGTGCTCTGATAAGCTGACGGACCGTAACGCGATGTTTCACATCTGTTCCGCAATGTCGTGATATTCGCGAGTATCACGTTTCCATGCGTAATTTCTGATTCCGGAAAAGTAAGCATGAACGATTCTCCACAACACATGGATTTCCCATTACTGGTTGTGACGTGCATATACAATTCTTGGCAGCGTCTTAAGTCCGGGATTTACCCGCGCATCATCATCGTTCAGCTCACATGCAAAGCTTTCCCCGCAGTTGTCGCCTCGCCGACTACGACATGAGCGAACGCCAGTCATAGTCGCAATGCCTTTACGAAGCCTACCGCGAGGCTCATTCGCCCTACGGACCGCCAGAGGAGGGGCACTATGGCGGGAATGCGGAGTTGGTGCGGGAGTGGGAAGAATAACGCAGAGGCGATGGACGAGTGAAAAGAACAGGATGGGCAAGGACGACGAGAAGCCATTCTACCTCCAACTTAATGAGAGTATCTACGAGCGTGTACAGAAAGAGAAGGCAGAGCAGATCCAGATTCAGTCGCTGCAGCAAAGAACGGCAAGAGGACAATTCTTTGCGACCGTATTCGGTACTGGAATCCAAACATCTCAAACATGGCGCATACTAATGATTGATTAGCATGTTTTCTCACAGGCTGCATAGGCTACTACTACGGCCAGATGATCCCCCCAAAGCCAGACACGAGCTCGACCGCGCCGCTCGAGACCTTCAATCCTCCCAAGCACAACATCTCCGAAGCGAACATGGAAGCAGCCTGGACAGATTTGCGTGACATTGTCGGCAGAGAGAACATCACACTAGACAAGAATGATCTAGAGTCGCACAGCGGATCCTCGTGGTCTTCGCATCCTTCTCAACCTGGCGACGTGCCGTTCTGTATCGTGAAGCCTGGCAGTACCGAAGAAGTCAGCGCCATCATGAAGGTCTGCCACGAGCGCAAGATTCCAGTCACTCCATATAGCGGAGGCACAAGTTTGGAGGGCCACTTTGCCGCAACAAGGGGTGGTATATGCATCGACTTCAGCCGCATGGACAAGATCGTGAAACTACACAAGGACGATTTGGACGTTGTCGTCCAACCTGCAGTGGGCTGGGAACTTCTAAACGAGGAGCTTGCGAAGGAAGGCTTGTTCTTCCCTCCCGACCCAGGTCCAGGCGCAATGATCGGCGGCATGGTCGGAACAGGATGCTCTGGCACAAATGCGTATCGCTATGGCACAATGAAGGATTGGGTGATATCGCTCACCGTAGTCCTGGCTGATGGAACTGTCATCAAGACTCGACAACGGCCACGAAAGTCTTCTGCTGGATACGACCTCACGCGTATGTTTATAGGCAGCGAAGGCACATTGGGCCTCGTCACAGAAGCTACACTCAAGGTCACTGTAAAACCACAACACACCAGTGTAGCCGTATGCGCCTTCCCATCTGTCCGTGCAGCAGCGGATTGCGTCTTCAAGGTCGTTGGTGCGGGGGTACCTATCGCCGCTATCGAGATCCTCGACGATGTTCAGATGCAGTGCATCAACGACGCAGGGCAAACCTCCAAGACATGGAAGAATGCACCAACGCTCTTCTTCAAGTTTGCCGGTACTCAAAGTTCGGTTAAAGAACAGGTCAGCCAAGTGCAAGGTATGGCCAAGAAGTCCGGCTCTGTCAGCTTCGAATTTGCCAAATCTGAACAAGAGAAAGAAGACCTGTGGCAAGCGCGCAAGGAGGCACTATGGAGTGTCATGGCCAAGAGCGAAGGTGATCCCGAGATGGGAGTTTGGACCACAGATGTTGCCGTGCCAATATCTAAGCTCCCTCAAATCATCGAAGAGACTAAAGAACAGATCCGGCAGAGTGGCCTACTAGCTAGTATTGTAGGACACGTTGGAGACGGAAACTTCCACTGTAAGCTCATTCTATCTTTACCTTCTTCCTGCAGACTTTGCTCACATGCATTACAGCCATCATCCTGTACAATCGCAACCGCGACCACGAAAAGGCGTCTCACCTTGTCCACGAAATGGTCAAGCGTGCCATCGAACTCGAAGGCACTGCCACAGGGGAGCACGGCGTTGGTCTTGTCAAGAGAGACTACCTGCCACATGAAGTAGGCCAAAGTACCGTTGACGCGATGAGGCAGCTCAAGAAGGCTTTCGACCCTCTTTGCTTGCTCAACTGTGACAAGGTTGTTCGTGCGACGTTGCCTAAGCAAGGCGAGGTCGCTGAGTGGTGAGGTAGCTGTAGAATATAACTAAGTTCTTTTTTCGCAAAGATGGAATACATGAAGTATCGTGTATTCTTCGTCTGCATACTTTTCTCCCTATGCCTATATGTCTTCCTTTTTCCCAGGTGTAAAGTCCTTTATACTCAAACAAACAGGCCATACACCCAGTACCCAGGTCCCCTCCATGCTCCATTCAGAAACACCTTCTCCTCCTCATGCTTCCAGCCCAGCTTCTTAAATCCGAGTTTCTCCAATACTTTGATGCTACCGGGATTGTCCTCGTCTACTGCTGCTTCAACATATGCTTTCTCTATCCCATGTCCTCCTTGGCTGTTGTTTTGTGTTGCCGACGACGAAGACACAAAAGCAGCATAAGCGTTCAACAGCGCGTGACCCGCTTCCGTCGCATATCCCTTGCCTCGTGCTGAGGGAAAGAAGGCGTATCCTAATGCCCTCATGCTCTCTGTTGATGAGTGTGGGTATTCCGAGGATGGAGGCGGAAGAGGGATGGAGGGACCGCTGGGCTGAAGACGAAGGCTTACACTGCCGACGTGCTCCCCTAAGCCAGTTTCGTCGCCAACCTCACCATCGTTGCTTTCCAAAGTCGAAGCCGAAGGGTTGGATGTTGCAAACACAGAGTAGAACATGCTATCGTTTCCTGGTGATGGTGCTAGTTGTTCTTTCATCCATTCATAGCTTTCTTCCAAGGAGTGCGTGGGTCCATGGAGACTCCATCCTGTGGCATCGTGGTTGGACCAGTTTTCATGGAAGAGACGAACGTGTGGTGAGGAGATTGATGAGATGTCTGTTAGGCGGAGGAGGGTTAATCGCTGGCTGTGAATGAGGGTCTCCATGACTGTGTTGAATAAAGACAATTTGTTTTGTAAGTTCCTGAAACAATCTCTTGTGCAAAGTATTTATAAGGTTGAGTAATATTGGCTTTAACGGGCAAGGCGATGTTGAGTAGGATGTGAGTCAATGATGCTTAGTGTTTGGTCGAGAAGCATTCCAAGTTTTTTACAGTGGTGGAGATGTGTAATTCTAACTCATGCAGTTGTATTCTTGATCTCGTATCTGGACGTCAAAGATTTGGGTATCGTCATTGTCCATCTGTGCAGCGGATGATTTCGAGTGAGATTTCGCCCGAGACGGATACACGTGAAGACGCGTAGACGTGTCCGCCTAGCGCGTCTTCTTCGCGTTGACATCTCAAGATTCCTCGCGTCGATTACACCTCATATCCACCCATCTACTTAAAATGCTACACAATTCATTGGTTTTGTTTCCACAGACAGATGGCTGTGCGATTGGTCATACTACGCTATTCATAGACCAAAGCTGATGACTCATTATGACACGACCTCGGTCATCAGATCCTTCGGCCACACCGGCTGGTCTACACCGTTTCCTCGCGTTCCTACGTTGTATCCGAGCTTTACATTCCCCTGTGGATATTGAATGATGGGCTTAACAGCTTTCACGTCCTTTCCGATTGCACCTGCGTGTCGAACCTCGAAGAAGTCTGGTTTGAAGAGCACGGATCCCGAGTTCTCGGCCAACATCTTCATGTAGTGCGGCAACGTATACTGCATATTGTGGTAGTGGCGGAATACCTGATGTCCGTTACGTGTCCAGACTTCTTCCCAGACGTCTTTAGGATAGGTGCCGACGCTATTTACTAGCCATTGAGAGTAGTAATTCAATGCGACCTATAAACGTTGGTATCAACAATGCTACAAGAACAGTGAAAAAACTTACATCGACTTTGTAGGAACCTCCCTCAGCGCCTCTTCGAAGTAGTGCATTCAGCACTCCGATGACTCCAGACGTACCCGTGCAAAAATCGCTATTAGGGAAGACAGGTGTGACAGGCTCGTCTCTGCCCATAGCTCGTCCAAACTCCATTGACACGCCGCAGCAAGCATCAGAAATTTGCTGCCAACCGCTGCGATATGACCAAGGTCCATACCAGCCATAGCAATTCTCCCGCACAACGATTAGACCACGCTCTCGATCTTTCGTCAGATCCAGTAAGCCTTCCGGGGAAAACCCATATTTGTCGAGTACACCAGGCCGATAGCCCTGCACCACTACATCAGCATCTCGAACCAAGGCGCGTAGTTTTTCTCGGTCCTCTTCCTTTCGGAAATCAAGATGCGAGTTCCATTTTCCCCAGTTGAGATCGACGTGTAGCATGGACATGTCGGTAATATGCTCTGCTGTTACTCTCATTACCGAAGCACCGAGTTCCGCAAGACCTCTCGTCAGAGCTGGCGCAGCGATGACGCGGGTCAGATCGACTACTTTGAGCCCTGCAAGTGGCCTCTTTGCACTCGTCTCTGGGCTATCTGACCACCAGCACGCTGGCTGCTTCTTGTTCTTGATGTCGTGGACTTCATAGAGGCCGACATGAGCATTTGCTTTACCATGCTCGCTCTTCTTGAACTCCTCAGTCGTCCAACAGATTGTACCAGCTTGTTTGTACACATCCGACGCCAACTTCTGCATCTCGCCGGAATCTATTTGTGCCAACTTCTCCACGTATGGGGTCCACGGCTCTTCCTTCTCTGACAACTCCTTGTCATACGGCAACCCGACACTTTTCTGGGTTGGATCAGGATTCATGGAACCGTGCAAATGGAAGTATCTTCCATCTTTGCACCGATAGATGTTCGTAGCCGCTACACGGTATGTACTCCTACTTCCATCATGTTTATCACAGTTCTTGAAGTACTTGTTGTATGCGCTCGACCCCTTTGCAAATGGTTTGGTCAAAAATTCGATCTTCTCGCCTTCCGGGTCGACAACGTTGAGTAAGATGGACATGAAGAAAAGCTGTGCATGGTCGCTTGTTTGACCGACACGCGTTAGCTATTTGGAAAAGTGCTCGTCCGGAACGAAGATTATATCTTGGCAACTCACGTATCTATGATCGCTTCTTGTGGTTCCAAGCCATATTTCCTCTTCAGAAGAACATTGATCATGGCCGCTTCTAGCCCCTTGAGTGCTGAGATACTTTCGGCGAAGCGCCAGTTTATCGGTATACTGGGCTTAGATGTGCCTTTGAACTGGACTTTCTTCGCGCATTCTGCGATTTCTGCGGGGAGTGTGGGAGCGATCAGAGGGTTTTTCAATATTCCATTGTCGAATACATGTTGCGTTTCGTTAGGAACGGAGTAACTTTTGGAACTGCCGTTGGTAGCATTGTTCACGCTATTGGTATGACCGTTCGTATCGTTGATGGTCATGATGGTATCAGCGGTCTGGAATTGGGTTTGTAAGTTCAAAGGCAGAGCTACGACATGCGGGTATCGAGAGCTTTATTGTTCTCACATATCCGAGTTGTGACCCACTTGGACCGATCATTCATTGGGTCTCGTACGAAAGCGCCCACTACGCCAATCGGCTCACCAGCAACATCGCGCTACAAAACCTTAGTCGTCAGCTGTGACATTCAAGCATTGCCGATCATGATAGATGAACGCATATTGCATCGCACCAACGTTGGGTATACCCGATTCGGTCCTCGGTAGATCGAACTAGTCGAGTCGCCCAAGGTGGGGTATCACCCCGCATCTAGGGTTGTATTAGGAAGAGGATGTGGTATTGAATCCAGGATATTTGATGGGATGGCTTAAATGGAACTTGTATTGCTATAGTGTTGGATTCCAGCCCTGCGTAGGCTTGTACGCCGTTGTCACGACATTGAATAGCGTATATAACCATTTTGTGCGAATCACTCAACAAACTAATCGGAAAACAAGTCAACGAACTTGTCGGGCCAGGTTGGAACATCAAAAGGGTGGGCGAATACGTGGAGCTTGTAGAGGAAGTATCAATTTCAAACTCCATTCTGACTACGAAGACGGCCAGTCATGTCATCAAATTACAGCAGTAGATGGACTACACAGCGGGGGACCCGGCCAGTGAGGGTAGCGAACTGCTCAGGATACAAAGGTAACACTGACCTTGCGCCTAGCCTCAATCTCAGACTGACCTGTCCTAGGCGATCCAGGGTACCATATGCGCTACCAAGCAGAACTGGGAGATACAGATTTTATCACGGGCGACTATCTTGCCGAGGTCAACATTGCGGAAAACGCTCAGGCACATGCAGAGGGCAAGCATCCTGGGTGGGAAAAGACAGCTTGGGATGGGCTTGAGCAGACCATCGATTTATTGAATGAGAAGAGAATCAAGGTCGTTGTTAATGGCGGTGCGCATAACCCCAAGGGTCTAGCGGAGAAGGTACAAAAACTCGTGAGTTTGCACTCTTCACCCTAGACATCTAGTGCATGAATTTACTTATATATGGTTAGGTCGCGAGTAAAGGCTATGACTTGACGGTGGCGTATGTGTCAGGTGATAACTTGATCAATGAGATGAAGGACGTCAAAGAGAAAGGTTTACCACCACACCTGGATTCTGACAATAGCGAGGTGACGGTCGCTGACCATGTACTTGATATTCTGAAGAGTGACAAGCCGATCGTCAGCGCGAACGTCTACCTCGGAGCTCGCGAAATCGTGAAAGGCCTTGAAGAAGGCGCAGACATCATCATCGCCGGTCGTGTCGCAGACGCCAGTCCAGTCATCGGCGCTGCATGGTATTGGTACTCGTGGAACGACACCGACTTCGATGCGCTTGCTGGAGCGCTTATTGCGGGTCATCTTATCGAATGCAGTGGTTATGTGACGGGCTCGAACTTTGCGGGTTTTTATGAGTATCCTTTGGACGAGCTCTACGATCTCACTTTCGGTATTGCGGAGATCGAAAAGGATGGTACTTGTGTGATTACGAAACATGAAGCTAGGAAAGGTTTTGTTACTGAGGATACTGTCAAATGTCAGTTTCTATACGAGTTGCAGGGGAACGTATACCTGAATAGCGACGTCAAGGCGATCCTGGACAAGGTGCAGGTCAAAGCTGAGGACAGAAACAGGTACGTCCGAATGTTTCTAATCGTCATTGTTCTTCACCGACAGCAGTATCGCTAAGCTCTAGACAGAGTCCGCGTGTGGGGCATCAAAGGTGGACCGCCTCCACCTACTACCAAACTCGCCATCTTCTATCAAGCAGGGTACCAGTCTGAGATTGTCGTCAATGCAACCGGATATGCAACCACTGAGAAGTTCAACCTCTGGGAACGTATAATCAAATTCGGTCTCAAACAGAAGGGCATACTGAACAGTTTCGACATCTTGGAATTCCAGCGCATAGGCGTACCAGAGACCGACCCGAAGAGTCAGCTCCGGAGTACATCATACTGTCGAATCTTTGCCGAGACGAGCGATCCGAATGTGAACCTGGGCCTAGCGAGCTTGCTGGCTGACTTTGCAATGCAACATTACTCGGGATTTCATAGTACGATGGACCATCGCACAGCGATACCGAAACCGTACCTGTCTTTCTATCCGGCGGTTTGGCCGCAAAACAAGCTCAAAACCGCAATCAACATGCTCGAATCTGGCAGGACGAGGGTAGTGACGACCACGCCGCCGCCAAAGTTTGAGGAAATCGGGAAACGGCAGAGTTACGAGACTCTGAATCCAGTGGGCTTTCAGTCTTTTGGTCCAACAACGCGTGCACGATTGGGAGACGTAGTGCTCGCCCGATCGGGCGACAAAGGCGGTAACGCAAACATTGGCTTCTTCGTACCCACCAACCTGCCATCATCCTACTCACACGGATCACCTCTCTATGCCGAAACCTGGGACTGGCTCCGCAGCTTTCTTACCATCCCCAAACTCAAAGAAATGTTTAGAGAAAGTTGGAGCGACAGCTTCTTCGTAGAAAGAGTGGAGTTCGAGGCTATCATGGCGGTACATTTTGTGGTCTATGGAGTCTTGGGTAGGGGCGTCAGCGGGAGCAGTAGGTTGGATGCTTTCGCGAAGGGCATGGGCGACTGGCTGAGAGATGTCGAAGTCGAGGTTCCGGTGAAATTCTTGGAGGGACGGGTTAAGCGAAAGGCTGTGGCTGGAAGGTATTCGGCCGAGGCATGACTTAAGAAAACGGTATCTGTTGGTCTTTACACAGGTTCCATCAGTATCAGCACTTCTACTGCGGTCACACTAGGTGGATTCTGAAGCGTAAACGAGGTTCGGGTCTAGGAGGCCGTCGCCAAGCCGCGATGACGTAGAAGGCTAGGTGACAGCTAACATGTTTGTTCACGCATGCACAGCCACAAACGGCCAACATCCATACATCATCATTGAACTGCGCCCGTTCTACTTGTAGTGTCACAGCAGTACCACCACAAACAAAGATCCATCAAATCTCTACTGCCCGCTTCGAAGTTAAGACTAGATACTTGCTTCCAGTACTCAGTCTCCAGAGTCATCATGTTCAAAAAGTTGAAAGACAAGATCAAGGGTGATGACAGTTCCACAAGACCTTCATACGGGACGGATGACCACAACCAGAACTCGAATAATCCTTATTACAACTCGCCCCAAGAACAACAACACAACATAGCGCCAACGGAAAAGTACCAAGCCCCTCCTGGCCCGCCACCAAACCAGGCTTCATCATCGTCCAAGTCTGAGTACTCTGCACCTCCAGGACCCCCACCACACCACGGATCTTCGTCGTATACTGCTCCTCCCGGACCTCCGCCTAAACGCGAGTCCTCAGGCTACGCACCTCCAGCGGGACCGCCTCCTTCGTACCCGCAGCAACCGCCTCCTAGTTGGGATCCTCCGCCATACCACGATTGGACCGTCATCCCTGACACTTCACTTTTGCCTCCGCCACCGTCGATGGGCTACGATAGTTCCCCTACTGCCAACGCGTCTACCGAGGAAGGTGATCGTGCCTTGGCTTGGACGAACATGAACCCATTATGGCCACCACAAAATCTCCAGCCCAGCACTCATGCTGCGATTCAGAACGGTCAGCTCGCTTTGTTGAAGGCGCCATCTTATCTGGGTGATCTACTTCCTCAACCTCAAGCTGGGCATTGGCGGTGTCGCACCCATGCCAAGTGCAGAGACTCAAGCGTCCTCACGAATCTACCCATGTATAGCGTGTTCTGGGACTCACCACTCAACACGCAGCGCTCCAAGACTATCTATTTCGAGCTAAAAGTTATTGGCATAGGTCGTGGTGGTATCTCCTTCTCAGAAGCAGACGCTGGCATTGCCATAGGCTTTGTCGCACCACCGTATCCCACCTTTCGTCTTCCAGGTTGGGAGCGTGCCAGTCTTGGTGTGCATGGTGATGACGGAAGGAAGTATGTCAACGATGCATGGGGCGGCATCGACTTCACCTCAGCTTTCAAGCCTGGTGATACTGTGGGTATCGGGATAACCTTCTCAGTTCCCCGGAACCCACCCTCATATGAAGAGTCGCAGCAGGGAAGGATGTTGGATATTGATGTTTTCTTCACGCGCAATGGAGTGAAGGAAGGCGGCTGGGATGGCAACGAGGAGCTCGACGTGAGGAGCGAGGGAGGTAACACTGGGCTGAGAGGAGAGTCTGATCTCTTCCCGGCAATCGGTGTGTTTGGTGGTGTAGATTTCGACGTCTTCTTTCATCCATCGCAGTGGCTCTATCGCCCGTATTGAGACTGCCTGGGCGTTTACTATCCACTCGAGGTAAAGTCGTATATTCCTAGAGTGAGGTAAAGTCCCTTGACCTTGTCCTACACGCTTTACAACTCATGCTAGTTCTATTTATTTTCTCCTATCCTACTTATTGACTCTGCGATGACCTTCATCATATCTTGATTCGAGCTACTTTTTTTATTTCAAAACCTGCAGTATTCCTGAGTCCTGGTGTCGCCTTGTTATGTGAGATTTCCACAGGCTGATACCATGTCTTCAATTGCGTCACATATATCTCAAGACTTCGGCTATCCCCTCATGCTGGAAGATTATATTCCGATCTCCCCTCCGCCCACCAACATCCCAGATCTCTGCGCTACCTGTCATGCGTTCGGCGCGAAGAACAAGTGCAGTAAGTGCAAGAGCATCCGCTATTGCTCACCAGCCTGTCAAAAGCATGATTGGGATGCCAACCACAAGCTCATCTGCAAGTCATATGTCAACGCTACCCAGAAACCCATACGCGAACCCCTGCGGCGTGTCCTATACTTCCCCGAAAAGTTTCACAAACCTCTCTTCTCCGTCCTCGCGTTCGACGAGAAAGGTACGGTAGGCGGCCTCGAACATCACTTCCCCGCTGTACCCGCTCAAGAGATCAAAAAGCTCTCTTTCCATAACCGATACTTACCGTACTTTGTCCAAATCAACTATGACGCCAACACTCATGGAGAGCGTGCCCTGACTGAGAACAAGACCTTCGGATTGCCGTTTCGAGGCCCGATCGTTGTGCTGGCTTATGACTTGGATGTCGCGCTGAGCGGTCCAGCGCTGAATGTAGATACTACGATTATGGGCCCGTTGGTGGAGTATGTCAAGTTGTGTCGCGAGTATGATGGGCCAAAGTTCATTGAGGTGAGTCGATTGAGTATACAAGGGCAAGGGATGTGGCTGACGCTACACTGCAGCAACCACAGCAAAGATATACCAAGGCAGAACTAGAGGATATTTTGAGCAACTCTGCCGTATCTGGTTGAGGACCGATATCAGCTAGATACTCGTCAGTATGGGTACAGATGAACAAGTGGGTTTGGCTATGAGATGATTGGAAGGATATTTCGATTCTTGAATATGGGGATGCTTTGTCCATACTAGAAATAAGAGTCGAAGATTCCTTCTGGCTCTTTCTCCTATCTCTTAGTAATTTTGCCAGTGGTCGTTCCTATATGGTTTAAGATAAGCTCGACCTCGGCATCTGCCACTTCGACGATATGCTCCGGCGCATGATCCGGCCTCCAGCCCAAACTATAGGCCCTTTTTGCTTCGAATGTGCATCTGCGTCCTAGGTCAGCATTTGAGCCATCGTTTGTGGAGATGCATAAGGACTTACTTTCCACCCAGCTGCACTGCGACCATATCTTTAGGACAGCCCAAGGCCTGCGCCATCTTGTCAAGCGCGGCATCGTCTGCTCTCTCAACATCAGGGCTACTGATCACCCCACGCTTCGCAAGTGCTTTTGCCATGGCGGCGTATATGTCGTACCACGCCATACTGCCAGACGAAGCGAGATAGTACCCGTCCTTGCCATACCCTGGATTCTCGCCACTCAGAATACTCTTTAGCAGCTTTACATAAAGCTTTGTGTTATCGTCAATATGGCATACTGGCCAAGTCTGGGTAGGCTGTTAGTATGCCGGTCGTCGCCTGGATATTTTTCTAATTGCACACACCCGGTCTTCCGGGTTGACATCATAGACGGTGCCAGAACCCTTCGCAGCTGTGACCACCGCAACAGTCTGGATCGAGATTTTGTTCCCAAAGCCTTTACCTTCGCCATACACGATACATGGAACAAAAATGTAGCTGCGAACACCGTATTTCTCGGCCGTTTCGATGACGGTGATGTTCGTATTCGCTGCCTAGATTTGCATGAATGATCATGATTGGGATGCGAAGATTGTGGAACAGAGAGAAGTATTACACTCGCTGCTTGTGTGCGACTTACTTTGGTGAAGAATTCGTGTGGAGACTCGGAGCTTTTCTGGAGGTCGTACAATGCCGGATCAGTGTCAACAAGTCTCCTATCGGTGGGCATTCCTGCATGCTCGCTAAACATCTTTGCGCCGCTGGTGTGTAGAAAGTGCACTTCCCGTCCGGTCTGCCTCTTGACCTCTCCGAGAGCTTTAATTAGAGGTATCTGCATATCGCAATTCACAGCGTCTACAAGGAAATAGACGACGAAGATCTGCGCATCTACAATGTTCTTCGTAACACTCTTCTCGTCCTGCAAATCGAGAGTGAAAGGAAGTACGTCATATTCCTTTACTGCCTCTGCCTGTTCTTGAGACCTGACTAGAGCATATATAGTCTCATTTCCTGGGAGGGCGGTGTTGCGTAGCTGTGCAAGCAGCGAGCCTCCGAGGTATCTATCAGACCAATGAGTTATAAAGTAGACTTGGCCAATAGAAGCGCACTCACCCGGATGCACCAGTTATGAGAATGGGCATGATGGTAAGCAGAAAATCAGTGTGATAGGGTAATGAGCGGTGTCTTCTTCCAAGATACAAGTCTCCGATTTATTAATTGTATGTGAACAAACGCTATTTACCAATGCTGTGTAATGCAGAAGCTTTACAAAGACTATAAAACCGACATTATGAGTACCTTGTAAGTAGCCGAAGCTTGTCGTTTCTCTCTACCAGTTGTCTGCCGACATAGTGTATCAATGATTTGTAATAGACCGGTTGCCATGTTAGGTGATTGCCGAACCCCACAAATGACGTAATACTTGTATGCCCCGCTTCTGTTAAAGGCAAGTTACACTGACTACAAATCTCGCCAGGCATCACTTCTATAATATCCTTCCGATGATCTTCCTAATCTCTTTCGTTTAGCGATTGGTATAATGTCAGTAGACTGCGCTGTGTCATTCCGGTGTGGTTCTTCAAAATTACGACATGAACCGGTCGACCAAAGTACCTAGGTATACTTTATGGCCGAGCTTCTGGTAGCTACAACTAGTTTTATCGACAAGATTGCAGAGATGTATTGCAGGTTCACGCTTCGCAGATATCCGAAGTGGAAATCGTTAAAGTTTCTCGTTCGGTAAAAGCGTTCTTTTCTGCAAATGCAATCTGGAAGACTGCTAGTATCAGTAAATTCAATAAATCCTCCGTCTATGATCTCAAGGAACAAGGGTATGTAAGTTGTTCAGTCGTCATCCTTGCCTGGATAATCAGAGGTGGGCATGTCAGACTCGGTGACGATTAGGGGATTGCCGCCTTAGTTTGCAATGACTGAGATCTTGAGAAGAGATTGAGCTTTGCGTGGGACAAGAAGGGAGAAAGTACAGAACGCGTACCTTACAAGAAGCAGCTGAGCGCGGGAAGGTCCAGCTTCCAATTCCAGAAATACACGAGAAGGCAATGAACACTGCCAGGAGTAAAGGAGGCAGTAAGGTCTGGAATGAGTTTAAGGACGGAACTACTCGAGATAAACTTGATAAGAAGGGTGGTTTCGAGGGGGCAGTTTGGGATTGGGATCTTTTTGAGAGGCGAAAGAGAAAACAAGAGGCAGCTCCAAGAAGTCCAGTCTCTACTTCTCCTCGAGGCTGGGCGGAAGACTGTTTCCATCGACCTCTGACAGACTTCGTGCCACAACTGAGAGCACGATCCATCGGCTTCATGTTTGGTCAGTCCACTTGGCCGATCTAACATACACCTGATAAGGATAACACAACCTTGGAAAGATGGAGGAGGAGGTTGATCAGAGCGACCCACGTCACGATAGGTGCAGTCCAACGCAGCTACATGCGCTTCGTCTAGATTGTGCAGAATGCGAGCATCGCGTGCATTAGCATATGAGGTAAGTGATACGTGGTCGAGACCGCTGTAAGGCGTGCGAGAATCCATTAACAAGCATCTTGCAAGGAAGGTATCCAGAGTGTAAAAGAGAAGAGACATATCTGGGTAAGCTTGGGGGCTGATGTGTGCCACTGTTGCTAGCCGCTTGCAGCTAGCTATTGCGGGGCTATCAGCCGCGGAGGCTGGAGCTGGGAGCGCTGGATGACCACAAATAGATTGCTTCAACACGTTCCTGGTTGTTGACGACTCGTTTGCAAAAGGGGGAAATAACTCCTATGAGCTTTCAACGTCCGAATTGAACAAGAACAAGGGCTTTCTTCGCAACAATGTAACACAATAATAAGAAATATGGATCTCGGTATCTCTTCAGATTCGTCGCATCGTGATTTCAGCATACGCGAGCGTAGCAGGCGGGCGCGAATTGATGCGTGCTTACAGCTGTGCCTCAGCGGACGCCTTGTTTTGGATGCAGCCCCGGCAGGAGCTGAAGGTGCAACGCAGCAGATCATCACGTATATAACGTGCAGGTCTGTCGCAACTCTGCATCACAGAGGACGCGACAGATACCATGGCTCCCATCGACGATACAACCGACGCAGACGCAAAAGCGACCGAAGTACTAAAGATTGTCGAACAGTATGGTCTGAACTACGAGCGGACTGGAGCTTGGGATGGGTTCGAGACGTTCCTACCTATTGTGGCGGGACAGGTAGAGCGCAAGGAACCAATTCGCATGTTACTACCTGGTTTCCCTTTCAAATCGCCAAATCAGAAAGACAAGGTGCTGGGTGTCTTGCCGGATTTGGGCGAAGAGCTTGCGCTGAAACATCTGGATGGGCTGTGCGAGAAAATCAAAGCGATCTATGGGCATGGCGCTGAATGCCACATCACATCTGATGGTCTCGTATACAACGGTGAGCTGGAGGAAAACAACACCATGCCTCGATATATTGCTGACGATGGTAGATCTGCTTGGTGTGACCGATGAAACCGTATGGAACTTTGGACAGGGCGTGCGAGAAATAGCTGCAGCCAACAAGCTTCAGAACCTTAGCTTTTTGCGCCTCTGGGACCTGCTCGATTATCCCGGAGACTTCCAGTCAAAAGAGTACTATTTGAAGCATGCAGCAAACATTCGAAAAGAGCTCAAGCAACGTTTTGGTGACCCCAAATTCGAAGCGGACATGGCCAACACATCCACTAGCGACATGCAGATGACGCATACCAAGTATCTCGAGTTTCTAAAGCAGGACCTGGCTTTCAACGATCGGCACAACGCGCTGTCACCAGAAGACCAGGCTGCGAATATTGCCAACACAGCAAAGGAGATGATGGGTCGATGGAAAGCGTTTTCCGCTGCGCTGGCAGCCGTACCTACACAATACATCCGTCTATCAATCCACGATTCGGGTGGTAAAGATAAGCTGTCCATGGCTATCATTCCGCAGCAAGAAAAAGGAGCTTTGGGCGCAACGCCATGGCACTCGACGCTCGTGATCGAGGCAGATGGAACGTTGCGTACGGTGCAGCGATGCAAAGTCGACAAAGGAAGCTATCAGCTCATTTGTCGCGATGACCGACCGTACTGTTTCCGCGCCAAGCTAGAAGGCGAAGACGATTCGAATAAAACATTCGAACAACTGTATCCCTCTGGTCTCACGATTCGAGATCGCAAGGCGGTGGCTGCTTAACATGGTGGTTGAGAGAGGAGAAAATTGTAGAGAGGGTTTTCATCGAATGTCAAGTGGAACAGGCGTGGGTGCAAATTGCATTAAATCCGGTGAAGGTTGCAGTGCTTTGAGTCAGATGTACTCGGTTCGGACAGACATCATACGAGCAGGTGGATTATAGTGCTGGATTAGTATTTAGCCTTAATGCTGTGGGACGATGATTAGCGACTAGGTGTGTTCGGTGAGGCTGCGAAACTCCGGGAGCAGCCCAATTGTATGGTAGAAGCATGGCGCCCCTGTTATCCCCATGGCCCAAATCTTGGTGATCGGTCGATGAACAAAAAGGATCATCCGCTTGTGGCGGCGTGATGTCCGCAGGAGGAGAAGATTCGCTTTGGCAAAACACGACATGTCTTGTCGCTGTGTGAGAGTTGAGATATCGTTTGCCCAGATGCAGGGTGCGCTGGCCTATGTAGACAATAGAGTTAAGAGTGAAGTATGGGGTATGCTCTGAAGACATGTGATTTCGGCGCGAAGCGATCGGATTCCGGTAGATCGGCAGTGAGAGCACTTGCATCTTCGATGGTGCCCGTGCCCACCCTCCATCAACGCCAACCCTGGCCGAGAGACGCACCGTCGCTGTCAACCAAAACCAAAGGATCGCATGGACATAAGATAGCCGGGCTCTGGCCGTGTCTTGTCTGCGCGACCGCCGATTTCTTTTGAGAATGCTGCAGCCAGTTTGTGTCTCTCTCTCGCGACTGTCACATCTGCATCGGCAGCCACATGCAGATGCTCACCCCTCCTCCGGACGAAGAAGGCCTCGGGGCTCCTCCCATGAGCCCGCCCGACCAGGACAAGGGATGCGCATATGACTGGACAGCCGCGCTGCCTCAGACAGATCATATCCGCTTCTTCTGCAACACCGACTGGTCGCGTACCAGCCTGGGACCAACAAGCACATGGAGCCAGACGCTGCGACTTTTTGCCAGCTACGTCCTTTCTGATTCACGCGGGGCTTGCCTCTGGTGGGGGGACATCTCCAATCTCACGGCTATATACAATGAGGCATATGCGCCTCTTGCTGCCGGCGTGCATCCCAAGCTTATGGGATCCCTCTTCCAGGAAGGCTATCCGGATCTCTGGCCGTCTATTCGCCAATACTTCGTAGAGGCCAAGCGAACAGGCGCTGGCGTAAACTACAGCTCGGCTACGTCCACGGTGGTTGAGCGGAAGGGGTATACAGAGGAGACGTTTTTCTCGGGCGGGTTTGTGCCAGTAGGCATGCCAGGCGCCATCGAGGGCTTCATCAACACGACGTGAGTTACGTTCAATGGACAACTTGCAGAACATGGCCCTCTCAGTCGCACACAGCTTAGGCTTCGTTCCCCAACTGACGCAACTAGCTACGAGGTCACAAGCCAAAAACTCGCCGACCGCCGCACCAACTGTCTGAACACACTTGCCTCTGTCCCCTCTCAATGTGTCGACGACGTCTGCTCCCACATCCTCACCACGCTCGAATCCAACGCCAACGACGTGCCCATGGCCATGCTCTACCGAATCGATGAGACTCCAGGCTCCAACAGATTGCGACTCCATGGTTGTAATGGACTTCCAGAAGGACATGGCCTCATCGTGGAAGAAGCCACTATTGATAGCGAAGAAGGCTTGATCCCAGACCTGCGACGAGCCGGTGCAGAACAGACGGTTATCGAGCACGACGACCGATTCCTAGCTACCTCTTGGGGAGGTTGGGGTGCGCCGTCCAAGAAGATTATCATAAGCCCTATCATGTGCGGAACACGCCTCTTTGGCTATCTCGTATTTGGTACAAATCCCTACCGCCCACACGACGATATCTGCAAACAGTTCATTCGAGATCTCAGTCGCATGGTTTCGAGCATTGTATCGTCTGCCGTCGATTGTGAAGCCAATCGAAAGCGTCAAGAGCAGCTGGAAGCTGACCTTGCTTTTAGCGATCTCAAGCTACGTCATCTGATTGATCATGCATCTGTAGGCATGTGCCACGTCTCTCTGGATGGCTTAATGCTTTGGGCGAATGATCACTATTACCAGCTAGCTGGGAAATCTGCTTCTGACCATGCAGTTGGCCTTGCATTTCTCGAAGCTTATCACGACGATGATCGAGCAAAGGCTGATGATGTTTGGGAACGTCTGATTAAAGGCGCCGACCACGTTACAGCCGACTTGCGTTTGAAGCGCATGTACACGCCTCCCACGGGCGATCCCGAGCCTGCCCAGCTACAGGTTCTAGCCTTCCCATATCGCGACGAGCATGGAAGTGTGATCAGTGTAATGGCTTGTACGACTGACATTAGTAGATTGTGTTGGGCACAGAATTTCCAGGCCCGATTGGCCGCCGAAGCAAGAGAAGCAAAAAGACAGCAAGAGGCCTTCATTGACGTAGTCTCGCACGAGATGCGAAACCCGTTGAGCGCCATCGTGCATTGCGCAGACGCGATTGCCAATGCGATTGAAGAGTGCCAAACCCAGCTCGCCGATATACCCGTACCGTGCCTCGATACTCTGAATGACAACATACAAAGCGCAAACGTCATCATGCAATGTGCAAATCACCAGAAACGTATCATCGACGATGTACTCACATTGAGTAAACTCGACTCCATGCTCTTGTCTATAACGCCTGTCGCAGTCAAGCCCACGAAGCTTGTAGACTCCATCGTCAACATCTTCCAGGCTGAGCTGAAGACGAATAAGATCTCGTACAACATCACACCGGACAAATCTTTTCTGGCCCTAGGCATTGACCACGTTTATTTGGATCCATCTCGGGTGACTCAGGTATTCATCAATCTACTAACGAATGCGATCAAGTTCGTCAAGCCGTCGAAAGAGCCGAACATCTCCATCCGCTTCGGTGCTAGTACGTCAGATCCCCGTGATCTATTCCCAAGAAATATGTTCTGGGCAACGGATGGCAAGCAAGACGGCGACGTTACCAGCAATCCAGACTGGGGTACTGGTGAAGAGATTTACCTTGCGTTCACAGTCAAGGACTCCGGAATTGGCTTACAAGAGAAGGAAATTTACAAGATATTCGAGCGTTTTCGACAAGCAAACGTAAAGACGCATGTCAAGTATGGAGGTAGCGGACTGGGCTTGTTCATCTCTAAAGCGCTTACTGAGAAGCAAGGTGGTGAGATAGGTGTCTCGTCGGTTCTGGGCCAAGGATCGACATTCGGATTCTATGTCAAAACGCGAAGGGTGGAATGGCAGCCCAGGACCCTCAAAGAAATGTTCCAACAGGCTGGACAAGAAGCAGCGGCTCGACAACTGCACGTGTTGTTAGTGGAGGACAACATCATCAACCAACAAGTTCTCGGCAAGCAGCTCAAAAAAGCAGGATGTCATGTTTCAGTCGCAAACCACGGTCTAGAGGCTCTTGAGATACTGGAAAGAGAAACGTTCGACATCGTACTGATGGATCTGGAGATGCCGGTGCTTGATGGCCTTGGCGCGATGCGCGAGATTCGTAGAAGGGAGAAAGAACAGGTGTACGCTTCTGAACGTTTGCCCGTCATCGCTGTTACAGCGAATGTCCGAAAAGAACAGATCGATACGGCTATCGCTGCCGGAGCAGTAAGTACCCAAAGATTGTTAGTATCAACCGTATGTTAACGGAGTGTGCAGGATCGCGTCATGCAGAAACCGTTCAAAGCGGCCGACTTGGTCTCCATGATGAAGTCGCTGATGCCGCAATTAGCGCCCTCGTCCATTGAACCGCCAACACCGGGACTGGGCCTTCAATCAAGTGCACTGGTACCCTGAATGAAGTTTCGTCAAGAAAACTAGTGAATCTATACGGCAACTAGGTTGTTGGCTCCAGGGAGTTGCCATTGATCATCCAGTGATCCATCGCGAAAAATTACGAAAGACCCGAGGATTGCTTTTGTGCTAGGAAGCGCGAATGTTTACCGTCTATCTCACGACCTCGCATCAAGATCCCTTCATGTGTTGTGGTTGTTAGAATAAGAAGTCGTGGTGTTTCCGTCGTACCTGCTCAAGCTCAGATTCGAACATGGCTACAAGACGTGTCCAGATGCAGATGCGGCCACAACTGGTAACTCAGGTTCCTTGCCACCATGGAAGGTATCTTTTGATGCTGTGGACAGCTTCATTAACTCCAAGCGGTTTAGTACACAAGAGTTCGCGAAGAAAGTATGTCTTTGCATAGGAGAGGGGAGGACAGATGTTACATGGGTGCCAGTGCAAGGTACACGGAAGCTCAGTGTTATGAAGCTGTCAGACAGCGATGGACATGATGGAGATGTATCAACGAAGCCATGTACTATTGTCGCCACAATCACCAATACATATTGTGTGAGATCTGGATTGTGGCTCAACCTTACCAACCATTTGCGAACGTTGTCCCGAGTAAAGAACCATTGTTAGGTAGACCTCCACACAGTCGCATTGGAGACCCACCACTACTGCCGTGGTTAAAGACGGAGATATCACCATCTCAGACGCAGCCGCCGGTAAAATAGGGTCACCACATAGCCAACCAATCCAAAGTTCAACTCAAAACAATTGCAATCGGATCATGACAAAACGAACGCAAAAACAAAAAAGCTGGCCTGAAACGAAGACTCGTATTGTCATTGGGATGATTGATGACAGCATAACCTGGCCATGTGCAAGTATTTGGAATAAGGTCAAGAGCGTCGCGTAGCAGCTAAAAGGGGACAATGATTGACGCGTGAGGGCTCTTTGTTATTTTCTGCTTTCTACCCCAAGGCGCATGATGAATCTTACTCGCATAGCGTCGCTCAGATCGGATGCACGATGTCATACGAGACTGACCGACGGTCTAAAGTTGAGATGTGGGGAACTTAGAGAACTGAAATAAACAGTGGGAAAGTACATCTAGGCCAGCATCGACGCTATGATACGCTCGTGTGGCGCCGGTCCGGCCCTTCGTTTGTGGCGATGCCTGTTGCTTTCAATAATTAAATTGTCACGCAAGTTCGTTAGGCTGGGAGAGGCTGTTGCCCATCAGATGAGTAATTGCAGCCATGAGGAATATATGCAGTCATAACGGACGGTGTGCTTGCAGAATTTTTGTCCGGATGAATGTATTGTGAGATACAGTATGGTTCCTGCAGACTTGACCGCTATAGCTTTCTAGAAATATTTTCTACCATCATATCTCAGTCGATGCCAAGTAAGCTCTCGAAAAGAGTAGAAGAAGATGATAACGCCAACCTCGGAGGTTGAGACGAATTTTGCGGCGACAAACGCGCTGGATAGCGACTTTCCGGATACATGTCGGCGCTGGCCCTGTACATTGCAAGGTGTTGTTGTTTGAAGATGGTGTTGTGGCTGGCCTTAGTATCCATCCCTAAGAGGCCGGTGTCCCGTATGCGTCAGGCTACGGCTTCTCTCCCAGCATCAAGCCAGCAGCAACTGCCACACGTGCCGGTTATTTGTTAGAAGCACGGGTATGCGACTGAACACCTTCACCGCTCGCGCCGCTCCGGCAACTACGTATGGGTCGGTAGATACCGCATGTCCGAGTGCTTCATGCGCTCGTCTGTGCGATGAGGGGAAACTGCTAAAGCTGCTTGGCATGAGTACGCGTCGGGCTCTCCTTTCTAAGAAGCCCTTCTCTTTGCATACGGAAACGCGATGCGCAAGTTGATGCGTGTCGGGCTTTTCCAAAGAGACATTGCTGTGGTCCAAGCGCTAGCGATCGTCCGGAACGGAGTGTGGGGACTCATCCCATGCTGAAAGACTTTCTGCGACCCGCGGGCGTGCCCACACAATGCATGATAGTCAACTCGGAGGATGCCAATTGCGCGCTCGATATCCGCGCTTCAATCGGCTGGAGAAGCTTGTCGCCGTAGCTGCATTACATCTGCGGACCTGAAACACCGTCTTTTGCTGTGGTAGCCTTAGCCCCGGAGTCACTCAGCCTTCAAAACCACACTTGCGCACGCCCAAGCAGCAAACAAGCTCGCGCTGACGTCCGTCATCTTCTTGTCGTTCATCGCTCAAAGACTATGCAGTGCGCCTGTGCCGGGGAAGAAAGGTTGTTATCGGCAGAGAGGTCATAAATGGCGAACAGCAAGTAAGTATTCGATAGCTTCTCGACTGGGTGGGGAAGCAGCCGCCATCGTTGAGAGCTGACCGCCTGCACGAGCTCGCCGGACCTCAACTAACGGACTCCAGATACGAATATGTGCGCCAGTTTGAGCAGCCCGATGCTTTACTGGCCAATACCTGGATTGTAGTACGGATAGATGGACGTGGCTTTTCCAAGTACGTTCACCAATTTTCTCTCCTTCACTTGAGTTGGCAAACTTTCTCGGTCCGGCATATGCAGGTACCCGTAACCATGTTGCATGAACGGATATTGCTGCCCTAGGCCAACATTTTCGGCTATTATACACCATCAAGCGGTTTTCGCTAACAATACGCGAATAGGTTTACGTCAAAGTATGAGTTCGTCAAGCCGAACGATAAGAATGGGCTCGACGTCATGAACGCTGCAGCCCAGGCTGTCATGAAAGAGTTGCCTGACCTTGTCCTTGCATTCGGTAACAGCGACGAATATAGGTACGTTGCATTTTTTCCATTCGAGCATGTTATGTTTGAGGTAAATTGATGTTCCATCGAGGCCGCCCGAGGTTCCCGGCACGGTATATACATGGGTGGGGTAGCATGTTTCGGGACTGCTTAGCTGACGTGGGTCGCAGTTTCGTCTTTCACAAGGACTGTGCCTTATTCGAACGACGAGCAAGGTACGGAGATACTCCCATTGGTGCAACTAGTTGATCCCCGCTGGCGATTTGACCAGAACTGACCCGGATTTAGCAAGCTCACTACGACAATTGTGTCGACATTTACCTCGTACTATGTGTGGTCCTGGTCTACATACTTTCCGGATAAGCCGCTTACACCTCCTTTGCCCTCGTTCGATGGACGTGCAGTGTGCTACCCAAGCGACTCTAATCTTCGGGATTACATGAGCTGGCGTCAAGTTGACTGTAAGTAATATGATACGTCGGCCCCTTCCTACCCTCTGTTGTCAGCATTCTGGCTAAAGGCATCTCCTATGACCCTCTTTTTTATCTTTCTATTAATCGTGAATTGAATTTGACCATCGCCCAGGCCACATCAACAATCTTTATAACACTACTTTCTGGACTCTGCTTCAGCAGGGTGGCATGGGAGCTAGAGAAGCAGAACAAAGACTCAAGGGAACAGTTTCGTCCGATAAGAACGAGATTCTGTTCAAGGAGTTTGGAATCAACTACAACAACGAACCGGAGTGCTTCAAGAAGGGCACGGTACTATACCGAGACTTCTTCCCTACTCCACCGCCGGTCGAGCAGATAGCGTCACCTGTGCTGGCAGACTTTCCCACGCCACCTATAGCTCAGCCAACACCAAAGCGAGCATCCGGTCACCGGGCATCCCAGTCTATCGAGAGGGCCATCCCATATCTTCCAGATCAAAAGGAATTGATGGAGTCTCCAGAGCTTTGTTCGCGTCCGACCTTCTTGTCAACAACATCGACTCCGTCGCCACCACCTTCACCACCTAACATCTCGAGATCAGCATTTCCTAACCCGCTTAGGTCCAACCCGATCAGATCTGAGAACAATAGCCCTATGCCAGGTTCTTCCATGCCGCTTTCTCCGCCATCAACTGCAACATGGAATAACAACCCCTCATCGAATGGCAAACAGCACCTACCCTCATTGACGCCTTTGCCTCTATCTCCACCAATATTAAAGCCAAGCAGCAAGCCACCTCTGTCATTGAATCAACCAAATCCAACAACACGCACCAATTTCTCACCGGTGACACCACAGGGCGACTTCCCCGCAGATTTTCCCATAGCTGGCTACCGTCATCATACGAATGCAGCGGTCAGCCATGGATTCTCGCACTCTGCATCAGCTTCTTTGACGACGTCATACCCACCCCAGGTGAAACCCTCTCGGCTCAAACAACGATCACCAAGCCAGCCTTCGCTGCCGACATATTTTGCGTCATCCAGTACACCTGCACCACCGAAACCGCCATCTATACCATTGCGTATATCGAGCATTCCTGCCAACAGTAAGCCGCGCAAGCTATCCTTACCGGTCCATCGATCCACCACGACACTCAAAGCTACACGAGATAGTTTCGATGAGAAAGAGAGTGTAGTCAGCCCTCGAGACACAACATCCACGCCACCCCGTAAAGTCAGCCCACCAATACAAAAGAACAAGGCTCTACCAAGTCCCCCAATGAGCGCAGAGGAAGAGATGCGTACGCGAGAAAAGGTCAAGGGAAATAGTCCACAGCAAGAATGGAACAGGTATGCCATTGCATCCACCAATGGAACTGAGTCGCCCCAACGAAGAACTAGCGATTCAGACAACAGAGGCGGGCACGTCTGGGGTCAGGGAAATGTCTCCCACCCGGGCATCGCGGAACTCCACGCTGTTTCTACTCCAACGCATTCTGCGCCTACATCAGCATCATTGCAATACCCCTATTCGAGCCCAGACATCCACACCCTTCTATCCTCGACAACATCAACAGGTTCAAGTTCCCAAAATTACGCCACTTCCCATCCCTTGCCCAGTAGCCGGCCGTCTACCGGCCGCAACAAAGATGTCAACCGACCCAACCCCTCAAAGTCAAACTCCTCCAAGACTAAACCGGACAAAGGCAAACAGCCACAGCCGGAAACTGGAAGTCGGGCCGTAGTTGCTAATCCCCAACAAACCAATGAAGGTCGTCCGGTACACATGAGTCGTACGCAAAAAGATAAAGACAGAAAAAAGAGGAGCAAGGCGACTGTGCTCATGGAACATGTTGATATCATCAAGGATGAGTTCTGGGAGAAGAGGCCCTGGATTCTGAGTGGGAAGACAGGGTGAGATTGATCAGGGAAGGTAGTGTTTCTTTGGCGTTGCCCCTCGTTGACGACGCTTGAATTTTTCTCTTTCTTTCTTTTTGGATAGATGATGATTTTGATGATTTTGATGATGGGAATGTATGATACTGTAGGTGGGAGGGAGTGT